AGGCAGTAGTTGAGTAACGCGTCGCGTTTCTGCGATTTTTGATGGGGTGTGAGGATGGAGGTGAAACAATGCATTGAACGAGGTAAGTGATGTATTGGATGAGCATCTATCTAGGCTACGTACGCCGTATATATACTCCTGTGTGTGGAGGCTTACGTAGCCGTACCGTAGAACTGTGAGGGCTAAATATAGGAACCGTGTTCCATATTAAGGTAGCCGACGCTAGCCGTACCACACTCCGTAGGCTAGCTGGCTAGGAACACGTACTCCGTCAGGGTGGGCAGGATGCCCGCAGAACACGTTAGTTAGTAATACTAGTGTTTAGTAATAATTTCTATACAGTAATACGAGTCGCCTGATTGTTAGATTTGCCTGTAATACCACTAGCTCCCTGCTTAGTAGTATCACTAAGCCCCTCTCGTACAATATCATACTAACCGAACCTGATTTTGTATGGAAAAGTGCTTTCGGCTTACAAATCGACCGCGAAGTTGTTGGCGCAGACCGTTACTGTACTCAGCAGGTCTCTACGGAAAACCACTCGCTCCTTAACACCAACTAACGGCTGCTGTTAGACACGATTACAGTGATGCACATGACGCTCACAACGAGAATGGGGATGGTGAGGACGAAGAAGGCACGCAAAGTGGTAAAGGTGAGATGCTTATCACAGCACACGCAAGCGCGCGTCATTTCCACCTCAAGACTCGTGCTATTGCCATAGAAAGGATGGGAATGAGTTCGACCCTGGTAGCTCATCAGGTATCTGAGGTCAGGCTCTCCTAATTCAGGCTCTGCTGCACGAGCGCTTGTTTCAGGGGGAGGTGGTCTTCGAAGCCTAATCTAGTATGAGCTTGCGAGGTACCGCTGCCATTGGCACTACCATTGGCCAAAGCCCTGCAACTTTTCTCAGCCTCTTGTTGGCCCAGCCGCTCTACGCTAGACGCACCAGCAGGATCGGGCTCCGGGGATACTCAGCTCCTACGTTACCAGCTCAGTACGCCCCAGCAAAGGCAGACTGTCGTTTATTTAGGAATAGTGTCTCTGAACAACTGGGAAAGGATTCGATCGCATCACCTGCAGACTTCACAATTGCTCGGTTAAACGGGACGATATTTATCCAGGCCCAGCAACTCGGTAGTGGGAGGCGTCGCGGACCCTATTTTTGCTCCGATCTCCGTCCCACTTTCTTTAACCTTATTTTGATTGGCCAATTAGTGGTCAGCCTTTGGAGCTGGTCAGCTTTATCATGCACACATAGGAGATCACGTCCAGTTTGTGCACCTTTACGGGCTCAGGAACGGATAAATACGGCAACTAGGCAGCGAGCCGGCCCCCAAGAATGCGGGGGATTCTCCACAAATGCGGGGGGAATCTGGGGAAGGAGCTAGAGTGCACCCTGGGTCCACCAAAACGACGTCCAAGGACCCAATCGTGTCGTCGACGCATGGTGTCTTTAAACACGGATTCCGGGGTACTTCCTTGGAAGGTGCTCCCCGCTTGCCCGGGGTGCTGCAATGTTGCATGTGAGTCCTCCGATAAACCACTAAACCACCGGCCATCCTGTTCTTCAAAAGCATCTTCCTAGCAACTCGCCATCCCCGTTGCCTAGTGTGTGATATCGATGCGGCAGTTCATGTCGACCTTTGATAGCCCATCTGGTCCCCAGCCTGTCCCAGCTCATCGTCCTGTTCCGCCCTCAAAGATCATGGAGCAACGAGCCAAGCGGAAGCGAGTGGCCAAGGTAAATTGGCATGTCCCTAAAGGAGCCCAATTAATCAACAAAGGCACAGGCGTGTTGTACCTGTCAGGCGAAGAAGATCAAATGCGACGGCAAACAACCTGCCTGTAGCAACTGCAGCGATCGCACCGTCGAATGTACTTATGTCGAGTCACAGAAGAAAAGAGGCCCCCCCAGAAGGTGAGGATGACAGCCTACTTCGGTCGGCGTCTGACGGCGATCTAGAATACCCGCCATTTCGAATCATCTCAGCAGGTTGGAGCAGCGACTACTTCGCATGGAGAGCCTGTTGGACGGTGATGACTATAGGACAAGCCCCTCGCCGGGCCTGTCGCCAGCTGGTTCCGACCCTGCCACTGCGGACGGGGCAAACGACTCAGTCACTGCTACGATCAGAGTTGCGCCATCTGCGGATGGAGTCCCCGGTGCAAATAACAACACTGGAAGCCACCCAGGAGTGCCAGAAGATCTTCAGCTACCTCATCCATCCCCAGACGCTGAACCTCCATTCAAATCGAGCCAATATCTACCCGATATACCAGGCTCTGACACGCAAAGCACTATCGCCTCTGTGCCAGACTCTATCGACCCCGAATTTGCGCCACCGGTACAATGGATCATGGACAAGGCCGAGGAGAAACGGGCCTTCCAGGGCGGTTTCACTGCACAGGTTCTGTCGAACCCATCCACGCCCAAGTGGTTGGACTTCTTATCTGTCGGACTGAAGGGGCCGGTACATGCGTCACTGCCGCCAAAAGATGAGGCGTTGCGGCTGGTGGAGGTCTTCTTCTGCTGCCACAATAGATTCTTTCCTCTCTACGACTATGCATCATTCATGAGTCTGGCACAACAGGAGTTTTCTGGTCAGCCAGACAAGCGGGTTGGGTGGTGGGCCAGCTTGCATAGTGTCATTGCTGTCGGGATACGCTTGCAGAACCCGGCAGATACGACTCAGGAGTCAACTGCACAAGCATGGCGCTATATGCACAATGCACTCAGTGTGTTGACCGAGTTGATGATGAGGAGTAACGATCTTCTGAGCGCACAAGCCATGTTGTGTATGGCGGTCTTTACCCGAGGCAATGGGGAGCCTCAGGCCAGTGCAATGTTAGTCTCCTGCGCCGTTCGACTTCTGCAAATTCTGGGGGTCAGACAAGGCAAAGCCACGACGGAATGTGACGCAGTCAACACACGTCAGATCAATCGGGCTCTCTGGTTTGCTTACATGCTGGACACCGAAAATTCCATGATTTCGACTCTACCTTTGATCCAGACTCCTGGTAATCTGAATATCGAGCTTCCCGCCGAAGAGCCACCGGACGGCTTGGGAATCATCCCCCTTGAAGACGGCCACAGCACGTTCAACTTATTTCGAGTCATGTCGGAGCTTTCCGTCATCGCAGCAAAGGTCTTCCAAGAACTCTACACTTCTAACGGGCGCAAGCGACCTGAACACGAGGTAGTGAAGACCATGGTGGATTTGGAACAGCAGCTTGAGGAATGGAAAGGTAGCATCGATATCGACTTCCAACCAGAGTACGAGATCAACACTTCGGACCCTTACCTTCGTCACTACATCCTGGTTCTGCACTTCCAGTATTACACATGCTTGAGCAACATTCATTTCGCTGCCCTGACCCTGAGGCGGTCGACAAGTGACAGTTCTTTTCAGAGTCAGATCATTTCATCTCGGGCCACATACTTCTCGTGCCTTCGAGCCATCCTTCGTATGAGTCGAGGTATTGCGGTGGACATGCCGGCATTTGTATGGTACGTTTTTCTCCATTCATCTGCCACATAACCCGATGTGAGCGATTCATCCTGACTCACCTGAAGGCGCACATTGTGTTATCCTGTTCTGGCGTCGATGGCCTTGTTCGTTGGCATTCGAGACGACCCAAATGCTCCCCGGGCTTTGACGGATGTCGCGCTCCTTGATTCATTGGCGAGTCTCTTTTCGAAGATGAAGGATCCCGATATTGGGAGCGTTGGCCAAATTCGTCGACTATTTTCGGAGCTTGGGCGATTGAGCCGCGAAATTGTCACTAAAGCGCAGATTGTTTCAAAGGGAAACAAATGGACAGGTATTTAACACGCCCTCTGGGGCATAGGCTGATTTGGACATTGACTGACTCACATATATAGGTCCCGGAAAGGATTCAGAGGACCCGTCAAGCATTGGGTCCGGAATGCAGCACGATGGTGTGCCGGTACGTACTGTCACGCTCTTTGCTCTTTGCCATGCTATGGAGCCTCTATTATGGTCTGATCTGACACGAAACCAGGATGGTATATCCGGTGGTTCCACTTTTCCTGTTTCATTTTCCGGCTTCGGACCAGGCTTCGGGAGTTCCATGCCGGCCACGTTCCTGGATTCACAGGTTGACTTTCCAAATTGCCTGCCCATGTGGAATTCCGAGGCATTTCAGATCACTGATGATTTTCCGATGGACATGCCAATGCACAGCTACAATTAATTTGGCGAAGATGAGTCCAAGTGAGTGTAAGGGAACTAGCTCTCTGTTTGGGACAGTAGGCATTCCGAAGAGGGGAGAGTTAGGGTCGTCATGAGATCCTCCAATTACATATGCTTTGCTATACGGAATGTGAAACATATAGCATATGTATGATAGGCAGATATCGTAAAAAGAAGCTCGAGAAGCCGTGCTTTTTGTTTTGGTGATAGCGTCTACCATGTACCAATGTGTACGGCCCCCAGTTTATCCCGCAGAGCCTCATGCTTAACCTTGCGCCGGAGAGCGTCAATGGCATTTCGGGCTTTCTCTCATAGCGAACCAGGGTCAACGTCCTGGACCGCTTGTTTTGTGTGCTCGAAAGTTCGGGCAGCGAGAAGCAAGTCATCTTCCATATTGTGGCTCTAGGATTCCATTCCATAACACCCACCGGTAGACTAGTTCTGCCGTCGACACACCCTCTTCGCGGGCATTGGATGCCTCTTCTGCTAGTGCCTCCCAGGTAATTCGGCTCCCAAAATATCTGCTGATATACCTGGCCATACTTCTCGCTTGGGTCGAACTTCCTGATCCCACTGAGGATCTGTTCCTTTATCTTTGCTAGTAGCCCGCCGGCCAGCAGGCTGTATGAGCAGAACTGATGCCTAATCTTCTCAAGATCGGAATCAGAACTGTCTCCGGTTTCCTTATCACGTAGCTGTAACAGCCCTGGTAGACGGCGGGCAGGATATATGCTGCGTCCTTTGCGAGACCATACACACGCTCCACCTCGGCCAACGGGAAGTCAGTCCGTCCGAAGCGCTCGAATTGCCCGGCCTCATGTATGTTGTTTATTCCAGTGAGCGCGTTTCTTCAAGTGCTACTCCAGGATCCGGCGCGTGGACTACGTAGGAGAACGCGGGCTTTCTCCACGTTGATCTTTGCGCTGTCAAAGTTATTGGGTCAATTCAAATCTCCGAACATTTCTAGTAATCTAACAACCAAAGAGTCACTCTATCGCTGTGTTCGCTGGGCATGTCTATGCCAGACTGTTATTATCGGTGATATTACTCGGCCAACCCCTTTTCGCTAATTCGTTTTCGATCTTTATTCACCTTTGCACTCATTCTTATTCAAGGCCTTCCACGTATAGTGTTTAGAGGAAGCAAGTAGTAGAATACAAATTGTGATCGGCGGCTTGGGGCTGAACCAAAGCCAAGATTTTCAAGCCATGGCAGAGTTCCTTACTGCGAATGGCATCGAGGACATAAACGCTTGGCCAGCACGTGGCCAGGTACCTATGGTACGAGGCTGGAAATACCTACTATATATATCCGTACTACTGCTGGCGATGGATAGTACTTAAATTATCCCTTTACTGGACATCAATTCGAAGGAAATTCTGAATATCACTTCAGAGCCACGGCCTTCAACTTAACTGGCAAGGGTGGTTTATGCCAAAAGAAATAGTGCTCACACCTCTCTACCCAGCCAGCCCCTTCCGGTGTGGGCTCGAAATCGAAGTTTTTGAAAATGAGCGACGTGATGAATCTCATCTCGTGATAAGCAAGGCTGTTCCTTGGTTAGCATGGCAAAATCCATCTGGGCCCATTAGGTGGAGAGCCTACGTCTTTCCCACGCAGGCACGTGGTCCGTATGAGAAAGTCTGAACGACTCCTTTGTTATCGTTGGCATATCTAGGATCGTACCAAGGATGGTCGGTCGGCAGCCATCGTTCTGGAACGAAGTCGTCGGGATCGCAGAAATTGACGCTGGCTCTGTGCGTGGCCCACTGGGGAACTTCAAGTAGGGTCTGGCAAAGCAACGCGTGCGGTGTTAACTCTTGTGATTGTGCTACCGGACGTACACCATGCGATAGCCTCAGCTTGAGGGACACTTACCTGCGGAGGCAGATAGTAATTCTCAATGGATCCTCCGCTTGCGCCCACCTGCCGAGGGGCTCCAACTGGCACAGCTGGAAATAGTCGCAAAGTCTCCTCGATGCATGCGTGGACGTAGGGAACATTCGCAGTGTCCAGCAGGGTCACTTCGTCGTCGCCCGCTTTGAAGGTTGAGCGAACCTCGTGCGTGAGTCGAGCATACTTCTCAGGATTCTTGAGGAGATAGTCTATCAGACCAGATAAAGTCGTCGCCGTGGTCTCACTGCCGGCGACAATTAATGTGGAAGCATTTCGCTCAAGTTCCTGCTGGGTCAAACCTGTTCCATCGGATTTCCAAATGTAAGATATGAAGTCTTTTCGGTCGTTTGCACCCCGTGCTAGCCTCTGTCTGATTTTCTGCTCACTGAGCTCAAAGTGCTCGGTGGCGCGTCGCTTGATCTCCGCGGGTGTAAGCAGAATGGCAAGTTGTTTGATCAATGGAAACTCCTCCAGGAAGCCCGACATTTTGTTGATCTTGATACTGTCAAAGATCAAATTGACCCACGGATGAGACTCGCCCCCCTCAAGCGACCCAAATGACTCTCCAAAGGCGAGATCGCCAAATGTGTCGAATGTGTAGAAATTGAACCACTTGGCAACGTCAATGACGGTCTGATCTCGCTTCTTCCATTGCAGGATCAGAATCTTTGCGTAGTCATGGAATATCGACTGCTGCTCCTGGATCGCCTTGTCTGAGAACGCGCGAATGATTTCCTTCCTCAGCCGGCGATGTTCAGCCGTGGGTGCAGTGACGATATCCTTGGGGACATTCGGAAAGAAGTCTGGCCACTTTGACCATTCTTCCGCATCGCGCGATTTATGACCGTAGATTGCCTTCCAACCAATCTCTCCCCTTACACTAAGCTTGTGTGGCCCAACTCGGACAACTGGTCCATAACGCTCATGCAGTTCGCGATTCACCAGGTTCCAGCGCCCGCTGATACATATGTAGTATGTACCGGGTATCGTTGAAATGGCCAGGTACCAAGGTCCAGGTGCTTTGGATAGTGGATGCAAGAAGAGTCGGTGCACTGTCCTTGCGAAGTAGTACAACAGGACCTATTTAGATATCTCAGTTTGGGTATGTGACACTGAGTGACCCGACCATTTACCCCAAAGGCTATATTCGAAATAGTGAACACTGCTGGCAAATCTGCCATTTTGCTGTCGATAGAAGAAACCACACCAGTAGACGCTATTCTGGGAGGCGTGAATATAAGAGTAGATGACAGAATTGTAGGAAGTGTCACTGAAGGTGACAAAATTCGTGTTACGGAATGCGTCTTTGGTTTTCCCGCAGGTTCGTCCCGACCGCGGGAGTTGGCAGATGGGAATAGCCGTTCACATCAACCATGCGGCCGAGGCTCACAAACCGAAGTTCTCAGAACAGCCATTATATGAATTCGAACTGAGGTACTTTTGCTGCCGAGTTGATGATCCATCGCTACACCATGGAATACGCCAAGATCCCCCCACGATCTTCGTCAAAGCCAACACCGTTTCAAGTGTCGATCCCTGATTCGCAGGTTGCACGTCTCCATCGACACCTGGACCTCGCTGAACTCGCGCCCGAGACGTATGAGAATCTGAAAGAAGATGAAAGTGTAGGGATTTCTCATGCATGGCTTTCCAATGCTCTCCACTCATGGAAAACTCAATACGACTGGTGAGATTAATGAAAACTGCAAAAGCAAAAAAGGCCCAAACCTCTAAAAAAAATTCTGTGTAGGCGTCAGACCGAGAAACGCATAAACTCGTTCCCCAATTACCAGGTTTCGGTGACCGATGAGGTGGGAACGGATTATAGCATTCACATTGTTGCACTTTTCTCAGAGAAGCCAGACGCCATCCCGATCGTGATGCTACATGGTTGGCCTGGTATTACTACGCCCGATACTGATTCTGACAAATACCCATCAAACGAGACGCTGACTGCTTGTTAGGGAGTTTCATGGAATTCCTGCCGTGTCTCGACATTGTCAGGAACCGCTACACCCCATCGACTCTGCCTTACCACATAATTGTTCCCAGCATAGTTGGCTACTGTTTTTCGACAGGGCCTTCGACCAAGTCAAATACAACGGTTGCTGACGTTGCTTGGGTCATCAACTCTATGATGGTTGGTCTGGGCTTTCAAGACGGTTACATTGCCCAAGGCGGTGATATTGGGAGTTACCTGGCGAGGATCCTCGGATCAAAGTTTGAAGAATGCAAGGCAGTCCACTGTAAGTTTCGAGACGTTTCGCATAGATTTACCATCCCTGAATCAGCACTTTGGAAACACTAGTGAACTTCTGTGGCATGCAAAAGCCACAGAATGCCGATGCCACGAGCGAAGCACTGAGTAAGATCGAAGAGGCCGCACTCGAACAATCCAGGCTGTCCTCCATGACTGAATTCGCCTACGCCCTCGAGCACGCCACCAGGCCGGCCACAATTGGCTTCGTACTATCGTCAAATCCCGTTGCATTGCTGAGTTGGTAAGTCTGATTCAACAACCATCTTTATAGCAAGCTACTGATCGCTTTCCCGACAACAGGATAGGCGAGAAGTACTTGGCTTGGTCACACCAGAATCCCCCACTCTCCGTGATACTCGATGCGGCCTCAGTCTACTGGTTTACCAAGACCATCGCCCGCTGTCTATACCCATACCGCGACGTGTTGCGGTCTCCATACCATGACTTGCCCGAGTACTTCATCCATAAGCCCCTGGGCTTCTCATCCTTCCCTTACGAGATCACACCCACCCCGATTTCGTGGGTTCGATCGACTGGGAATCTGGCATGGAGCAGGACGCATAGTGAAGGAGGCCACTTCGCCGCATTAGAAACGCCTGATGCCTTTCTTCGGGACATTGAAGATTTTGTAGCAAGTGTCTGGGCACCATGACTGTCTCATTGTATTTGAATAAGCTTCAGCGGATGGTGTAATAAATTGCATGATGGATCATCAGACTAGAGTCGATAATTCGATGCCTTGGAATAGCTCTATCTAGCATCCTCATTCCTGTCCTTCTTTTGAGCTCGCGAACTAGAGTGAACGCGAGAAAGACCGTCCACCATATCACCCAGTGATGGCACTGGACTGGAATGGACTGGGTTTGGCCTGGAATTCACGTAGTCCGCCAGGAACAAAGGCGAAGCTCAAGATATCACGTGACGTTCATTTCAGGTACAGCGCCTCTTAGTAAGTGGAATTTATCAAGAGATATGGTTTCCATTTCGCAAATTCACTGCAGTTTCTCGAAAACCATTTGGAGCTCCAGAGCTTTCAAGGGGCCTCCATCCAGTCCAGTCCAAAATGGCTTCAGTCCAGTTCCATCACTGATACCACCCTGGAACCAATTAAGATATGGCTCTCGTAGAGCTCACACCGTTTTCTGCAAGAGCAAGTCGACATCAGCAAGTCGACATCTTCATGGCTCAAAAAAGCACTTGAACCCCTGCTCAGTAGGAGATAGTAACGAAAGCGCTAGATAGTCCTAGCGATATGAGATAGGTTGGGAAAATTGGGCACAACCGCGGATGGATAGGAGGCAGCGTCATTCTTCCCCAAGGTCTTGCAAGTCTTTCGCCATTAGCGGTGATTGGAAAATCTTGGAATATAAGATATATTAAAGCCCGTTGCCGTGGCGTCGATAATAATATCGACTTGATACTCTTGGCCCCCGAGCGTGATTGCCTAAACAATTCCAAAAGGTCCAATGCCCACTCTCCTCCCATGGTTGTCCGCCTCTCGGGCGGGCAGTATTGGAGGGTGGGGTGACCTGCCGAAAACTTTCTTCTATCGAGGACTCAACTGCGTTGAATTCGGAACGATCATCGGTTAAAATCAAGTCAAACAACACAGTGACCCGGGAGTCACACCACCACTACTGCAGCGTTATCGGAAGGCATTTAACCGATATAATACGGCAATCTAGATCATCTTATATAATTACCGACAGAGATCCACAAAACTAGTGGAAGTCTTTCAAGCAATTGCTGTTGCTCTCCCATTCTTCAACATCATCATCCATCATACCTATCGAATATGGCCATCAAAGAGGGACCGAAACGTGCTCCTTGCTTCTTTGTCTCCCATGGAGCAGGTCCATTGGCAATTCTGCGGGCACCTTCCCAGCAGCCTTTGATTGATCTCTGCAAGGAGACTGCTTGGGTGCTGGATGGGTCCAAAGGGGTGATTGTTGTGACCGCACACTGGACGGCCGACAAGACATACATCTCATCGGCCGCAAAGCCGCCAATTTACTGTGATTATTTCCCTGTACCCGGAAACCCACTGCCAAAGGAAGCTTGGGAAATTGTCTACGATGCGCCTGGAGACCCGGAACTTGCGCGTCGGATCAAGGAGAGCGCGGAGCGACAAGGCTTGGAAGCTGAGCTGGACGACGTACGGGGTTGGGATCACGGTGTATGGACACCACTAATGCTCCTTCGCCCACAGGCCGACCTTCCAGTCGTTCAGGTCTCAATTCCAGAGGGAGACAAGGTCATCGAGCAGTCTTTCGCCCTGGGCAAGGCGTTGGAGCCCTTCCGAGACGAAGGCTGGGCGATTCTCGGAAGTGGGCACACGTACCACAACTTCAAAAAGATCATTGAGCCTATCATGGGCGTCCCTGACGCAAAGGTCCCACCAGTCGGTGTCAATCGAGCATTTGAAGACAAACTGGAGGAGGTGGCAACGGTGAAGGATCTCAAGAAGCGGTTGGACGGGATGAGCAAGTGGAAGTCTTTTCCAGAGGCTGACGAGGTGCAACCTCCTGGTAATGATGAACATTTCACGCCATTTTTGGTTACTGCTGCAGCCGGCGGCTCTGATCCCGGCAAGAGACTGGGAGAGTGGGAAATGTTCAATACCGTCAGCTCCTCGTATCTCTGGGCTTGACACGAGATTATGGTGGGATGGCTTTGGCTTTCCAGGACTGATGGATTGAGCGGACTTTTCACCGCTGGAGTTTAGTTTCGACAATGTATAGCATCCTCTCATTGTAATGCAATATCACCTTGAAGGAAGGTCATTTCAACCGTGTTTGCTCTCGCCCTGGTAGATGCTAAGCATATCCTTCCCCCAATGTAGCCCCCATCCCCGTTCATGAGAAGGTGCGGCGTGTGAACGAGGCCTTGGCAGCAAGGAACGCCTGGCTTTCCCCGTTTACTGCCCTAGAGCTTCTGCAGGAATCATTCAGCAAATCATTTAGCAATAAAATCTCCACTCTGGAAGATGTTACATAGTTTTGCCGCTTTTCCGTCGCCCGAGATCTACAACATCAGACTGCGGGGTGCCGGGCCGGACCGCTACTGTTCGGCGATAGACATGATTAGACCATCCGAAAATGTCGAGAAATCGGACAGATAGAGCAAACACTCCCGGGTGTGACGAAGGTTCGGGTGCAAAGGACCCGGTGCGATTGTTACGAACTGATAAAGTGTTCAAACGAGTCCTTAAGGCATATCAATATCTGGAGCAATATAATCATCTTGTCTGCGAGTCGTGGGTGTGCCTACCTGAACTATTTCAATCCAAGAAGCAGAAGTCTTAAATCAATTATTCCCTCACTAGCAACCAAAAATGTCGTGGACTCATCTCGTACGATTCAACCACAAAGGTTCCCCTACTTTCGCACAACTTGTCGACCCAAAAGAGAATGGTGAATTAGATGACAAGATCAAAGTGAAGATCGCCACTGGAAATCCTGTCAAACGCAACATCAAGTTGACCGGAGAGACTGTAACCGTGGACAAGAAGGACTTATTACCACCCGCGGCAGATGTTCCGATCGTGGTACAAACCGGGCTGAACTATAATGACCACGTCAAAGAGGCCACAGAAGTTGGATATCAGGTCCGTTGTTTCCTCGTGTCTTTGCAATTGAAATATTTGTTGTTGTTGATGCGTGTGCTTGCAGAATCTCCCACCTCCCCGCCCATATCTCTTCTGGCGGCCACCAACCTGTCTCGCTGGTCCATACGCGAAAATCAACGTACACCCAGTCCAGCAAGACTCGCTCGACTATGAGGGCGAACTGATCATTCTGGTGGGATACGAGCCTTTCAAAGATGTCACGGTTGAGGAAGCAGGGAAGCAGATCATCGGATATAGCGTAGGAAACGATCTGTCTCCTCGTCCAGGGCCCAAACTCGGTGCCATGAACTACATCTGGTCCAAAGGGTTCGACGAGTTCACGCCAATCGGACCGGTTTTGGTGAATTCTGACGTTCTTGGAGTTCCACCCGCCATCGAATTGAAAACCATCGTGGATGGCAAGGTCGTTCAGCAGGACAATACCAAGAATATGACATTCAATGTTGCCGAGGTGGTTGCCGCCATGGCTACAGGTATGTGACTCTCATTGTTCCCTTGATCCTACGAGCTACCGTAGAGACTAACAATCGTCTCTCATTCAAGGGACCACTGTTCAACCAGGCACCGTCGTTTTCACAGGTACTTGTGGAGGTGGCCAATGGTTCACTGACAAAGGCAAGACCCATGGCGTTCCCGATGGCTCGTTGGTCGAGGTTCAGTTCGAGAAGATTGGCAAGATTTCAAACATTGCACACTTCCTATAAACGCAGTGCAGTCTAGCCACTCCAGTCGTATGCTGGTCTTTAGTGTAGAGACATGCTCGTGCATGTTGGAAATGCTATTGATCAGCCTTTGAAAGAATCTTCGAATGCTTTCGGAAATTAGTTAGGAGTAGATGGTGAAATCAAGAACTCGTTCCCTTATCAACTCAGCTCACTACTGCTTCCCATACGCACAAGGGCCGATTATTGTCGAAGAATTGGAGTCAACGGTACGTTACAATGTCTCCCACTGACTCTCCAGTTAGTGCATTCGCCTCGCAGTCTTTCGGAAGACAATTGGTCGTTTTAAAGGTTGTAATCATCGGTGTCAGGGAGCAGCGGTGAGAGCTAGGGCAGGCACGTGTTACCTCTTGTATATAGCCTCAACTTTCTCTAGACCTCTCTCTTCTCTATAATCATCATCCAATACATCACGTACACGGCATACAGCTCCTTGGTCCGTGACAATCGGCTATGGGAAATTCGAGCTCGGAGCTTGACATTTCGGCAACCGGCTGCACAGGCAGTTTTTATGACGAGTCAATGCAGGTTCATAAATTGGGCACAAGCGCGGAGGAGATGGTCCAATCACTCTCATCTCCTGCTGACGGCTGAAGCGCCGCGGAACCAAAAGCAGGAATCAGCCTCGAGATTAATGCGGGGAAAATCTCCGAGGTCCCCCCCTTGTAGATTTGAATGCTCGGGTCCAACGGGTGGCGTTTATCCGGGTTTCGCAAATCTTACACCATGAGTGGGATTCGGTAATCAAAGCTGTGAACTGCCAATTGAGCTTCGTTGGACTGGTTCTTGTTTTTAAAATCTACTGCAACTGGTTTTCATGTGCGCACTACCTAGTCTTCTCATACAATCACGACAACTCCTCCAGTGATAGCACAATCTTTGAGTCCACGACCACAATGCTGCTCAACGACCTTGCGCTTCTCCTCCAGCAGTGGCACCTGCAGATCTTGGTTGGCCTTGTCCCCAGTCTCCTGCTGTTCGCAGTCTACCGCCATTATGAAACCCACAATTTGCCAGTGATCAATGGACCAAGACTGTTCGAGTTTTCCGACAAACGAATGAAGCGAGAATACACGATTCGGGGACGTCAACTGCTACGGGAGGGTTTACAAAAGTTTGGCGGCAAACCGTTCAATATGATGACTGACCATGGGTACGAAACAATCTTTGGGCCTCAATACATAGACGAACTACGTAACCTGGAGGGCGTCAGTCATGCCAGAGCAATCGCCAAGGTATATCATATCTCTCACGGTGAATTAGATCTTCCAAACACCTACATATGCTGATTTCGGTGGATTCTAGATGGTGAATGCTCATTATCCAGGCTTGGAAGCTTTCCACGAATTCGGCTACGGTGAAGGCATCATTCAGGACGCCGTCAAGTTGAAACTCACCCAGGCACTCGGTGGGTGAAAGTGACACACGAAACGCAACCGTGTAACATCGCTTTCGACAGCTAACATTCTTTACCAGGAGGTCTGACGCAGCCGCTCTCTGATGAGACTGCCCTAATGCTCCAAGGAGCTTTCACAGACAACAAAGGTAGGTAGCAAGGACCATGAATCAGCAGTCTGTTCCTGACGGTTTCCCAGAGTGGCATAGTATTAGTCCACAGCCAGTTCTCCTCAACGCTGTTGCCCGTGTCTCGTCCCGTCTGTTCCTTGGTGATCGATTGTGCAGAGATCCAGCGTGGCTGAAGATAACCACGACATATACGAACCACGTGGCCGCGACGATTTTCCAGCTGAATTCATACCCAGCCATTTTCCGACGAATCGTTGCTCCATACTTGACACGGGTTCAGGCGCTGCGCGCACAGGTACGCGAGGCTCGCGGTCTCATTGGTAAGGTCCTTGATGAGCGTGCAAGCTTAGAGGCCAAGGGAGAGAAGCCCGAGTATGTGGACGCTATTGAATGGTTCAAAGACATTGCTCAGGGGCGCCACTACGACCCGGTATACGTGCAACTGACCTTGTCCTTTGTTGCAATCCATACCACCGCCGATATGATCACGCAATTGATGTTTGACCTCGCCCAGAGCCCAGAGTACATTCAACCACTTCGCGAAGAAGTGATTGCTGTTCTGGGAAAGGATGGTTGGAAGAAGACCTCGTTGTACAACCTCAAACTACTTGATAGCGCCATGAAAGAGAGCCAGAGACTTCGGCCCATCAATGATAGTAAGTCAGCCCGGGCTTTCTTTGACCAGCCATTTCTTTTGGTCTTCACCAAGCTAACGCTAAGCTTAACGTTAGCCGCTATGCGACGCCTTGTTCTCAAGAAGATCGTGTTGTCGGACGGAACCGTTCTTCGCCCAAATCAAGTATTCGCAGCTACTTCGACGCAACACTGGGATCCCGAGATCTACCCTGATCCCGAAAAATTTGTGGCAGACCGATTTCTGAAGATGCGAGCCCAGCCAGGCAAGGAAAATATCGGTCAATTTGTCACCACCAATCCAAACCACCTTGGTTTCGGGCATGGGAGCCACGCGTGCCCCGGCCGGTTCTTTGCGTCAAATGAGATCAAGATAATCATGTGTCACATTCTGTTGAAGTATGATTGGAGACTTCCTGCGGGAGAAACTCCGAAACCTTTCATTCACGGCTTCCATCTTGCCGTTGACCACAAAACGAAGCTGGAGATTCGCAGACGGGAGGCGGAGGTCGACATTGATAATTTGGTTTGATGAGCCACGCATGCAGATGACTTACGCTTATCTAAAGCGCAATGCATCAACATTATTCAACATTGGGCCCAGTATATGTCAGGAAGGTGATGTTCGGCATACATATTTCTTACGTAAAAATCATAAATAGGTATCAAACCTCGGAAATAATTTCCAGATAGCTATGTCGATTATAACAACCTTAAGAATGAATGACAAGAAGCCGTGTCAAGCTCATGATGAAGTAGAGCTCCCGACGGGCCTCGACCTACGTAAGCCAATGAATCCCGCAGAAGCCTTGGGTCATTTTGTGACTGGGACAAAGGCATTCTTTGCTTTGCCTGGCATGGCTAGTTCACCCTCTCCCTTTCCTCCCTTGCTTGTTGATATATTTTCCGTCACACACCTACTCACATCTAGCTGTCAAATATGGTAAAGCTTTACCCCAACTACAGCTTGGGTGAGCCATCTGCAGTCATGTGCAATGCCGCACGATACCCATACATCATCCCACGCATGCCAGCCACGCCACTCGAATAACCTCCACCCCAGTCCTGCCAGGCCGTGGAGTTTCCAGCTGCAAAGAGGCCAGGGATAGGTGTTCCCAGCACGGTCAGGACCCGGCCATGTTCATCGGTCTGCAGACCTGCAGTGCCCGCCCCGAGCGACACGTGAACCAACTGAATTGCGTAGAATGGGGCTCGAGTAAGCTCTGCCATGTTGGGGTTCTTCAATCGGTAGTCGCCCACCATGAGTGCAGACCAGGGAAACGTGCCGCGGCCAAAATCAGGGTCAGTGGCCGTCTCACAGAAGCCGTTGTATCGTTCCACAGTCTCGCTCAGACCGGCCGGGTCAATGCCAGTGCGCTCAGCAAGCTCTTTGATGCTGTCGGCCTGGATGGCAAGGCCTTCGGGAAGTGGCTGCCCAGGATAGGTCGGCGCCAGACCATACTTGTCGAGCATGCTTTGGTCAAAAACCAGCCAGGCGGGCCAATGGGGCATGTGTGTCATCTGGCTGCCATATCGGGTCACCTGTTCGACCACATGGGGATAGAAGCCATCATTTGCAAATCTGCGGCCCTGCCGATTCACGATGATACTGTGAGGTGCGCCTGCCAGCAGTAGACGTGAGGACGGATGCCCGAAGATGACCTCTCCTGGAACGCGATACCCGACAAAGATAGGAGATTGGCCTGGAAGACGTGCTGGGATCGGAATAGCACCGACCTTGGATGCCATGACGATGTGGTCGCCGGTGATTGTGGGTGGCACCATGGTTGAAGAGTCCTTCAGTCCGTCAAATGCCTGCATCAGATCTTTCCGCCAATCGTACCCCCCCATGGCCATAATCACCCCTTGCCGTGCTTGCAACCGAACTGCTTTTTCATGATTCCCATTTCCATTCGCAGTCCCATTCGTAGTCGCAGTCCCTCCTGACGACGACGTGACTGGTTCAACAAGCACCCCTGCAACTCTTCCGCCTTCCACGATCAAATCCGCGAGCGCGGTTGAAGTCCGAAACTCGACGTTGCGCTGGAGCGCGGCGTAGACGAGGGCGGCCGACAATCCAGCGCCTCCACAGCGTTCATCTTCCTGGACGTGCCGTTGAAGGCACTCGACGATGTTTCCCTGGCCGGTCTGCGACGCAGCCCATTCGGTGCCAGTGACATAGCTGAAGGAGGGACCGTATGGTGAGGTGAGTACCTTGTCCGCCCACTTTCCCAAGCGCTTGCCAGGAAAAGGCTTGCTTTCCAGAAAGCGCCCCTCGACCTTGGAACCTTGGACGGACGGGTAGTAGTAGTCTGGCACGCCTCGAATGACCTGTAATTCGACCCCGATCTTTTCGGTAAAGTAATGAATGGCTTCACGACTTGTAGCGAGATAGCCCAGCTTCAAGTTTTCCTTGGCCAAGCCGCGCGAAATCGTGTTCATATATGCTTGGGCTTCTTCAACTGTGTCTTCAAAACCCAAGCTCTCTGAAAGCGGATTGGGTCCTGGCCATAGTACTCCAGACGACAAAGCCGTGACGCCGCCCAGTTTATCAAGCTTCTCTAGCACGAGAACACGTGCACCTCGCTCAGCGGCGGTGATGGCGGCCGAGAGACCACCGACTCCAGATCCGGCGACGACAACATCATAGGTATCGCTGTATTGGGTGGCCATGTCACAATCTCTGTTGAGTGCGAAAAGGGGATCAAATCTCGGTATGGACAGTCCTGGGTCTTATTATTCAGATTGAGACGGCGATTGGAAGGAGTCTGACCTACAAACAAACAAACGAACGAACCTACCCGGGGCATCCATCCCGTGACAGCGTGGACTGAGATCGGCAACTTCAGGCTTTCTGCCTCGTTGGGATCTACGGGACGTCGGTTTATCCGGATTATTGTAGTTTGCCCTTTCATCTTTCTCACATGACAAAGTAGAGTTCCGTTCCGGTACCCTCCAAGGAAGGTGACGGGGATGCAGAGACATCAGTGAGGATCACTACTTTCCTAGGAGCCCGTCGCCATCACCCTATTCACGCCGGGCGCCACTCCGGAAACGCTCCCAGAGAGCTTCTGGTGTCATTTTCAGCGATAAATAGACTGCCTAGAACTCTGCAAAAGGGCTACTTTCTCTGGAAGAAAGCTTACTTGTCTCTGTGTCTCGCACCTACTAGGTTCTACTTACAGAGCGACTGCTGCCAGCATGACGGCCAATCTTGCCACCACAGAGACGGAGTGGCCCACGTCGACTCCCGTGCCCGCGGCTGTCAAGAAGTTCCTCGACGACTTCTTCGTGGTCATGGACAACAATACCCCTGATGCTGGGGAGAAGCTGGCAGCCGACTTCTTCACGCCCACGGCAACCTTCACGATAACAGGAGGAACATATGTGGGATCGGAAGGTGGGCAAATTTACCTGTGTCTCAATTTTCCTTGGATCTGTATCTCTTCTTCCAAAGAAACTTGAATTTTATTCAGCAGTGCTAAATCTGTACGGCTCACAGAAATAAAGGGCTCGCGCATCGCGGCCTGGAAAGTGGTGACGTCGAGACAGCATAAGATCCTCAAGTCGTACACCTGTACAGACGATGCTTCTGATCTTTTGAACATTGGTCTCGCCAAAATGGGCCTCGTCAACGGCAAACATCTGGAAGGGAACTTTCTCAGTCGAATCGTATTTGAGGATATTAAATCACCCAATCTCAAAATGAAGTTGTTTCAGGTCTGGGGGGTATGTTCAGGACTCTATTATTCCCTTTCCTTTCCCTTTCAAATGTGGCCCGGTAGCTAATCAATCGCAACAATGACTAGGACTCTGGCCCACTCATCAAAGCACTGCAGGAAGAGTAAGAGTAATCTATTGCGCAAAATGAATGATAATACAATCTACCACAATGCCTAACTTCAAAGCTACGGAAGTTGTCCTCGTTCGTTTTCTATGTGAAGTTCGAGTTCAACTTTAGAGCTATAACGTATATGTACATACATCAATCTCTCAGCATTGCGTTAGTTGACATGACCCTCGAAAAATAAATCCAGAGTTATGTAGATAGATAACTGCCAAAACAACTACCCTCTTCCATACCACAGTCTTGTAGTTGCTTGCTATGACAGATCATTTTGAGACAACACTATTGTGTCTCAACTCGACTAGTTATGTTTCTTCGACATCAAATTAATAGAAAAATGAATAACCAGAATGACGGATAGTACGTAGCAAAAGAAAATATCTAGAAAAAGAATTCTGGCAGTAGGAATCATTCGATAAATTCCCCCTCTATCTACCTTCTTATTGTGATTTCCTCCCTCAATACGCAGAGCGAATGAATGACCGATCATGCGCAGCAACAATGTCCCATGGGTTCCAAAGACGTGACCTTCTTTTTGCACTCACTCACTTGGTGAGCTTGTCCTCAACAGCCTTGAAATCTTCTTCTGTAAGAACAGTAGTTGCATCGGTGAACGACATGTAGTCGGTGGTATCGGTTCCGTGCTGCTCAGAGTAGGTCATGCCGTTCCCTATCCAACGAAGGGACTGGCCTTCTGGCAGCCATGACTCGTAGTCAAAATCTTCCCATCGAGGGTTGCGCCATGCATGGTAGGCATTCATGGCCGAGCCTGGCCAATTGATAATGGATCGACCGTTCTCAATGTTTCGCTTGAACCATGTACGACACTGGCAAATTTCTTTGTGTTAGAAGCGGGCATCATTTCAGGTGCTAAACAGAAAATAATAGAACACGCATTGCATTGCGTTACTCACCGTTCCTGAAATGACAGTTTTACTGGTCCAGTAGTCGACCTGATTCATCCAGTCTTGTGTTGCTCTTGTGCTGTTTTTGAACTCTCATTAGAAACAGGTCCACAAGGTAGTATTGAAGAAGATAGTGGAGAGGGAAAATGAAAAGGCCCCGATCAACTAACCTGGGGGTAATGGACTTGAGGTATTCTTGCTGGAGCTTTGTGATGCACTTTATGACGAAGCCACAAGCGCCCTCCATTGTATGGCAGATGGAACCAGCCACTGGGGCCGAATTGGGACCGAACAACTGAAACATATTTGGGAATTTCGGCACCGCAAGAGAGAGATACGCGACGGGTTCGGGATCCCATTGTTCGGCGAGCGGGAGGCCACCTTGTCCAAGAATCGGAGTTGTCGCATTGTCCAGTTTACTTTGCAACTGGCTGTCAGCAGTGCCCATGAATGAAATGAAATGAAAGGCTTGCTTGCCAATCTTTGGAGGTTTTGCTTACGTGTCAAAGCCGGTCGCACATATGATGGCATCATATTCTCGGATGGTTCCATCGGGGTGCTGGATTCCCTCTTTGGTAAAGCGAGCGATGTCGCATTTGATGAGAGTGGCATTGGGCTGAACCAGCGCTTCCATCCATCGTTGACCCATGACCAACCGGCGACAGCCGGCCGGGTAGTCAGGTTTTAGGAGTTCAAAATACCCCTGTTTTGGCGCCAGCGTCGCTTTCATGTTGGCCTCAACCAGGGCGTGGAGCTGCGCGTTGGCTTCGGTGTCCTTCATCAACCCGGCTTGATACCCGTTACACAGATGTTCGATCTTTTTGCGATAGCTCAAGTACGTGAGTGGTTCCCTGGAGAATTTCTTGACCTCCTCGACTGGATGATCGACTTTTCACCCTCGGTTAATCGAACGCTAGACCCCCTAGAGAGACGGAAACACTTACAGTTCAACCTCTCTCCGCGTTCGAGGATTTCTTCCATCGCCGTTCCGCCGGCCGGCGCCACCCAGAGCGGACCGCGCACGTAATGGTCGACAGATTTCACCAAAGGCTGGATTGCCGGCATGACCTGAACGCCAGTGGCACCATAGCCGATGACTGCCACACGCTTTCCAGTGACATCATACGAATCGTCCCACCTGGCCGTGTGCATCATTTTGCCCTGGTAGTCTTGTCGCCCTGGGATGTCGGGAAATCTCCAGTCATTCACCAGACCCATACACCTGATCATAACCTCTGCCCTGTCTCTGACCACCTAGATCGGGAGAAAACAATCAGTCCAGAATTGCTGCTTTGCTGCTTCGTTGCGGTGCTGCTTTGGACAAGTGTTGAGAGTGGAAGTTGATTGGACTTACGACGTTGTCGTCGAGACGGAGAACCTCCACCTCCCATTGCCCATCGTCCTCGATCCATCTCGCAGTCAAAAACTTGTGGCGGAACTTGGTCCGATCATAAACCCCAAATCTCTTCGCTACCACCTTCAGATAATGCTCGAATTCGCGTCCGGGAGGGAAGAAACGGCTCCAGCGAGGGTTGCTGGCAAAGGTGTATTGATACGTATGCGGTGTTAGATCTTGCTCGCATTAGTCGATGATCGATATGCGAACCGAACGTGTGAGGGACGAAAATGCTCTTACCGGGCTGCACTCCAGGATAACTGAGTGTTTTAGTCAGTCAAGAATAACCATGACCATATTTTGCTCTTGACTCACTGGTTTTCGTACCACCCTCCGCCAACATCGTCGTTCTTTTCGTATATGACGAGGTCCAAGTTGGGGATTTTCTGTGGAAGCATGCAGCCCGCAGTTATACCACTCATGCCAGCACCAATGCATATGACCTTGATCGGGCGATAGTCATCGATAGCCCGCTCCCCCGGATCGGATGGCACTCGCAGTTCATGAGGAGAGATGGAGCCCATTTTTCTTTACAGAAGAAAGACGGATACCGACTAGATTCAATCAAACAATACCGAAAAGCAGACCAGTGGCAGCGCTCAAGATTGGTAGTAGTGTCGTCCTGAGAGGTTGTATTTGTGCTACATGCAACTTCCTCGGACTACTATTCACTGTAAGACCGAAATGCATATGGGGCGCTTGGTGGGACCAGATCTGCGTGACATCTCGTCATTCACTTGCCAGAAAGATGTAACGCAAGTTACCGGACTATGTGCCTAAGCCGGATGAGCTGTTGAAAAGAAGTTCCTAGTGGTGGACAAGGGTCAAATTTCTCGGCACGGCATTGTACCTATCGAGCCGGATAGACAAACATAACCGGATCATTCGGGAACCAATTGGTACAGCTACGCGATTCCCAATCAAGCACTCACAGGGCCGGCTAGGAGCATGAGAATGTTCACTGTAGACTTTTTGCCGTCCTACTTGGAAGAATCTAACATGTGAGTATTGATTCCGCGCATCCTTCGAGGGGGGCCTCCAGCTCGTATCATCATTTGTAGCGAATATGGAGAAAAAAGTGGTGTTACTGTATATGTGAAGCGTATTTGCTACCATACTAACGACGTAGATGGCAGGTAAGCTCAATATCGATCTTCGCAATCTACTCTGTTTTCTCAAGACTTTGGTTATTTGCTTCCAACAATTTCAATTTCTTTGAACACGCCAAAAGGAATTCGTATGTTCAGGGTCTCTGGGCGATCAAGGAAAATATTTCCTTCCATCAACTGACTGGCCTTCCCATTCGCGCGTTGTATGTCCTTATCCCAGATACTCGCACGAAGCCCCATCAAGGAGGCATTAGCACGCTAGATGACCTCTTCTCATCTGTCTACGGTTGTACGGGTAGCAAAGAGCCCTACTGAGCGTGATTCAGGGACTCGGTAGTGCTGTAGACATATTACTGCGCTTCATCGATGAATCTGTTGGCTTTGCCGTATTGCATTTTGTTCTGCAGAGGACCCAAGTAGGTATTTGCATCGCTCGGATCCCCTGTGTTGACCTTTTTGCAGCTTCGTTCATCGTCTTAATCTCTTTGTAGATCTTGTGATGAATATAGACCCGCTTGGTGGCGGCGCAAATCTGTCTTTCATTAGTGTTTCACGGATAGAAATTCCAATGTACATACCTGCCCAGCGTTCAATGAAACTCCCATTTTCAAAGGCTGTGTAGTTTTCAGCGCATCCACGTGCTCGCAATTAATCGTAGGGTCAGCCCTGGTGTGAATATCGTGCTCGGCACAGATACTCTCTGCGCGCAATAATTCCGTTGTCTCGAAATCTGGGTTAGGATAAAGTGCTGCTGCCAATTGCTCAGAGATACATTGGCCTCTTCCAATTCCATGGTCACTTTCCTTGTAGTCTTTGCACGAAACCCTGCGAAGGCAATTTTGGCAATTCCAGCGTGCTCGGTGAGCTACGGGCTAGCTTCTCGTTGCCACCCAAAACCTGAAAAACTCTAGGCGGGAGATCTTGTTAGGAAATATCCACCATTTTGAGGGTTGAATGGAGAGCGAAAGGTGACGGTTTGGCAATGATACATTTACCAGCGAACAAGCCAGGAGAGCTTTCAGGGAGACTTGGGAAAGTGGGACTGATCGTGTTGGCTTCAGTGCAGCTGGTCTCTATTTCATGCATTTTGACTTGCTCGTTGGGTGGCTTCAAACTCACAATTGATTCCACGATCAACAAATCCCGAGAAACTTTCTGTCTCCGGGAGCCTTACGAAAGAGGTAAAATGCTTCTCCAAGGCCAGTCTTGACTGAGTTGTAGGCAAATCGCGTGTACAAACTATCCAAGGATGAGCATCATCCCAATTGCTTTTCCGCTCTTTTTCTGAGTGGAATCTGGTTTTAGGCTTTGAAGGCATCAAGTGCGACATCGACAGCCTCTTCCACATCCTGCTTCGTAGCTATGGGCATCGGCCACAGCTTCTCGCTTGTTGCTGTTTAGAGACTGCGTGGGCGCCCCTGCACTTACTGCTCTAGTGAAGGGATGAGTATGGCCGGCGATTGCGTCCACTGCTTCACTGCTTCTCGCTTACAGCAACGAAAGGTGTCTTGTCGGCTAATCTGATACCGTTTTCCCGGGTGAAGCGCGGACCTGGGTCATGGTGTTCCCCACGGGGCCCCGACTGCTCCCGCTTGATTCTAGCTCGATCCTGGGGGATCTACGTGGGGTGCTATGTAGATCTCCAAAACTTAGACCGTAGAGTTCCCACTCGAAGAGGACGGCAGGGAGCATTACAGGGCACTCCTGCTGGAGTAGCCTACCTTTTTACAGCCATTGGTAATTTCCCGAGGGCCGATGGTCGGTCAATTTCAAAGTTGATCCGGATGCGATAGAAGTAAACATAACTCCCCAATCCCTTCACTTCAGGATCTCATCAACTGGCCAAAATCAATCAGGCTTCCATTTCGTTACATAGAGCGAGCTGAACGAAGACACAAAATGTCGGGCACGATGAATGAAAAGGGTTCTCGCGGGCAACTCGAGGCCTCGACAGAAGCTGTCGAACATATTGAAAATACCCAGCACCTCCAACATGGGGAGGCAGCGCCGTATCATTTTACTTTCTTCAAATTCATGGCCCTCTCGGTATGTTTACCACCATGAGACTATGAGAATCCTTCTCGGATGATCACTCACCAAATTCAAACCTAGGGGATCATTGTGGGATACATGGCAGACGCCTTCAACACTCAACTCACAGGGTCTACCTACAGTGGCATCAATGCAAAGATAGGTTCGCAAAGCCGTGAATTCCATTACTGCCTTTCATCACGCTAACCAAAGATGTAGGACCCGACCCCTTTGATGTCTGGATTGGTGGTATGCTGCCTTTGATCGGGTCTGCCTTTGGCCCCTTTGTTGGATATCTCAGCGACATCTACGGTCGGCGCATCTTCCTCTTGGTCGGAGCAACGTTCGGGGCCCTAGGCAATCTCGGATCGGCTTGCTCAGACTCGGTTCCCAAAGTCTATGGAACAGGAATCATCGTGGGATTTGGAATATTGAATAAACAAGTGTCAGTTGCCGCAGTCGCCGAAATCTTCCCTAGGTCCTGGCGACCTTTCGTGTTTGGCTGCTTTTGGGCAGCTCTGGCCCCTGCAGAAGGATTTGCACCTATAGTAGGTGAGTGACTTGTCATTTATTCGATATTGTGTTTTTTCGGCCCCGTTCCTGTTACCCAGATCTGACAATGTGGACTTTTAGGTGCTAGCATCCTCGCCTACCGGTCTTGGAAGGTGGTCTACTGGATTCCATTTGCACTGAACACCCTGGCGCTCTTCCTCGTCTATCTCTTTTACCACCCTTTGAATCAACGCATCAAAGTGGTCGATAAAACACGATGGCAACTGCTGGCTTCTCTAGACCATGTCTCCGGGGGCTTGATAGGGTTCGGGACAGCATTGGCGCTCATAGGTGTGGAGCTGGGAGAATTCAACTTGGGATGGTACGTATATGGGCCTCTTCTGCCCTTTGAGCCCTTCTGCTGCCGAGAAGCTGGACTGTTGCTAACTAATGTGTGCATGCAGGCGTGATTCAAGGTCACTCGGCTGTGTGGTGGCTGGGCTGTTTCTGCTCCTCGGCTGTGTTGTGCCATGGGGATTTTTCATGCGCAAACGTCTTCCTTACCCAATGCTCCCGAGGGCCGTTTGGAGTCATTATCGGCGCTACTCGCTCAACATGGTCCCACTCGGGTTTCTTGCATTGATAGCCTCGACGGCCGTCTTCTTGTGGCCCCTGATGGTGCAGGTGCTGTTCGAACAAGACCCCATCAAGGCGGGCTGGTTGAGCTCTGCACCCCTGATCACGGGGGTGTTTTTGGCTCCAGTCTTTGGGTGGATATTTCAGAAGTTTGGCTATCAGTCCCACTGGACTGTAACGTGCCTAGCAGCATCCCTCACTTTGTTGACCGGCGTTCAAGCGGTAGTTAGTAAGTCTATCTCTCGTGTCACCCTATCCTCCAAAGTCACATTGGCTAAGCTGACGTTCCAACCACCTTCCAGCTCCCAGTTCAAAGGCAGCTTCGACCTCGCTGGCATGTTTGGCCAATGTGGCATGGACGGGCCTGGTGGTAGGATTCGGTGCCATCTTCCAACTTGTGCCTCATCGTAACCTGGGAACATCAACCGCGATCTATCTCTGGCTTCGAACCTGCGTCAATGCCGCCGGAGCCATGATATTTCCCACTACCCTGAAGAACAACCTTCCCAAGTACATTGCTCGCGATGTTGCCATTCCATTGGCAAAGGCTGGAGTAAGCCCGCTCCTCATCCCGCAACTAATCGAGGCCCTTACTTCTGGCGACACGAAAAATCCCGTTCTTGGGCAAGTGCCGCTACTGGCACTTCTGACGGCCGGTGAGGGAATCAAATGGGCTTATGTACATACATTCCGCCTCATCTTCTTTTCGACTTTAGCGTGGGGAGTATGCGGGACCGTTGTGGCGGCACTGACTAGAAGCTACGGGTCCGAGCTGACGCCGGTGGTGGATACTGAACTGCTTGAGGGTCTCCATTTCAATGCCAAGCTTGACACGGGTGAGGGAACTGTCATCCGCCAAGAGGAATATGTCACGCATTTTGATGCGTTGGATTGATGAATAAATTATCGTATCAAGATGTATACCTGGGCGTCAACCGTTGTGGTGTAGGAGAGCGTCAGGAGCAAATAAACGGGATTATATAAGGTAGCATGAGCCTTAATGAAAGTGTGTCTTGTCCCAAATATACGTCGTTCTATCTTGCAGTCAGTCTCTCTCGATACAGATTTCTCTGATCAGAGGGAAGACGAGGAGGTAGTAGGTTTTAAGGGTGAGCGAATGATTGGCGTCTTAAGGAAATGAATGTCTGTAGGTTTTCCATCATAGACACGGCACTTTGGGCACTTTGGAGGTGGTACGCAACAACCTCTCTGGGCCGTCCGAGGTAGGAACAGGTCTGAATCAGTCGTCCTTCCAAAGAAGTTCTTTTATCTGCCGTGGAGAGTGTTGGGATCAGTGCAGGCACGGATATCCTGTCAACGTGTGATCAAGGGCAGCGAATGTGCTCTCAACACGATTCAAAGGCTATGCAGGGGAAATCTCTGATCGTCATGACAAGATATAGAGCAGCATTTGTGTTCGTGAGACGATGCTGGTAGAGCTTTGTGTAAAGGTCTCGTGGAGCAAGGCTGGAAGTCAGGCGGTTCGCATGTTGAAGAATCTGTACACTTTCAAATGTGAGAGTCGAAGTCAAGTGTAATAGCGTGAACGACCGGTAAATTAGGCTCAATTGGAGAAGGCGGATGGAGGCATGTTTGGAATGGTATCTTTGCAGCAGTGAGCTTCCTCGTACTTGGGGACGCGCGGTGACTTCTGCGTAGTGGGCTGATAGTCTTGAGTGCGTCTGGAGGATATGATGGACGGAGAAGTGTGCTTAAAGAACATGATGGTGATTGGGAACCTGGACGACAATGCAAACTTTTCAATCCTAAAGTTCAACGATATGGTACAGCTATTCACTTTACATGTTCTATTGAAGAGTGGTACCGACCGCTGAGACTGCACGTTCATCACGAACGCAGGCATAATGTGCTTAGGGTAAAAGTTGGAGATAAGGGACAATGGTATTATGGAAAAGGGGCCCGATTCCTCTGCGAATCGGTTTTGGTTTAGTACTTCCCTTGTTTCTGAGGGTGCCGTGTGAAGACTTGTGGCGAGATGATTGGCAAGGCCGTGCCTACATGCACGAGGGATGGCAACCTGGAGAACAACGATGGCCAGCTTGCTGTTCCGAGACTTGATCTAGCAGACTTCCATTTGCAGACCAGTGTCCGTGCAATGGAATTAACTATTGCAGGCCTGTGTTGGATGAAGAAACGGGAAGTAGGTGAGCGGCGGCCTACACAAGATCAGTAAACCTGGATCTGCGGTCCTTGATGTTGCTTGGGAGGATTGGCAAGGTTTCCTTGTATAGCATGCCGCTCCGAGGTATAGAGGGAGGACGACGGACGGTGGCAAGCCAGAAAGATCCGCCTTGATGCTGGACGTATTGAGAAGATATCCTGCTTTCCAACGTCTTTCCATTGGGTCTCCCTTCTTGCAGAGGTTACAGAGTCGTCTTTTCTTTCAATGTTGACGTGCTTCGCTTAGATTACCTTTAAGAAAAGTTTGGGTCAGCAAATCTAGCATGTGCAACCTGTTTCTAAAGCTCTCTTGAGGCGACCGGAGTCATGCTCACGTGATACGATGATCGTCCGCCATTCTCGGCCAAATGTTCCACCAAACGGGTTTTTACAGTATCTTCCGACCCGAAACCCTGACATGGGCGCGCGGTTGCTTCACGTACCACGCTTCTCCCGGCAATCCTGGGGACAAAAAGGGTACGGCACAGAGTGCGATGCAGATCACTAACAATCATAGGCCAACTACTTTGTTCGCAGGCTTGCCGGCAAGTACATACTATATATTGCAGCTTTAATCTCCCTCTCTTTGAAGGCTCCTTACCTAAGATCACCACGGTAACCGCAAAAGCAAGAAATACAGATATTTCATCCTCGATCGATCAGAAAACAAAGCTGATATGGCGGCAATTGCTGTGGCTGGTGGCACTGGTGGGATTGGACGGGCGATTGTCCGGGCTTGCGTTGCAGATGGGAGGAAGGTTGTGGTCTTGAGCAGAAAGGTAAAGAATGCCACTCTGATAGCACATAGTTCGGGGCACTGACAGAATGCACAGTCGTCGGCGGGAAGCGAACAAGGCGCTCCCGTCGTACAGGTCGACTATACGGATACAGCTTTGTTGGAAGATGCACTCAAATCCCATCAAATCGGGACTGTTGTCTCGACTCTGGCCGTGCTTACTTCCAACGAAGCTGAGATCAACTTGGTCTCGGCCGCTGAGGCCTCTTCGTGCACAAAAAGATTCATACCAAGCTCCTGGGGAATAGCGTATACTGAAGAGTGAGTTCCCTTTTACCACTTTTGTCCTCCCTGCGGCAATAATGCTACCTGTGCTCATACATTCTTTGCTGCCAGAGAGGGAAAATTGTTTCCACCTGCCGGCTTGAAGCTCGATGTACTGTCCAAGCTCAAGAAGTCCAATCTTGAATACACTCGGGTCAACTGTGGCTTTTTCTTGGATTACTTTGGAATGCCAAAGATTCAGTCATTTCTTCAGCCCACTACAATAGTGGTCGATCTCAACAATAACACCGCCGGTATCCCAGGTGAGGGAAACACTCCTGTTACGTTCACCCACACGACAGACGTCGCTCGCTATGTCTCCAAAGCCCTGGACCTTCCCAAGTGGAAGCCTGATAGCTACACGATCGGTGACAAAATCACCTGGAATGATTTCGTCGAGCTGGCGGAGAAGACCAAAGGTAAGCCAAAAAGAGCCCTTGGAGAACATATTCCAGATCCGGGAGGATGACCCTATTGACAACTATTGCCATAATCTAGGGGTCAAGTTCAACGTCCAGCACGACTCTATTGAGACACTTCAGAAGGGACAAATTACGGAGCTTCCTGCACATGTCCCAGTCTACCCATATTTCCCCAAGGAGCAGCTCCAATTCGTTTTTTCGGTGTTCGGCTTATGGTTTGAGGGAGGAGCGTTTAATTTGCATCCAGGACAAGGTAGTCTGGATCTGAACGCAGAATTCCCGGAGATCAAGCCGTTGACGGTGAAGGATGTGCTCCAAACACTGTACTCAAGCTCTTAGCTGTGCCGCCGAGCAGTATTTGCTGCGAAGAGGACCAGAGGTACAGCATCCGGTTCATAGAAGATTGTCAATTCGCATGGCAGAGATGGCCGATGGTGTGCCAAAGCAAGAAAAGGAAGGGGAGGGGGTTTGGAGTAAATTTCGGAAGAACTTTATCCTGCAAAGGTTCATCTTTACGAACAACATTGCAGTACTGAGTTCTTCAGAGTTCTGAGCATTATACTGGGTTTGTAGGGATCTGCAATCACTCTACTGTCTATGGTGCGGTGAGAGAGACTCTCCGTGTGCTCGCCACCTGCAGCCTCGCGAAACATCGCGTCATTCTGCACATAGGTAGCTAGGTCCGCAACAATCCCTCCCTACTTGGTTAGGTATATCTTCAGAATGAGCAACGTTCAAAGTATGTGAGTGTGAGGAGTGTAAGAAGCGTTCTCCTGACTGCATGAGCGGAATGTTGGTCCATAGAGTCAAGGGAAAGAATTTGATACAGTACAGAACTCAGGTTTCGATGTATGAAAGATTTTTGACCAACAGATGGGCCTTGCAGCGTCTTCTGCGTCAAGTGTGTGGCTGAATCAAGCCTGACAGAATCCAGTAATGAAAATTCCGAGAGGGTGTGAGAGCGTACTGCGGCGAGCATTGTCAAGCCTTACCTCGGAGCGTTGCTACCTATTATGAGCCGGCTGATAAATGATGGAGTTTTTAGCTTCTTTGATTGTGATTGGTACGAATTGTTTACCCGTCCCCAAACACGAGTACGGGTAAAGGTGATATTCGCGGTTCAAAGGAATTGAGCCAGAGCAAGCAGTGTCATGATTGGACGAATATACCTCGTCGGAAATATTCCAGATCACGCTGACAAATTCTCTTCTCAGCCGTGCTTGAAGCTCTCTCTCAATCTGGAATAGTCTCCATGTAATCTTGTCCTTCTCGTGCCGGCCTAACGACGTTACCGGACTCTTAAAGGGATCAACGCATTGATATATTCTTCGTTGTGTTCACAAGGCTTGTATTCTCCGCTACAAATCACAGGCTCCTTTGATTGATTTGAACCGTCTCCTCTACCCTGGAAAATGACGACGATTGTTGGAATTGCAGGTATTACTGACCGTATTGGCCATCTCATCGGCGCATCCTTGGCTACGAACCCCGAAGTCAAGGTCCGAGGCTATGGCCGCGATGAAAAGAGGCTGCACAGTGATCTCCAGGGCAAGGTTCAGTTCACCACTGGCCAGGCTGATGAGAGGGCAGCCCTCCGCGCCTTTGTACGGGGATGCGACGTGATTGTCTGCACCTATTGGGGTGACCATGACTTGATGATCAACGGCCAAAAGCGACTAGTCGACCTTTGCGAGGAGGAGAAAGTGCCACGATATATTGCAAGCGACTTTACCTTGAACCATCAAGCGCTAACACTGGGCAAGTTTCCATTGAAGGACGCACAGATAAAGATATGTGCGTATCTCAAGTCCAAGGAAACAGTCCAAGGCGTACACATCCTCAACAGCTGGTTTATGGAACTGGTGTGGTCGAGGCACGCGTTTTTGTGGGACCACGACACAAGGACCGCCAACTACTGGGGAGATGGTGATGAGGTTTGGGAGGCCACAACACTCCTCAACATTACAGATTACACCGCAACCGTCGCGCTGGACCGTGAGGCTGTTGGTTTCCAATCCTGTCAGTATTCAACCGATTCAGAGGCGAAGAAAAGCACTCTCATAGTCTCGTGGCTGTCGACTTGACTTGGTGCTATTTTACTAACGGAACATGTGCCATCGCAGTTCTAGGAGACCGCAAGAGCTTCCGCGACATAGTCGCCACCATGGAAGATGTTTACAAGATCAAGATCAAGACAAAGAGACAAGGAAGTCTAGCTGAACTGTCCGACCAGATGAAAGCTCAAAACTATCACCCTGTATTGTACGTCCAGTTCAGCCTCAATGCGCAAATTACCCACTTTCTTTCTTCGCAGGCTGGTATTGGCGAACTCGACCTGGGTTTAGGGCTGGCATGTATTGCATGCTTAACCGGCAATGCAAACTACCAGATGCATTGGACAATGCCAAGTACCCGCAGGTGAAACCTGTGACATATGAGAAGTTCCTCCAAAATACCAGGCTAGAGGATCTACCCACGCTCGCTGGGTGAATGATCAAATATGAGAGCAGTCTGCAAAGGAGATGGTGCATTCGTCAAGTGGCTTCACGGTGTCTAGAATATGATAGTTCGTCGGGAAATAGAAGCTTCGGTCATTCTATACAGTTTTGATTGCTGCCGTGGCATCTGCGAAGAAAGAAGTCAGTTGACAGTATCCACAGCCCCAAATACCTAAACAGATGCCCAAGGTCAGTTATTCCCATCATGGCAGGACATCAAGTAAGCAGAGATCAAGGAGCAACGGTAGATCCATAGCTGTCTGATGTAAATGGCTCTGTCAAAGTGGTATTCACTCGTGTCTCGTATCTGGTAAGGTAAAGCTCCATCCTTTACTCCCCGACGCGTTTTGTGCCAAAGACAAAATACCCAGTCCTTCAAGTGCTAAACCGTAGCCTAGATCGTCGAGGAACCGCCGTTTCATATGCTGAGTGAGGGAGACCCGGGTGTACTTCAGCACCAGAGGGTCATGGGTGATGAGTGTGCGAGCAATTTCCCAAGCACGATCCAACACAGCGTCCTGAGGAACCACTTCAGCCACAAACCCAAGTGTCTTTGCTTCTGCTGCCGGGATTTCTTCTCCGAGAATGAGAAATGAACGGCCGCGATTAGGGCCAAGCAGCATCGGCCACCAGACGTGTGATCCATCCCCAGGAACGGCCCTGGTATCCGTCAAGTGTGCCTTGTCCGCAAAAACCGCCGTCTCTGAGGCAATGACAACGTCACAGAGAGTTGGTAGCTCAGGATGAATGAAACACTTTCCGTTCACCGCGGCAATGACGGGGATTTCGACATCCAAGAACCATTGAATGAGCTCTTTCCCATCCTTGTAAAGTCGATGCCATTGTTGGGGTGAAACGAAGACCTCGCTCTCATCGGTTCGGTCCCATTCAGCGAGGAATTCGTGTCCGGTTCCGGTAAAGATCATGATCTTGTTTTCAGGGTCCTTGGTGACACATTGAAACAACTCCGGAAGTTCTGAGTGCAGAGACTCATCATATCCCGACCACTTGGCTGGACCGTCGTTATAATGCATTCTAACCTCGAGGATACCATTTTCTCGTCGGAGAGTGAGAAAGCGAAAGGCATCTTTGTATTCTTCGAACTTCAAGTAATGCAGCATGACGGACCGACTGGGTTGCGAAATTGAAGGATTCGATGATGATGCGTTTTAGAGTTTTTGACTTGAAAAGATGGTTTCCCTAGTTCCTGCGATGGACAGGTTTTGTACTTTACAGAATATTGCAGTGGTTTTCCTTCGGCCGGGACCACCTTGCTACATAGAAATTTATCCGTCACTATGAGAAGTCGGAGAGGACGCCGCGAGGCTTCCGGATAAATCTCTGGGATTCCGGGCCTTATCGGCTTTTTCTGTCTCATGTCCAAGTAAAGAGAACGGTGTAACTTGGTTCAACAGAACTGACAAGAGGTAGCAAATAACGTGCAATTTCCTAGCGGGAACTCTCCTCGACCAAGTCCATCTGTTCCTATGACACAAAGTTTCAACAAAGACTGCCTTCTCGAAAAGGGAAAAAGAAGAGACAGAAACTGGGAAGGGAAGAAAAACTTGACAATGGCCGAGTCAAGAGTCTTCTCCATTACCGGAGGAGCATCCGGTATCGGTGCAGCCACTGCACGTCTATTGGCCCAACGGGGAGCCTCAGCGCTCTGGATAGCAGACAGGAACCCAGTGAATTTCCAGGCAATCACAGATGAAATCCGATCCTGTAATCCGACCGCCCAAGTACACACACATCAGGTGGATGTGTCGATGGCGCAGGAAGTTGATGAATGGATTGACAAGATCATCAAGGACGGTCCTCTACACGGATCCGCGAATGTGGCGGGACTTGCTCAGGCAACAAGTGCGAGAGATGCTCCCAATATTCTCGAAGAGACAAATGAGTCATGGAGGAGAGTGATGGGTGTCAATATCGACGGCGTCTTCTACTGCACGAGAGCACAGATTCGAGCGATGAAAACCATGCCAACAGACTCGCACTGTTCCATTGTGAATGTAGCCAGCATGATCGCGCTCTTCCACGTGGGTGACACTTATGGCTATGGCACTTCAAAAGCAGCTTGCGCCTACTTTTCCACCAGTGTGTCTAAGGACGTATACCCTTTTGGGATCCGTGTGAATTCGGTGTCTCCGGGTAAGTCTAGGAGGGATCTGATGAATAAAAATCAAAAAGGCATTCAATCAATTCCTGCTTGCTCACACGCCAACAGGCAACGTTGAAACTCCCATGATGAATGATGTCCTGCCCTCGACATCACCTGAAGAGCGTCGCCAACTCATTAGAGCCGCTAGGATGGAACCCATGCATCCATCCTCCATCGCCAGGGTAATAGCTTGGCTTCTGAGCGAAGACTCTCTCGATGTAACTGGTGTCAATCTCCCTGTCGGACTGGGCTACCCTTAAAAGATAAAGCATCGGCTACTACACGACCATGCAAAGGTCCATGCGTAACAATACAATAGGATAATGTGATAGGCATAATATTTGGTTCAACGATATTTCTCTATGTGCCCAATATTAAATCTTGCTCCGCTGAAGCATCTGCATCTCCTCATCACTGCTCGTCGGGATTTTGACCTGTTTGTCTGGAGATCCCAGTATTTCGTCTTTCCGTTCCAAAATCTCCTCCATCGTACGCACATTGGTTACACCGTCCTGAAAGCCGAGTACGATCCTTGAGGCACAATATGCCCCAAGACTGAAAGACTCCCCCGTGATTGTGCTCGATTCGTGAGCTAGAGCGAGAATCACGGGTACATTCCCTTCTGGTGGGAACTTGCTGCGCAACTGATCCTCGTATTGTGTCCTCACTTCAGGTTCCATGTCCTTGATATAATCGAAAGACAAGGCGGAGGCAGCGACGGGCGCGATCGAGTTGACCAGTATGTTGTCCTCTGCGCCCTCTATCGCAAGTCCTCGAGCCCCGACGAAGTTGGCGCCTCTGGAGAAGATATACGAGCTGATTCTAGTGGTGCCAAAGATTGTGTCGGACGTGGTGATGATGACACGCCCGTATTTCTGCTTCTTGAAGTGCGGCCATGCTGCTAGAACGGGAGAGACCATCCCAAGAGTGTTGACCCCAAGGACCCGATGGAAGTCGTCCATGGTGTGATTTTCGAACAGCGTGGCGGCGTGCGTGCCTGCAAGGGCCACGATCACATCGATGCGACCGAACTCCTTGATCGCGGCGTCAATGAGCTTTTGGCCTTCAGAGGCGCTTCCAGGTACCGCGATAGCTGACCCCTCACGCGACTTGATCTCCTTGACCGTACGTTCCGCTGGGCCCTCTCCTGGAGCCTTGGGGTCTCCTGGAAGATCATTCACCACCACATTCGCCCCCGCGTCGGCAAAAGCTAGCGAAGCGGCTCTACCAATAGCACCACCACCGCCGGTGATGAGGACTGTGCGACCCTTGAAGGCACCTTTTGCCGCGTAACGAAGAGCAGACATTTGGTTTGACACTAGAACGGCTTGTGCAATTGTGGGTAAAGGAAACTGATTGAATTTAGGGGCAGACCAAGCTGATGTTTTCACACAGGATGTGATAGTGCAAAGTACAACGATGTTTAAGCTGCAAACTGGACTTGTCGGACCTGAAATGCCACGCCCGGTATCAAATCAATCATTTGTTCGCACCTACTTGCCGTGGGCCCCGTACACCCTGCCTCACAAAATTAAAATGTCGATCTCCATTGCTGTTCGGAACAGGAAACCGGATAATTACCCGGAGAATTTCGACCCTCCGGCTTTCCTATGGAAACAAAGGAAACCCGATAATTACCCAGAGAAGCAACAGCTACATGCAGCTCAGATTTTCGGGCGCGTGGCGGGCCAGAAAATTGAGGCGCCGGGCACCATTTCCTCTACCTGTTATGGAGAATACCGTGTCACGTGAGCTTCGCCTTGTTTTTGGGGACAGATAATCGTACACCCCCTAACAAGTAATCGTACACCCCCTTTCGAGTAATCATACACCCCCTCCACCCCTGTCGTTTCACCGCCTTCTAATTGGCTCGGAGCAAGCGCGGAGTTTCCTCCGGGCATTCACCTTTACGTCTCTATACACGTGATGCTATACGCGAGGCCGTATGTGAGCTCGTACGTGAGACTATACGTGAGGCTATACGAATCGACATGGCTATACAGCCTCTCCGTTTTACGGCGCATCCTTTCCGATTTGTATAGCCTCACGTACGGCCTTACGTACGGTTATATAGCCTTTCCAATTTGTATAGCCTTACGTACAGCCTCACGTACGAGCTGTATATACAGTTGCACAAATCGGGCAGGATGCACTGTAAAATGGAAGGCTGTATAGCTATGCTGATTTGTATAGCCTCGCGTACGAGCTTATGTACGAGCTCACGTACGGCCGTATATACAGCTACACAAATCAGATAGGCTGCGTTGGAGGCTACGTGGCCGCATTTGGAGACAGCATTCGGAATTAGTGAGCAAGTGAAGCGAGCCAATCGGAAGCTCTGGAGCAACCCTCCGAGCCAATTAGAAGGCGGTGAAACAACAGGGGTGGAGGGAGTGTATGATTACTCGAAAGGGAGTGTACGATTACTCATTAGGGGGTGTACGATTATCTGTCCCCTTGTTTTTACCGTATTCTCGTCATTATTGACCAAGGATCTTTACGTGTGGCAACCTTGCGTTATTTCAAATCGTCATTTCGAAACCGCGGTCTGAGTGGTAAATCGCATAAGGAAAGACTCTAGATGTTAGATTGCTAATTATCTTTTTGTATGTAGTTTTCATGAGACTCTTTCCTATGATGCATCGGTATCGGTGTGAGCTGAAACTCATTGTGTACCCACCCACTGGGCCACTGCAGCATCCCAGACAGTAATATTATATCTTCTCGGCTATGTGCATTCCCGCGCGATATCCAAAGGTCAACGCTGGCCCAATGCTGGACCCTCCCCCAGGATAGGTGCCACGCATGACCGAGTTCTGGTCGAGGCCCACGGCGTAGAGACCTGGGACCGGCTTGCCCTCTTTATCAAGGCACTGGGCATTTTCATCCGTGGAAAGGCCATATACCGTGCTGACATTGCCCGGGTAAAGTGCCAGCGCATAGAAAGGTGCTTTCTTACAAAACCCCAGAGTAGGATTTGGCAGCCCTATGGAGGGATCTCCAAGCATCAGATCATAAGCGTTCTCTCCGCGGTGAAATTCGGGGTCTTTCCCTTCGGTGGCATATTTGTTGCAGTTCGAGACTGTCTGAGACAGGGCGTCGATAGGTACACCAATCTTGGCGGCAAGCGTCTGAAGATCAGGAGCCTCGATGATATAATCGTTTCGAATCAAGTGTCGAACGGGATATGGTGCCGGTAAGCCCATGCCTATGCCGTACTTGCGCAAAAACGTCCGATCGGCGATCAAATATGCCTTGTCGATGCCCTTCGCGTGCATCTCCTTGACAAACTCTTGATATGGCCCCGATTCATTGGCAAAACGCCTTCCATCTTGTCCAACGATGATGGCCCCTGGTTTGGTTCTGTCTTGGGAAAAGTGTGGATATCGCCGGATCTGAATGCCGTTTTTCGTCTTCTTGCGCATGAGAGAGAGTGGCGCGTAGATTCCGTTGTCTGGATTTGGCGGAGGCATCACTGCGCCGCTTTCAACGCCGATGCGGTTTCCGTCGCCCACGTTGTGCTTGGGACAGGCTGACCAGTCATGAGGTAGATATTTCCTGGCGTCTTTGGACCGGCCGAATCCTCCGCTAGCGAGCACCACGCCCCTCTTGACGTTTATTTGCTCCGTAGCGCCGCTATCGCCCAGTCCGATGACAACGCCGCTGACTCTCCTTTTGTCGTCGAGCACTGTTTTCAGGACCGGGGAGTTCGTGCGCAGGTCGACACCCTCTTGTTTGCAGGCGTACAGTAAACGACCGACCATTGCGTTGCCATTGCATAACTCGGACCCTTTGCCATACCGCAGCACGTCAAACACATATCTGACGACTTTGCTTGTCGCAAAACGAAAGTTGTTCCAACTGCCAAAGGGGTGGGTCAAGGCCGGAATGTCCCATGGTCTGGCTTGCATGGAGCCAAAGGCATGAAAGCCCTGGAGAGTATACCTCACGTCCCTGAGGGTTTGCCGACCTAGGAGTCGTCCGTCAAAGGCCTCGACCGAGACTGTTCGGCCAACAGAAGCTCCTTCTTTCGCAACATGATAATCGGGGATAGGCATGGGCGCAAACTGCATGGCAGAATTGGCCTCCATCCACTCCACCATTTCCGGAGCGCTGGACAAGAACGCCTTAATTTTCTTCTCGTTGTACAGGTCTCCCAGAACCAGCCGAATGTACCCATCGGCCTTTTGGGCATTGTCTTCGATTCCGAGCGCCTTCTGGTATTTGTTCACGGGGATCCATGCTCCGCCAAACGAGAACGCAGTGGTGCCTCCAAAATAGTTGCTCTTTTCCGCAACAAGAACCTTCAACCCATGCTTCGCTGCCACAATGGCGGCGCTGAGTCCAGCACAGCCGGAACCCACGACGACGACATCATAGCTTCTGTGATGCTGAGACGGGTAAGATAGGCATGTCAGACGTGATCCACAATGAGCAGTGCAGCGATGGGAAGGGATTGCCTACGGGTTGTGCGGACGCGCTCCGTGTCTGCTTGCAGAATGTAACAGGTGCCCGTACACGCGTAAAAAGGAGCGACGGTTGGGGAGGCCGCAGCCTGGTCAAGGACATACTCGAGTGATTCACCGCAGGCCCAGGACCGTACGGAGTGATTGATGGTGAAGTCCCAAGAGGAGGAGAGAAGAATCAAGCCAGGTGTGCGAAGGAATCTTCAGCCGCGGGCCTGTCTGGTCGACAAGTCGCAGCTGCTTCTTGGCTGGACACGTTCCCTGAAGACCATGGACATGTCTTGCATAACTCTACCTACGTGTAGCCTCGTTACGATGCAAGCGCGTCTGCTTTGCGGGGCCCCGTAGGTGGGTACTTGTAAGACCCGCCACCCGGGCGGCAGGGGCGGGCTGGCTGTTGTCAGGGGTATTCTCCACCACGGATAAAAAGAGAGCCGAAGGAGACGGTCCGTGATTGGCCTAACCCTAACCCTAAACTCACGACTGCTCAGCTCCGACATGATCTAATGCTCTACACTACTCTATCTACCAGGGAGCCTATGGCCCGGTTACTATGTGGATGGTCTGGCAGGCCATCCGAAAGCACGAGCCATAGCAACCCAAAGAGGAAAACACCTGCACTGACCGCTGGCGTTTGTGACATGGTCAATTCTGTCGCAGCAGCTCTTTGATGTTGCAGAACATGCGGCGGCCCCAAGCTCGAAATGGTTAACACAACGATCTGTCGCGGGGAATTGAGGTGGGATGGGAGTCTATCAACTTGGCAGAAACGATGCCAACGCATCTTCAGATGAACAATGCTATCGAGATATCTGTGTTTCCCCTTTGCACGCCGCCCGACTCGGCCGTTTCAATCACAAGTTCTCGGCAAGAACAGCAGACGTGAGCTTATCGACGCCGTTCGTCTGCGCGACCGACTTGGCCGAAACCACCGTTTTCCACTCTCCAGCGTCCCTCCATCGACCGAGGATTCTGCCATAATCGGTAACACCGCCGGGCCATGGAATCCGTTTCGCCATGAACGCGATTTCCTCCGGGGTTCCCGGAGTCCTTACCTGTGCGTCTCCCGTAAAGTACCCCGGGGTACAGAGCGGCAATGTGCTGAAGAACAGTGCCCGCTTGGAGGTCTCCTGGCCCCATTCCTCTTCGGCGGCTATGGGCGTTTCGACAATGGCCATTTCGCCTTTTGGTGCGGATGAAAGGGCCTTCTGCACCACAAACGCACAATGCTCCGCCTGAAAGCTGTACAGCCTGGTCAAGTTTGAAGATGTTGCTTGCCCAAAGACGCCCTGGAAAAACAGGTTGGGGAAGTCGTGGCTCATGCAGCCGTGTAGAGTGTCATATTCGTACGAATTCCACTTGTCATCTAGAAGTCTGCCATTCCGACCTCGAATCGGAGCGTTTGCCCGTGTAGATGCGCTGGCGTTGGGCAGAAGCTCGAAGCCCGTGGCAAGAACGATGATGTCAACGTCGTATTCGATTCCATTTGCGACGATTCCTTTGCTCGTGAATTTTTCGATGCTCTTGCCGTCAAGGTCCACGAGCTGGACGTTGGGCCTTGTAAACGTAGGAAGATAGTCGTCGTTGAAGATGGGCCGCTTACACCACCCAGCATACCAGGGTTTCAGCTGCTCGGCCACGGTTTTGTTCGCAACTACTTTGTCGATTAGGGCTCGCTTGTTGTTCGCTTGTTCGACATCCATCTCCATAAAATACGCGACATGATCCGCTACCACCTCTGGCGTGACGATGGGATATTTCCCTTTGCCGCCCTGAAAAGCGGCATTTGCTCCAGTTTCCGTCCAACCATCGCCGACAAGGTTTTCGGGCTCCGGATCATTCGAAATCAGCAGATTGAAGTTGTCAGCTCGAGCTGCTTGCCATCCTTTACCCCGTGCCACACGCTTCCAGTCGTCTGGATCAGTCTCTTTTTGGCCTCTGGTTCCGACGTAAGACGGCGTCCGTTGACACACGTAAAGCTTCTCGGCGTACTTGGCCACTTCAGGAATCACTTGGACACCGGTTGCACCAGTGCCAACAATGGCGACCTTTTTATCTCTCAACTTGGTCATTTCAGGATTCTGTTGCGTGCCCCCCGTCAGCTCAAAATCCCAGCGAGCGCTGTGGAAGATGTGCTTGCCAGCCTCCAGGTACTCGTCCATGCCGGGCACGTCGGGCATTTTTGGTACGGTCAAGGGACCAGCTGCGATGAACAGGAACTGAGACCTGATCTTGATGTCGACCTTGCCCTCCTGGCCGAGATCACGTGTCACCTGGGTCGTCCATTCGACACGGTCATCGTCCCAGTCCATTCGTGTAGCAGTCGTGGTGAAAAGAGCCTTGAGGTTATACTTTTTGGCAATCGATTCAGTATTGGTCCGGATCTCTTCTCCGTACGAGTATCTGTGTTTGGGAACAAAGCCGGTCTCCTCGAGAAGCGGTAGATAGATGTAGCTTTCCACATCGCACATCAGGCCGGGATAGCGATTCCAATACCACACTCCTCCATACCCGCTGGCATTGTCGATCAGGAGAATATTGTCCACGCTGATTCCAGCTTCAATCAGGCGAACTGCGAAGAGAAGCCCGTTGTGACCGGCGCCGATGATGACACACTGCCGAAATTCTCCGTCGTGGATCTCGGTCTCGTTGGCTCGGGCGTGCTCATAGTCCACGAAGGGGTCTTGCGCAAATTCTGCATCCCGAATCTCTCGCAGAGAAAGATATTGGTGTTCTGCACGTGCTGCATAGCGTTTGTCGCGCTCTTCGGCGTACTTGCGCGCAAGGACCTTCACGTCAGGTTCCCCTGCTGCTAACGGTGCTGTGTCGGTGGTCATTGTAACACTGTCTCCTAACTCTGCTGTCTGGTCAGTGAGGCCGTTATCAAGTATAGCAGCAGATACGAGCCTTGAGAATCGCGTCTAGTTTTTGTGGGGAGAGGGCGACAGGCTCTTTGTACACTCACATGGCTCTTAGATCACTGAGGGGGGAAGGGTTAAGAATACACCTTACCAAAGGTTTTCATCTAAAATATCCGGAGTCAACGTAACATAATATGAAGTCAAATCATGCCATCATTTCTTATGTTCTGTCCTTGTGCAAATACGATTTCTGACCCGGATTCTCTCGGCGGAAGAACAATGGACGTGAACTTCGTAATCCGCTGTAAAACTCGGGTAAATTAAGCCTCCCGTCAAAGCAGAAGGGTCCGCCTAGTAGTGTGCAAACTGGCTTTCGGGTATTTGACAATATCCTACTTGATTCTTCGCAACCAACAAACTCCTCACCAGCGAAGAGGCTCACCTCTTCCTCTTCCTCTTCCTTCTCCTTCTCCTCTGAGCATCGGTGTGTCGAGATCTGTGTTTATCCGTTGCTGGTGAGAAATCGGTTTGGGCCTGGTTGCCTTTTGAAGCATAAACAGTAAAACCACTGAGGCAGAATATCTGAAACGGTTGCTGACGCATTATGCTGAACTAACATTACGGTATGATAATTGAGCTGACATAGCGGTGAACACCTTTGAGCAGTTCTAATCTGGTGATAAAACTAATCCTGTCGAGCTCCAGCCCATTGTTTTCAATAGGATTCGTACGTAGCACTTGCCCGTCCACCGGTAGATTTATGTGAAGCCACTCTGCCCAGCCACGCAGCCGTGAATCGGACTCTCTTTGCCAAACATGTCACGCAGATCCTTGACCAGGTCTTGCGGGCACTCCCATGCTGCAAAATGACCACCCTTGTCATGCTCCGCCTGAAAAGCAATTGGACCAAGAGTAGCATCCCAGCGTGTTGGGAAGCGCAACAGGTCTTTCTTGAAGTGCGAGGTCCCCAAAGGCACATCAATATACTGTGCCGTCACGTCGACGACTGTCATTGACTCCCGATGCATCATTTCATAGTAGATGCGTTGAGGCGCAGCAGACCCTGGCCGTGAGAATCGATAGATCGAGACCCAGGTCAAGACTTCATCGGCGGTCCACGGATACCCTGCTGTCCAGTCCACCAGTTTCTCGTAGATCCATGAGAGCAAGCCTACCGGGCTGTCAGCCAGACTGTATCCGATGGTTTGTGGCCTTGTCATGTGCTCCATCGCGTACGCCATTCCACTGGCATGATGTGCCTGGGTGGATGCCAACCGATATTGGTCTTCCTCGCTCAGGCCGCCTTCAGCCTCTATCTTGGCAATGAGGTCTGTGTGCTTGGATGGATCCGGTGGATTCGGCGTCGGCATGTTTGTATGATGAGCTTTGCATGATTCGGGATATTTTAGAGCGAGAAACCTCGTCAAGAAATTGCCAATGTCGCCGCCTTGAGCCACTGTTGCGTACTCTTCGTTAGCAGAGCGCAAGGAGACTTGACAGGCTAGACTGTCTCTTACCATATTCAGAGTATCCAAGACTTTGCATCAGCTTGTGGTACGCTTCTGCGTGTTGATCGAGGTTGAATCCTTCCTTGAGTGATCTTAGATTGCAATCCTTGAAAAGGATGCCAGACGTAAAAGCTACTCACCTTTGTATTCCCCTGGGAGAAACCATAGTCAATGAGGCTGGGGGCCACGACGTGAAAGGCTGGGAAATTCTGACCCCCTTGGACCAACTCGGGCAGAATTTTGGTGACTTCGATAAAACTGCCAGGCCAGCCATGAAGGAAGATCAATGGAATCGCATTCGGGACGTCGCTTCTTTGATGGATGAAATGGACGTTATATGTGCCGAATCCATCCACGTCGATGTCGGTGGTGAATTGAGGGAACTGGTTGAGTTTGCTCTCTTGTGCCCGCCAATCGAAGGAATGCAACCAGTAATCAACGAGAGTTTTGACCTCCTGGAGAGGCGCGCCGCGACTCCGAGGTTCCTTGAGTGGTACTTCATCCGGCCATTCAGTCAGGGAAAGTTTCTGATGCAATATACGAAGCTTTTCTTCGGATACTGCGATTTTGAATGGCACAGGAGTCGGCATGGTCAGTCAATGCTGAAAGTCTTTCTCCTACACTGCACCTACGTACTGTACCTGACTAGGTAAAGGTATTTGTACCCCACTCGAGGGGGGCATGGGCGGCTTTAGTCCCCCTTGAATTTCCTGGGCACCGGCAAAACAGCTTCCTCCCTTTCATCTGTGCATCCAACAACCCGAACCTCGTTTTCGAGTTCTACTTCGAGTACGGCCCAAAGGTAGAAATAGCGATCGCTTACCATATAGTTGGAGTAGAAATGATCAAGTTGAAGAGGTTGTTACGATTAAGAGCTAAAAATTATCTAGGGTGGACACGTTTAATAGTCGCAATTAGTTGTGGTGGTAAGAGGATAGTGATCAAAACCCTAAGCCACAAACAGCAAACTCTTTTGCAGAGTGCCGCGAGAGGGGAGAATTCTCAGGATAAAGTATCGATATCCTGCACGAAGATTTATGTAGGCCTAACTCGCAATTTCTAGGGCGAAGTTATGCTGGCTAGCATGGACGCCAAATCATGCCACACCACTCACTTGGCTAGCTCTAGGCTGGACAAAATCGCCTGTCGAGGAAATGCTAAGTGAAGGTACAATATATTATTTCCACTTCCGACCTGGCGCGGATAAACTCAACCACTCATAAAACCTCACGCACGTAGGATCTGGCAAGGCCATGTATTTCCTAGGTTGGTTCTCTGGGGAGGTTTGAGGGCTATGTACTCGCTCCTTGACATTAAAAATAGCTTAGCTAAGAGGTTTACTCCACATAGGACTGGAAGAAAATGCTGGCCGTTACCACTACTCGCAAACTTTAGCTACGGACCTGCTCCTCTTACCATATGCAGAGAGGCTTTGTAACCGTAAAGCATGCCGCGCATATTCGCAACCCCACTATTATATCCAGCTCCCCAGTCGCGATATGCTGCAGAATTACCGGTTGCGTAAAGGCCGGGGACAACATGACCAGCCGCACTGATGACACTCCCGTCGCCGTTGATGGGCAAACCCGCGGTTGGGACACCCACAGTAACACGATGAAGCTTGATTGCATAGAATGGCGCCTTCACAATCTTGGCGAAACTAGGATGGGGGAGGCTGTAATCGCCAGTCAGGATCGTGCCCCATGGTAGAGATCCACGTCCAAAATCTTCATCCACGCCGGTCTTGCAAAAGCCGTTGAATCGTTCTGCTGTACTCGCGAGCCCGTCGGCATCAATCCCGGTCACTTCGGCCAGACCGCGCAGCGTATCTGAGCTCACAGCAATCCCCTGGGGTAAGGGTTGGCCCGGGTAGGCTGGTAGCAGGTTGTACTTTTCCACAAAGTCTTGGTCGAAGACAAGCCATGCCGGCCAGTTCACTAAGCCCTGTTCCTGTCCATCGTAGCGTCCGGCCTTGGCCGAGACATCGGGGTAAAAGGAATCATTGGCAAAGCGATGGCCCCGCGAGTTAACAATGATAGAGTGTGGCGCTCCAGGGAGAAGCAATCGCCAGGTTGGCTTGCCGTAGATAAGCTCACCAGGAATTTGGTATCCGACAAAGATAGCAGTCAAGGCTGAAGGATGAGCCGAATATGGAACGGCGCCTACTTTGGCTGCCAAGGTAAGATGATCTCCTGTGATGGTAGGTATTGTCATGTTGCCGGCGTTGATGAGGCTGTCGAAGCTGCGTACCATGTCGGGCTGGAGATCGTAGCCCCCAGTCGCGAGGAGGACACCGCGTCGGGCCCGAATGCGTTGTGTGGAGGAGGAGGAGGAGGAGGAGGAGTCGCGTGCGATCACTCCTGTAATCCTCCCCTCGTCGACAACAAGGTCAACAACTTCGGTTGATGGTTGGATTTTGACTCCACGCTGTAGAGCGGCATATACCTGTGCAGCTGCCAGGCCTGCGCCGGAGGTCCGTTCGTCCGCTTCAACATGGCGCTGGAGGCATGTGCCGACATGTTCTCCGCCTTTCAACTGCATTGACACAAATTCGTTTGCGGTCACGTAGCTGAAACCGTCGCCATATGGAGATGTCAAAATCTTGCCGGCCCAGTCACCGAGAAGTCTTCTCGCCGGGAAGGGTTTGATTTCAAGAAAACGCCCCTGAGGAGCAGAGCCTTTCACCGCTGGGTAGTAGTAATCGGGCAGGTCTTTGATCACTTGCAGCTGCAAGCCAATGGTGTCGGTGAAGTACTGGATCGCCCCGCGACTTTGGGCGAGATAGGACTTCCGTAAGTCGGGATCAGCAAAGCCTTGTGACAGATGGTTGATGTAGGCTTGTGCGTCGCTGTCATTGTCGTCAATGCCCTCTGCCTTGGATAGATGGGTTGGGCCTGGCCAAAGCTGCCCCGAAGACAACGCCGACACCCCGCCAATGAGGTGAAACTTATCCAGTACAAGGACACTTGCACCCTCCTGTGCGCCTGTCAAGGCCGCCGACAGACCCCCAACCCCGGACCCAACACAGACGATATCATATTCGCTATCCCAACTCATGCTGTTGAAGAGCCCGGTGCCTGGCGGACGGTGGTGGACGAGCGAAGCAGCCGTGGAGACCAAAGAGGGAAAAGTTGAAGAGAAAACTTGGGAGCCAATAGAGGAGCATTTAGCTTGGCCAGCATGTTTCACCGTTACGCTCCCGAAGTTCGGGCGATGTGTCTGAGGGTAACTAGCTAATATACCCGAGTCAGTCGGAATGGACCTTAGGGTATCCCCTCTCCTCCGGGGGCAGACAAATGCTACATCTACTTTCAGCTTCCCGGATGACTGCCAATTTGTCAGACGCACAACTAAATATCCGGTACGCTTGGACTCGAAACAGGTCTACCGTCTTGCGGACACATTGCAACTGTTGGGGAGAAGGTTGTGTCTCCATAGCTCCCGTGTAGATCATCCGCCTTTCGGAACTCGGAGTATCCTACCACCCGGTTTTGTCCTCAGAGTAATTTCTCCAACCACAGTTACATGACGGTCTTAAATATACACGTGGCAAGTACTCTTAACGTCGAACATCTTTTTGAAGTTCTCGTCTTGTCAATCGAACTCACACAGGAATGGTAAGTGGCTCCGCTTTGCAGCAACTCGAGTTTTGACTGTTTCCAAAGGCGTCGACACACAAATCATCCTCCCTTTTGCCGGGAGTTGCCTTTGTCACGGGCGGCGGACGTGGCCTGGGACTCGCAATTGCTGTGTCATTTGCGAAATCGGGGGCAAGAGGTGTTGTGATCGTTGATATCCAGGATGATGAAACCATGGCAAGCGCGAAGGCGGAAGTCGAATCTCATGGAAACCAGGCAAGTTTTTGCGGCATACAATTCATGTTATGTCTTCTGTTCAGCTTGCTTACGGGAAACTGGGCGCTGGAACAGGTGAAGTGTTTGCCCATCCGAGCCAACGTCACAGACGAGAAGGACTTCGAGAGCGCCATTGCCAAAACGGTCTCTGAATTTGGACGCATTGACTACACAGCGTACGGGACTGGCCTAGTTTTAATGCGATAAGTGACTGACTGATACGCAGAAACTTCGCAGGAGTGGGTGGCCCACATAAACCTGTTTCGGAGATCACTGTTGAAGAGTGGGAAAAAGTAATGGCAGTCAACACGACAGGGGTTTTCATTAGCACAAAACATCAGCTGTTGCAGATGATGAAACAAGACCCTATCGAATGGTAAGATCGAAACATCTATAGCCTCATGGATAATCCTCTTATTCATTATACTGATACATATCGTTCGGGTCTAGGGAGGCTGGACGCGTGGCCATTAGGGGTTCAATTGTGAACTGCGCCTCGGTGAATTCGGTTCAAGCTATGGCTGGAACCGGTATATATACAGCATCGAAACATGCTGTTGCTGGTCTTACCAAGGCTGTGAGTGCACTTCCTCTGTTTTTCGTGTAAATTTGTCTAGTTACAGTTCATGGAGGAAACAAAGTACTGACGTTCCAACCCCGACCCTTGAAGGCGGCGTTAGAAGCTCGACAGCACGGAATAAGAGTCAATGCGCTGTCGCCAGGTTTCATCTTGACCAAGATCGCTGAGCCAATTGTCAAATCAGATCCCCAGGTTTTCGAGGCATGGAAGTCATTCGAGGCCCGCCAAGGTCGAACAGGGAAACCAGAGGAGATCGGTGACGCGGTTGCGTTGTTGTCCTCGAACCAAATGAGCCTTGTCAATGGTCAAAATCTTGTCGTGGATGGGTGAGATGCACACGATCCATCTTTGAGAGAAACATACTGACTGGTACTCTTCAGTGGCTTTACGGTCAATACAACTACGTATTAGAGCTCTAGCAAGGCTTTAGCTAAGCCTAGGAAGAAACTTGTCTCAATCCCCAATCCCACAAGTCAGTAACTATAGACACAGACTCAGTCGTCTGGGTATTGTTGCAGAAATGCATTGTGCTAAGCGTACCTAAGCGACAGTCATGACAGAAGCTTAGCATCCTCTTCCCTTATTCCTGTGTGACAGACCAAGTTCCCTTCTTCTAACGATTAGTATCAATAGCATATCCCTCGCAAAAGAAATCTCTATATCGTAGTGTGAATTGAATACAATTATCCTCTCGGTACTGATACTTTTGATAACCTAGTCGATATATGTTACAGCCTCTCTTTATTGCTATCCATTAAGGTGATGCCTTGACCTCAGATGCTGCGTTTTTACCAGCAATTCTGCCAAACAAGAGAGCTGCACCGATCGAATAGCCCCCTCCAGGGTAGATTGACTTTTCCAGGCCACCAACAGCTTCACCAGCAGCATAGAAGTGAGGGATAGGCCGACCGAATTGATCAAGCAGGCGTGCCTCCTCGTCAACCTCCAGCCCTGTGTAAGTGATTCCCACCGCGTGCGGGCGCACATCAGCAGCGTAGAAGGGCGCTTGATCGAGTGGCATCATTTCGGACGACTGCTTCCCAAACTCGGGATCTTTTCCGTGGACAACATCCTGGTTCCACTTCCAAATCGTATGCTCCACGCTCTCGACAGGCATTCCGGTCAGGCGAGCCAATTCAGACAGGGAATCAGCCTTGATGATGCGTCCACTTGCGACTTCTTTGTGGAGAGTCTCCGCTTCCCAATTCGAACGCATTTTGAATCCGAGACCGTATGGATCTGGGTCGAGAGGGTGGTCGGTGGCATAGGTGAGAGCTCGAGTATCGAAGATTCCCCAACACCTGGATTTTGGCTGTGCCACGAGGGTGGGCCCAGCAATAGTATAAGGAGACAGCTCGTTGATGAACCGTCGCCCATGTATGTTGAGATATAGCAGCCACGGAGGCATGTACAGGTCGATATCCTGGATAAAATTGGGTGTGACGTTGAGGCCTCCGCTGTTTTCGTTGACCACCGTCCCTCCTACCGAAAGAGCCATGTCGATAGCATCGCCTTGATTCGACTCTGGTCCGATATACCAAGTCCAGCCCTCATGTTTGACGGCGTCTGGATAATACCGAGCCAGCTTCTCGATGCTCGCGCCAAAACCCCCCGATGCAAAGACAACTGAGTCCCCGTGGAATTCCCGCCCGTCTTCTGAGGTAACTTTGGTTCCACCACCAGTACTGCTCGTAATGCTGGTGATCCTGGTGTTTGTGTGCACTTGCACTTTTTGTTCATCAAAGGCAGTCACAATGGCGTTGATGATCGCGGCACCTCCAGCCGGACCTCTCCCACCCGTGTCCCCACTGGGCTTGTGACCTCTTGGGTTCTTCTCCATGCCGGCGATGTAGAGATCTTCGGGTCTGAATATTACGCCCAGGTCCTCCAGCCACGGAATAAGATCAGCGCAGCCGTCTACCATTGTCTCCAGAAGTTTCGGGCTGACCGTCCATTGGCAGATAGCCGCATAATATGCAAGGAGTTCCTCCTTGGTGTCCTGGACTCCTGCCTTCTTCTGCGTGTCAGTTCCCCCTGCAAATATTATCCCCGCTGACATGGACGTCGCGCCGCCAAGCTGGTCTCTTGATTCAAGCAGGATCACCTCGGCGCCCTGACGGCTGGCTTCTAGTGATGCTGCCACGCCAGCGCCGCCACTACCAATCACCAACACTCGTCGTCGTGGTGTCAAAGTCATGGTGCCACTCCGAGATCTGGTAGCTCTCCTGTATATGTGTATTGAAGCTGTTCGTCGTAGTTATTCGGCCCAGCGTAGGAAGCAGAAGCAGAGCAACCTACTGCAAGGACAGGTAGTAGCGTCTGGCTAGGCAAGACTGGAGGCGAGACTGCCCGAGCTGGTGGTGCGGTTGATGCCGAGTAGATAGAGATCGCGTGGGACTTGGTTGGAAGAATGATCCACTCTTTCCCCGCATTTACCCATCCTCTGGTAAACCTAGATATCACATTATCTGAGTATAAGCGAAAGTTCATGAGTGAACAGTGATTATCCGTACTAGGAGGTCCGGGTAGAAGAGACTGCCGAGCCGGCGAAAGCTACGAAGATCTGTGCGTGGGTACAAAGCTGGAATCTGATTGAAAATAATTTCCCGCTTTTTGGACTCCCGGCCCAAAGACGGTGGTGGTTCGCATAAGTGTAATATTAATTCAACTCCGCGCCATGGTGTTGGGATTTGCCGAACTCTCCCACCTGAATCTGACACCTCGGAACGTAGAAACCCCAGGATTTCAATAGTATGAAGGAAGGATCTGCGTGGATGGCGAGCATTTGGTGTTGAAGCCAGAGCGATAACCGACAAATTCGGAGGCCCCGCTCCCCTAGATTACCCCCGGGTCAACAGTCCATATCACATCGCATTTACATAAGTGCTATCTGGCTGCGAAAGCACTCCTTCTCGGTCAGCAACCCATAATCCACTCTCAGATTCAGTAGTCATGGATCGAATTTCGCCCACGACCATCCTTGCCGTGGCAGTTGTCGGCTTTTATTTTGTATGGAGATCACAAACCAAACCCAAGTCTCTCCCTCTACCGCCAGGCCCAAAAGGGCTCCCGATAGTGGGAAACCTATATGACCTTCCACCGGAAGGATCTGTAGATTTTCTTGAGTGGATAAAGCACAGGGAGCTGTACGGTTCGTCGAGCGTGTCTTCATTCGGAGGCTGAGGAGAATCTGACTTTGGGATTTGATGAAAAGGTCCTATCAGCTCTTTGACCGTACTCGGCACTACCCTTATCCTCATCAATGACAAGCAATATGCAACTGACATCCTGGACAAAGAGTCTGCAAAGACTTCATCTCGGCCGGAATCAGTCTTTGCATATGAATTGTATTTCCCCCATTTTGTTGTGATATTGGCGGCAAAGCACCATTATATGCTGACATGAAACTTCTCCTGCAGTGCTGGTTGGAAGCAGTCACTTGCCTTGACAAGGGACAGAAGGCTGTTCCGGCAGTATCGCAAAGCTATGGCAAAGGTGCTAGGTTCGAAAACTGCGGTCGCAAAATTCCACCCATTGCAAGAACTGGAGTCCCAAAGGTTTTTGTTGCGGCTGCTGAAGGACCCTAAGCACTTCCCTGAACATCTTCGAAGGTAGGTGCCAGCACATACTTGTCTTGAATCCTCGTTGAAGCGATGACGACTAACGAAGGAACATATATCAGAGAAGCGGGGGCCTTCATTCTGAAAGTCACCTATGGTTATTCCGTCCTGCCTGAAGACATCGACCCACTTGTCTCTTTGTCTGAGTCTGCTCTCGAATGGTTTGTATACAGCACCCTGCCCGGAAAGTGGCTGGTGGATTTGCTTCCATTCAGTAAGTACCCTGCCTCGTGTAGAGGAGGCAATGCGAATGCTAAACATTCTGTCCGACAGTGCGTCACATACCGGAATGGTTGCCCGGAGGCAGGTTCAAGAAAGCCGCACGGGAGGTAGACGGACATGTACAGGAAATCATTAAGAAACCATTGGCCTTCACAATACATCAAAAGAAACAGAATAAGCACGTACCTTCCTACGCGTCAGACCTCCTTGACGAAAACGAGTCTCACAGCGATGTGGCATGGACTGCAATGGGGATGTATATTGCTGGTACTGACACGGTATGCATACGCGACTCACCCACCCCTTGCGCAGATCTCGCCGCTAACTCTACTTAATCCAGACCGTTGCTTCGCTGAAAGGATTTTTGCTTGCCATGTTACTCTTTCCTGAAGCTCAACGCAAAGGGCAAGAGGAAATCGACCGTGTCGTCGGCCGTGACCGTCTTCCAATCCTTGCCGATCGTGATCAACTTCCCTACTTAAACGCGATGGTCAAGGAGACTATGCGTTGGCACACGGCAGGCCCAATAGCCTTGCCTCACAGGGCAGATGAAGACCTCACATACAAGGGCTATCTTATACCCAAAGGTGCTACTTTAATGCCTAACGCCTGGTAAGTGTTTACGTCTTCTCCTCTGCCGTTCGAAGCCTCTTCCTCGCTCCGCGTATTAGGAGCTCGGAAGTTTGCTGCCCTTGTCTCATTTTCTGTTGGCTGACTTTTGTCCTGCAGGCTGTATAACAACGACCCCACTACATACCCTGAGCCAAGAACATTTCGGCCTGAGAGATTTCTCGAAGGCGACGGCTATCAACCGGAAGCGGACCCTACCGAGAACATTTTCGGTTGGGGACGACGCATTTGCCCAGGACGCCTTGTCGCTGACAGTGCCGTGTTTGTGACCATGGCACAAACTCTCGCTGCTTACACCATGACCTCACCGGTGGGACCAGACGGGAAAGCAATCGAGCCCAAAATTGGCTACATACCGGGCATTGTGGCCCATCTTCAGCCATTTGAAGTGGATTTCAAGCTGCGCGATCCCAGATACGAACAAATGATCCGAACTACCGGGAAGGAGGATGCTTACTCCGGTGATGCAGAGATTCTTTCCCAGGTTAAGTGGTAGTATCTCGGAATGGTGTTACTTGGGTTTGTGGATCGCTCCACGCTACGACTTTTCTGGTCAGGCTCACATCACAAGGATGATTGATGATTCTTTCGTACTCTCGTGCAGGCCACTTGGCCTATTGATTACCAGTAGTTTGGGACCAAGTCCCAAGAAATCTCGGGCATGGCATAGGTCAAACCCCTGCGTTTAGTAAGATAAGAATGATCTCGTCTGATCAGTCTAAATCGCCAATCAAATCAATCAAAGTTCAACGGTGTAGGGCATACTTGGTGATAATGAAGACTCGTGCTCTACCTTGGCTGCTGTGAAGGACTGACCATCTAGTTACAGCGCTCACTCGACTTAATGGTGTCGTTAAAGAGCTGGTACTAACACTACATAGGAACAGACCTTGTCATTAAAGGGACGAATCCAAGTGGGAAGCCTAGCTTAGGCGTTAACTATCACCACATGCTATGAAGAATTCATTTTGTATTTGTCTGGTTGAAGCTGAATAGACCTGGTAATTCCAGATTCGCGCCTCGATGGCCTGCATTCGCTCAAGGCAGAGCGGCGCGCTTCTGTGCTGAATGACTGTGCTATACCGCCCCGTATATATGCTAGAAATCTTAGAGTTCTAAGTTCAAGATACTTCAAGCTAGACTTGCTCCTTATTCCACTTCTATATTCACGATCTTGATTCCAACATCCTTGTTAATTTTTTGACCTCCTTCTAGACTATTCCATATCGTTCCCAACCCCACTCGTAGATCTAGGCTTTAGGGTCGGGAATAGAAAAGAACTACGGCGTGTATCCGGTAAAGCGATAATGGCGCTATCGATTGACCGCCGGTGCGAAACGCCTGAGCAACGGACTTCGAACGCCACTCCCGCAACGAGCTACATTAAAGACGCTGGCCCACAGGGGGCTGTGAAGCGGCGAGGGAATAGGAAAGTATGTTGAGGCTTGAAGGTTTAGTAGGAAGAGGGAAGAGGGGCGTAGTGAGGTTTGGGTGGATGGCCAAGTGCAAGATTTTGGACGCTGGGGTGAGGATGCTGGCGGAGGAACGTTGAATAAGAGAGGTGTTGACTTTGATGAGAAGGTATGTCGATGTAGGGTTAAGCGCGAATTTGAATCTAGGTGAAGTTACATTGGGTGATGATTCGTAGTCCTTTGAAATGGCAAGTTCTGGTTTGAAGTTGATTGGATTCTTGCAAAGAATGCGTTATTGAAAGTCTACAGAATCTATAGAGAACGTGCTTGAAATAAGAAGGTAAAGTTAAGCTTTTCAGATGATATGAACTGAGAGAAATAGCAGCAAATGCATCCCTTCCAAGCTAATAACGATGCCGAGAGGAAAGTCATTCCTATGAATTGGATCCTTGAAAGCTGCTCTAGGTCTTCATAGAATTGTGAGTTCCGATAGGGGCCAATCAGTGCTAACATATGGTTCCCGACCGGTGAAAGTACCTATGCGGCGAAAGGTCATCTTGTCAAGTGAAAGTGGCGGCAGAAGTAAGCCTCTGGTACCGGCAGCTTCATTGCACTTCCCAAGGGCAAGAAAATACACAGATTCGGGGTTTTTATCCATCTCGTCAATAGTATCGAGCCAAAACCATGATCTGTCTTTTTGGATATGAGTATGGAAGTAATTGGGCCTCGTCTTGAATGTTGCAAAATCTTCATCGAGCTCACTCACCGAATCCGATCTAGGATGCTTATATAAAGCTTCCCGTAATCCACCTCGAAGTGTAAGTCGTCCGCTGGAAGCTGGTCCAAAACGTACAGAAGCTTTTTTTAGGGTAACGTTGCAGTCAAGAACATCGCGCCACGTAGTGGAGAGGCTAAACGTTTGTGCGGGCTCGTCTACTGCCGGCCAGGACCAGCTAGGTGCCCTGTATTTGGCTGGCCGCAAATGTTGCGGGGAGGGGACAAACCAAAAGAGTTGCCTTAAGAGCTGTACATTCCAAAGACCACACACATAGGTGTCGCCAAGCCAGCTGGAGAAGACTTCGGCAATGCCAGCAATAGCAACCAATCTATCATCCGAATGAGACACTTGTCACTTGTCGTGTAGTAAAGCCCTCCAAGACTTCGAACCAATCATTCAAGACTTCTTGAATGCGATCAGAAGTAAGCGGTACAGTTTCTTCCGGAGGAATGAGATACTCATTCAGGAAGTTTCTGCGACCATGATGCTGCATATTTTTCCGACCGAGCACAGATGTACGGCAGTCGTATACAAGCTCGTGACTTCCGTAAACAAGGCGTCGAGGTGATAAAATCCATACTTGGAAAGTCCTTCCTCGGTCATGTATGGGCTCGCTCAGGGGATATCTACCATGTAGAGCCAGAGATATAGTGCCCATCTGGTGGTTTGGGCATGGGAAAGGGACGGAGAAAGATTCTGGTGCGGATCGGTCTTCCAGGAAACCATCCTTAGCGCCACTCGCGCTTGCGGCGACAATGGTGATATGAGCCTGCTGGTATATTCTTCGCATGTTGGCCAACTCGTGGGCTTTGTCGTCCTCGGAGTCTTGAATAATGCACAGCGCATCGATCCAGAGGTACTTGAGTCCTAATTGCTGGGTGCAGAAGATTGCGTCTTAGACGCTCTGAGACGACTCATCCACGTTGATGCTGTTCAGTCGAGACTCGAGATTGGCCAAATGTGTAGGGATACCGCTCGGATTCTAGCCCCAGCAGTAAGAAAGCGCTGCGTAGCATCCTGTTCTCCCTCTAGTAAGAACGAGCCTCGGATAGTTGACATCGCCATCTCCTCGGTGTTAACCTCGTGCTCATACGGGCGGGCTCTAGCGAAATTGAAAGCAATGTCCTCTGGATGAGCCCAAGCATGCATAGAACAAGAGTCTTTATGCACAAGCAAGGCGAAGGAAAGCGATTCATCTTCAGGGTCTTCAGGGTCTTCAGGGTCTTCAGGGTCTTCAGGGTCTTCAGAGTCTTCAGTGTCCGACCTCAACCTCAAGAACCTAATTTGCACCTCATTTAACGGTGATAGGCTTGATAGCTCAACGTCATCTTCTGACTTTTCAAGCGAAGCAGGAAAACGGGCAAGAATCAGTCTGCACCAATTGCAAACTGCTTCAGATTCTTGGAGTTCGCTGAGCAGGATGCAATATACGTACTCGAAACTTTCCCCGTCGCTACCTTTGCCGCTCCAACATGCCTTGGCAAAGTCGTCGGATGTGAAGATCTCGTCCCAGCACCTTTGGCAGACAAGATCTCTCGGCTGCTCCGAGTTGACTCTTCGAAGTTTGGTAACATGCTGCTCATTGTCTGACGACGTGCTTCTAGAGCGGGAGGGAAGGGTAGCTTTTGACGCTTGTTCCCGGACAAGTGTTGACATGACGAACGGCGATAATGATGAGAATGAGTACGGTGTTCTAACTGGGAGAAGGCTTTTACGGAGTAACGAGCGATAGAATAGAGGTGGAGAAGATGTGAATTGTAAAGTCTGGGGAAAGCGAAGCGGGCGTGAAACGGGCTATGTGCTGGCTGGCGGTGATACAAGGCCAAGACTCCAGGCCGCCGCCCTCCAACTGCTGCGCCTCACTCTCAACCTCACCGGAATCTCGAAACAGCCATTAGGCATTAACGACTTTTAGCAGCAATGATAAAGTTTCGAAACGCAATGCGACATTTTGAGTAGTTCCACGGGGTGTATTGACTTTATCTGAGACAAGAGCATTCAAAGCATTTTCACACTCAGCCTTGCAGAGCCTACGACTCCCAATACTTATAACACCAGACTCGTCCCATTCCAGGTCTCTAATTCCCCATCCCCTTCAATTGCTTCGCCCCATCAACCGCACACAACCACCCGGCCCTCCCCTCAGTGAAAAACTCCACCTGCGGCTTCAACTTCGTCTCCATGAGCGTGAAATCATCCACCGTGCCAATCCTCAAAATACTTTGCTCAGGCCACGACTCGCCAACCCGATACAAAAGCGTCCCACAGGTCTTGCAGAAGTAGTTCGTCATCAGCTTCAGCGACGCGGGTGTCTTCTTCTGGGCGAAGGCCGTGAGGTTCTCCTGGCCGCGCAGGTGCTTGAGGTGTGAGTCCTTGACGATAAAGTTGGAACAAAACATGGAAGAGCTAATCTTATGGCAGTCGCTGCAGTTGCAGACAAAGGTGGTTACGAGGCCGTCCCCTTGGGTGGGCTGCAGAGTGTGTTAGAGAGGAGATGAGTGGAGATGGGTGGAGTTGGGGAGAGAGCAGAGCTTACGAAGGCGAGTTGTACGGCACCGCAGAAGCATGTTGCTGTTGCTTCTGTCTCGGTGGACCAGCCGTCGTGGGTCTGGTTGGCCAGGGGGAAGTTCTGTTTGGTGAGATCGTAACCCATTTCTGAAGATCCTAGCTGTCGAGGTGGTGTAGGTCAGGTTTTATTGTGAGACTGCTGGTGGGGTTTGGATGGGTCCAGCAATGAGGAGGTGGAAGGCGCAGAGATATTGGGTTGGATGGGGATGTGGAAGAAGACTTGATGCAGCTGAGGTTGATATTCAATTGACCTACGATGTAGACGGCCTCATATAGTTCTGCGGTTTGAGTAGAAGATTTCAAAGCAGGACATCGATCTGCACTATCAGGATGCTACCATGGTACCGCTGGGGTTGCTGTTTTGCTACTGCACGCTCTTCGATGACGTCGGGAAGGGAAACTCGTGGCTGTACACCATGTCCCCCTCATTTCGTAATCACAAACAACATTACTAACTATAGTTCTCCCCAAATTGCTGGGGTGCGGGCCGGGAATCCTCTCGTTGACACTGCGAATACGCTGGATACGCTGGATACGCTGGATACGCTGGATACGCTGGATACGCTGGATACGCAGGACTCAAGCTTTGATGAACAGGGCGTTGGTGTAGGGTAACCCCTTTCTGCTAGCGGGGGTTGCTGTACAACGCGTGCCCCGCAGTTGCTTATCATAACGAAGCTGTCGAAGCGAATCTCTTCACGCATCCCTCTCGGATGGGGGCCGGGGATTGTCGACGGAGCTTTTTAGCATGCAGGAGATTTCAACGTTGATGAGTAGGGCGCGGAAAAGCTGCTAAGCCCACTTGGCGCTAGCGGCACTGCTTTGTAACGAGGACGTGATTGGGCGTCAACGTCATCGCGGAACAACACGTCCTCCGGCCAAACCGCGGAACTTCAACTTGTTGACTGTCTGGGCAACACAACACTCAGCACGCACCCAACACAGCAACACGCGGAGGTTCATGACCGCCCGGCGCGCTTGGAGGGGGGCCCTGAGTTACGCCCAGCAGCCCAGTGCAGCTCTCACTTGTCATCCGCACCACCACCTTCACTCCTTTCCCTCCCTCCTCATGCCGCCAGACCAAACTTCTCTACGGCACACTCGGTCTGCAAACAGCAACCCAGACGCTGATGCTGCAAAGATGGACGGGACGGACGGACTGAAGAATTCTCGCGATGACGGCCAGCGCAAAGATCCAGACGTCATTGCAAGAGAGATGGACCTGCTGGCTCCGCGTCTCCAAGAAGTCTCTCTCGAGCACAAACTCGAGCACAAATGTCTAGGCGACATCACAACAGAAATGGACTTGCTAGCTCCACATCTCCAGGGGGTCTCTCTTAGTTCGCATTACGGTCAACGCGTCGCAACCGCTGGACACACGTCGAGTCAATCAGATACTGCCAGTGGCGAAGGCAGGTTCAACCCTCCAACTGCTCCTTGGTTCGACCGCACGTTCCCACACTTAAAGCTAACGCGTTCTCGCATTCAAGGTCGTGGGATGAAGAAGGCGGGTAGACGTGCACAACACGACGGCTACGGCCCTCACAACAATCGGCCCCATTATGACATCTATCGCCCTCATTATCACAGCTATCGTCCGGGTAACGGCTCTGGAAGAGGTACTACTAGTCGAGGTCGGGGTCGGGGCAAGAAGAAAAGCCCAGATCCTGTGATGTTTACGGAGGCTGATTACGCCGATCATTGGGATGCCGAAACAGCAGTGCAGGCTATGTCGCAAGGTACATCAGTGCGGGCTGTGTTGCAAGCCAACTTTTCTCAATCGACTCAGGAACGACCCAGTCAGACTGAAGAGGTAGCTCGGCCCCAGCCTGTCCAAGACCAGCAACAGGCCCAGCCTGCGCAGCAGCCACAGAACCCACCTCCATGGCAGCAACAGAACCCACCTCCTTGGCAGCAACAGAACCCACCTCCTTGGCAGCAGCAGAACCCACCTCCCTGGCAGCAACAGAACCCACCTCCCTGGCGTCAACACAACAACCAACGCACCCAAGATTCTCACAGTCTCCATAATCGAGCCCAAATACAGCAATCACAGCCTCAATGGCCAGTATATGGCGGTGCGTATGGACAGCAGCAAGGTTATGCTCAAGGTGAGTGGCAGGGCTTTGATAACCCGCAAGCAAATCAACAACAGGTCCAAGGTCAATGGCAGGGCCCTGCGAATGCGCAAGAATATCGACCACACCTCTGGGGCCAGTCACAAGGCTATGGTAACGCGCACGACCAACAGCAGCAGTCTCAGAATCAATGGCCTGGCTACAATGGACAGGACCAGTACACTCAGTGGCCCCCAGTCCATGGCCAGTATGTGCGAGGACCGCAGCCAGGGTACGACGTGCAGGGTCCCTACGCCCAGCACAATCATCTTGAGTATCAAGCTCGCACCTACCCGCTTACTGACGATGCTGCTTTGCCTGGTGGTGGCGTCGCTCTCCCCACAGATGAGCGCGCCGCCCTTGGACAAATCTCTGCCTTGAACATCCCTCAAGGCTCCTCAAACGTTGCCAAGCATCCATCAGGGTGGAATCCAATCAATGAACACCACGGTGGGTTTGCCTCATTGCTCCTGAATCCAGAGTTCTCGTCTCCCCCATCTAGTCCATCCAGAGGAATGCATAAGGGGAGGTCACGCTCACCTACCAAGTCGCCGTTCAACCGTGATTCGAAGGTATATACAGGCCCAGCTCCCGAGCCAACAAAAAAGTACCTCGAACAAGCTGCGCTGGAACCGCATCGCAGGTTTGCACCTATATGGCCGCAGCACCTTCTGATCCTCGATCTCAACGGGACATTGGTTCACCGTCCAGACCGCCGCAATTTGGGCAAGATCATACCACGTCCTTATCTGGCTCCATTCCTTGAGTTCATTTTTGCGAATTTTGACGTAATGGTCTGGTCAAGTGCGCAGCCTGTCAATGTCGACCTCATGGTCAAAAAGGTGCTTGGCGAAAATTACACCCCGCGGCTCCGTGCAACGTGGAACCGCAATAACTTTGGTCTTTCTAAGGAAGAATACACCCAGAACGTCCAGGTCTACAAGCAGTTGACGCGCATCTGGAACAGCGAGGAGCTCGGCGGGTGCATGTACAGTCAGGCTTCCACGATTCTGCTCGATGATACGGTTCTCAAAGCAGCCGCGGAGCCCTACAATTTGGTCGAAATACCGGAATTTGCGGCGACTAAGGCCCAGATGAAGTCAGATGTTTTGCGCGAAGTGGCGGGCTATTTGGACGAACTTCGCTACCAAATGGACGTTTCGACTTTCATAAAGAGGCATCCCTTCAAGGCGGACGGCACGTGGCAAATGAAGTGGTCTGATGATCTGGCGGACGGAGGGGTGAAGCTTGAGGACTAGTGGTAGGTTCTGCATTTGCTCATGCTCGAACAAGTGCACAGACAGGTACGAAAAGGTGCAAAAATAGGTAATGAATCTCTCTCTTACCACTCTTTAGAGTCTCTGGATACTTTTTGAATTTTTTTGAATGTGAGTGAATTTCCATGTCTGTGAACTCGTCCGCTACCTCCAGTGGGATCCAATGAATTTACACGATTGTCATAAGACGAGTTTATAAGTGTATCTCAGTATATTTGTTCTGGACCTTTTGAGTCAATGTTGGCTTTCTTCAAAAAATAAAAGCAGTAATAACGGTAAGTCCGTACACCTCTTTGCCAGCACATGTGATACTTCGGCATACTTTGACAAAGCTGGGCGAGATCACTCGGGATGATCAGAAACCTCGCTGGGGTACATGCAGCGGGGGCATTTAGTGTGCACACCTATCACAAGGTGAATTCGCCAGTGCGTCCGTCTTGAATCTCTCAAGTCTACTTTCAATCTTCTAAAATGTGCTGCTCCTAAGTATCTAACCGTTATACCACCGCTTGGGGTCACTCAACATGCCTTCAAATGGCCAAACCAAGATCGATTTGAACAATTTAAAGACTCGCTGGGGCGCATCCGGCGGTGGCAGGCGAGAGCACACATATGCTACGAGGCCGTACTTAGATCTCCTTTCTATTGTATCTCTCTCGTACTCGGCCCCTCACCGGTTCTTCGAAATTCGCTTCGCGAATGCCCGCCCGTAGGGCGGGCCAACACGCTCAACACAAATACTACCTCCTAGCTCAACGCAGACCGAAGACCCCACCAAAATCAGCCAAATCCGCATTTATATACAACCACAGCCACTAAATATAATAAGCTGAATTATTAATAGAGCATATAGTAGACCTCTATAGATAAGCCTATAAGAGCGCTACTTAATTCATATTCTAGTTCTTGCGTTAGAAAGATGTGGTACTATTTATAGTTTACAATTTAAGTAACACAAGAACCAGCATAGGTTTAAAGTTTATATGCTAGAATAATGTTCCTTTAGCACCACTATACGCTCTATTAGATTTCTAGCTAATACTATAAAGGCGTTGTGGTTGTGTAAGGGGTCGATTCTGGTGATTTTAGGTATTGGTGTTGAGCTAGTATTTGTGTTGAGCGTGTTGGCCCGCCCTACGGGCGGGCATTCGCGAAGCGAATTTCGAAGAACCAGTGAGGGGCCGAGTATGTCTTTTGAGTCGATGTTGATTTTCATGAAACAGGTGACTCGCTCACAAGTGTCTACACTATTTTATCACTGCATGTGGTATCTCAACACCCGTTCAAAAGTTCAGAGGGTATTATCTTGCGCGGTCCGTGAACTCGTTGGGGCACCGCAAGCAATGAGGGACGACTTACACACTCATCAGTCTCCAAAAAATACGTTTCTTCGTCGCATTTCTGTCATGAGCTCCTGGAGTCAATGACGCTTTCTCGAAAGTAGTGCGCCATGTCAACCCTGCACGTCGCTGTGTGGGATGCCTCATACGGCCCAGTCTGAACGAGGGGGCAATGTCATCAATTGAGCCTTTCAGATCGGGGCGTCCCGCTTCCCTAGTCATTTTCCATGCGACGCTACTGCGTGAGGTCCTCTAAGAGACTATCCTAAAACGCCGCAGAATACCAAGTGCTTGAGAATATAGATCAAGAGGCGCGTCTTGGGAGAGTTTTCTGTGTCGACGGTACCGCCTGAGGTGATCCATGAGAAAAGACCTGAACGGAAGGCAATGTCACGAACCAATACAGATTGTGTGGCAAACGAGTATGCACGCTTATAACAAGGCTATATGATGAGAATGATGATCTATATGATACAGGAACACTGGAATTTCAAAACCCAGATCGACTCGAAAGTTAACCGTCCTCTGCTTAAGCTAGGACCAAAAACTAAAACCGCATGGCAGGAAATGAAGCAAGTCTGAGAAATACTCTACAGAACATACAGAAAGGGAGAAAAGGAGAGAAGGAAAGAGTGCAATAGCAAACAGTGAGTACCCATTCTGCAAGAGACCGAAATGGCCGCGAAGCGGGTTGGGTTTCGAGAAAGACTTAACTCGACTGACTTGAAACCACATGCTTTTCTAGGAAGAGGTAGCAGTCTTTTTCTTCTCAACCGGCCTGCTGATTTCTTTGATTGCGTTTTCGAATCCCGGCTTCTGCATAAGCATCTTAAGCTTTTGCATCTCCTCTCTGCAGCTTGCATCCTTGGTTGGGTCTTCTCCTTTCTCTCGCGCAAAGCATATCGCGTCCATGAAGCCGTACACTTGCAACTCTTTGTTCAAGTCCGTAACATATTTGCAGAACTTCGTTATACCCCTGCAACGTTTAGGAAGGAGCTTATGACAATTCATAAACTTGAAAGAGAACTCCTCGTCTCTCTCTAGCTGCTCTACAAGTTCAACCATGCGGCTTTCATTGTGGTAAGCGTGGGCAGCAAATTTGGTTGCCCCTTGTCTGCGGAGTAGAATTCCAGGACGTCCTGTATGCAATCTGGATGCCTATCTTCAAACGCCAGGAAGCTTTTCTCGCCTGGGTCGGCTTCTAGGAATAACAGGTTCCTATTTTCCTCGCTTCTGCAGAATTCTAAGGAGACTTCGAAGGTGATTTGTTCTGCGCCAGTCCCGGCTTTGACAGTGCGCATCGGGCCTGGTCCGACGGGTCTTGCAATAAGGTGAGTTGTGATCCCTAGCATGTTGAATAGAGGAGATACTGACACCAAGACTTTGGGTCGTTCGCCCTTGTAGGAAACCCACGGGAGTGTGGAGTCAGCGATCGGGATGTCTGAGCTTGACATGGCTATTGAGAGGCCGATGGGGGATTGTCTGATCTCAGAGTTATTTGCAATGTGCTTCTGAATTTGCTGGTTCGAGAGTAAGGTGTGGTTGTGAAGAGCTCACGAAGAGGGCCCATGATGGGTGCTTTATACCACAGATCTGTCAGCCATGGCTGTGGCTGTTCTGGCGTACCGTTCACGATGCTATCCACGCTTCGTTTACGATTTGGCTCATTCCTCAGCCATGAGTCTCCATGTGGAGATTGAAACTCCATTGCGGTTCTTGCCAGCTGGATGCCAATGTTAGGAATGGCTCAGGAATGGAGTAGTGCGAATTGCGGACGTTGGGGCCCCGGCTCTATTCTGCGCTCCCAGATTTCCATTGTATGATGCAGCTTCGAGCCATTACCGCTTCTATTTACCCTGCACCGCCTCCAGGGATGGCTCACAACAAGAGTATAGACCCCCTCAATCGAAAATGGGTCTGATGTTCAGGCTGGTGCGCTATGGAATCGCGTTTCAGGCCTACGCACGTTCTCGCAAAATGGCCTCTCCGGGGCGGTGCTTTGGGCACGTTTCTGAGGGAAATGTGCGTTGGACATGTGGAGGAGAAAGGTTAGCAGCGGGGAAGATTAATCTGCGAGGTGAGTCACGAAGTAAGATCGCGTATTTGGGGCAGTTTGGTTATTTTGTCTGAAATTTAAGAATTTGTGTTCTGCTAATTTATGTATAGGAAAATTGCCTTCAACAAGTTCAGATCTCAGTGATGTAGCCCCGATCTCGAGTTCTACTTGTCGCCGGCGTTGTAGTCGCCTTCGCTCTGCTCATTCTTGCTTCCCACTATCCGCCAGCCGGTTCTGCAATTCCCCATCCATCAATATCAAGGTCGTCTCGGCCCCATCTACCAGATTGCGCGAACTAAGCCTCGTTTTCCTTCACAATGAATAGATCGGATACCATTTGCTAGACTACCTGATGATTGCAATTGCATCGCCAATTCTTTTCATTCTTGTAATCAGGCCTATCGGAGCTGGATGGGCCCCATCCACCGTTCTCGTACTCGTAGTCTTCATCATCCCGGGGGCCAACGTAAGTAAGCTCGCCGCACTTGTGTTCGTTCGAGGTGAAGTTCGGGGTTTTGCGAGCAAGGTAAAGCTCTTCAACGAACCCATCGTATGCATACAAGCAACTGATATCTTTCCAGATGTATTTCTTGTTGTCGAGCTGCTTGCATATGTTCTCGATGACATAGAATTGGAGTGGCGATTTCTTGTGGGTGTTCTCGCAGATATGAACCATAAGTGAAACTGGGACATGATAGCCAATTTCCCAGTCCTCTTTGAGCCCGCGGAGAACATTCATCATTCAGTCCTGGAAACCTGAGTTCTGGTACTTTTCCCCGAAGATCCACGCCTTAGAGAGATCCCACATATAGGAGCACAGCTCTGCGTTGTCTTCGGGTTTTCCTTGAACTGCACATGGGACTTCCGCCTCCAAAACCTCTCCCTTGGTATTGACCTCGTTTCTCTCGTAGAAGACCCACAGCCGAAACGCAGCTGGGTCGTCATGGTGCAGACGCACGACTCGATCTTCAACTTCTCGGAAGCTTCCCTTAAGCGCATTGACGAAGAATTTGGAGATGCGGCAGATGTACTCCTTCGAAGTCGTGAACGTGGCCAGATTGTCTCCGGTGCAACATGGATGGTGATTTGGTCGTCCGGCTTCATTCTACTCAATGTCAGTATTGGTCGGCGAAGAGTCGGAAATGTGCACGATGTACTCCATGAAAGCTTCCGTGGCGCAGATGGCGGACCTGGGAGGGTCCGGTTTGGGCGTGCAACGCAGGCAAGGGCCACATAGCTCTGTTATTATGTCAGTCCGAAGTACATTTCCTTTGAGAGCGAAAACCTACCTTCTTCTTCGGATGGCTTGACCTCCATCTTCGCGACTAGAGTCGTGACTTTCTGCGTGTCTTCATTCGTCGACATGTTGGAAACAAGGGTCATGAAGTGGGTTGTTCGCAAGAGGAGGTAATTAGGTCAGGGCTGAGGAGAAGTAAGTGAGGCAGAAGCAGTGCGCTTCCTGCGCCAGATCATCCGCGCGGCTCTTGAGTTTACCATTCACCATTTCACTTAGCAAATCGTAGACGTTCATTCTCAGTTCATTGAGAGTTTGGAAGGTTGAATTCAGCTAACTAGTAGAGGGATAGTACACAATCACTGAGTGCAACTATCTAGAAGCTCGGCATCTTTGGGTACCTGCTATCTCCTCTCTAGACTTCCAGTCTCACCAAATGTCATCCGGATCCCGCACCACCGCAAGACCTTCCTTTGTAAAGCTGTACCATACATCCTCTTCGCACAGTTCAGGATGATCTTTCGCTTCACTCACGGCTATCTTTCCGTTGACATTGGCCTGACGCTCGAACTTCGGTGCAACGTAGAAGAGGTGCTCCCGCATTTTCCAAACAAGCCGGTCTTTGCTGTCGAAAATGCAGTTGTCACGACCCACAAACATCTCCTTCGCAAATCCAGTATAATCTTCTAGTTCTGAAAAGTTCTCCCATTTCTTGACACGATCATCGAGCTGTCTGCTTATGTTCTCGACCACAAAGAACCTCAAGGGTGACTCCACGAGCGTGTTCTCATATACGTGCTTCATAACAGAGAGCGGTATGCAATATCCAGGAGCATCGGAAGGGTAACCGCTGCGCGTGACACACCGCAGAATATCCATAAGACAGTTCTGAAAGTCTGGCAGGTTGTATTTCTCTCCAAAGAGCCAGGCCTTGACAAGCTCCCAAAGGGTCGCGCGAGTCACAGCATTCGGACGTGACTCCCAGGGGCCAGGATGCTGTAGACAAGACTCCCAAGCCTTTTGGCGATGCTTCTTGTCGTAGAAGTCGTGCCAGAGTCGGAACGAGGATGGCTCATCGTGAGGTAATCGCAAGATACGGTCGTCTGCCTCGCGGAAGCTCCCTTGAAAGGCGTTGGCAAAGAACTTGGAGGCTGTGCAAATGTATGACTTTGAAGTTTGGAAGGTCGCTTGGGTATTCCCTGTGCCGACAATGATGGTGACCATTTCCCCTCCGGGTCTTATCCTACATTCCATTAGCTTATATCTACAAGAAGGCTAAGGTTGACTCACTCGAGTAGAGTTTGCGTGACATAACCAACAATTCCGGGCTCTGGCAGAGACGGCTCTGGCTTTGCGCGACTGATGTTGGCCATATAAGGCTTCCACGGCGTTCCTGCACCGCGTTAGATTTCAGGTCTGTCAGTTTATCTGCAAGGAAATAGCGTACCAGTCTGGCTATTGTCCCACTCCGCCGCCATGTTCGAGAAGGCGTGGTAAGGCGGTTCCTTCTTTGGCCGTGGGTGCAGAAGCTTCAGAAAAGACGTGGTGGAAGACAAGTGCAGGAGTAGCCACGCGCTTGTTGCTTCACGTGACTAGACACGCTCTACGTCCTTTCCACTTCACTTTGTCGTTCGGGGAACCTCATTATGTTCGCCAGCATATCTTTCTTCTAGATTTCAGTATCGCATGAGACTTGCCTTGGGCGATATCATTCACAACAGTAGAACATTCCCAATGGCAGATCCTAGCGACGCGATATCACTCACCGCATCTCGACATAGTATCAGCGCTGTTTTTTGAGCCTCGTTCCCAGCAAGAAAACCCGAAGACTTCCACTCTTCCTCTCAGGCGACGAGGTAGTTCTCTATATGCCATAGACATCAGAAATGCTCTTCCAGTTCCTCCTCGTCGCAGTAATCGTCCTACTCTGCACCTTACTCTACCCGAGGACATTTCAGCTTCGGCTTTCATTCAGCTCATCGTGACAGCAGTGAATCTGAGGTCCTCCGCCCGTACATACACCCCTTCCATGAATCTCTCCGACCTCGCCCACCTCGCTCACCTCCGTCTCCCAGCCTGCCACCACGACCTCACCCCCCACAACAAAGAACAACACAACCCCGATCCGACCACAACCCACAGACTCCATCCGCAACGATGGCGACCAAGAGGAAGAAGGGCAAGAACACGACGCCCAGAAGCACCCCAGCGAAGAAGCGCAAACACCGCGTGACCTCCGCCCGCTCGACACCCGAGCGCAAGACACAGGCCCCCTCCGCCCGCACCCGTCCCATTGTCGCCGACTTCTCCAAGCCTGATACTGCAGAGCCCGCTCCCGTCGCAGTGCGCACCTCCGGCCGCGAGCGCAAACCGCCCAAGCACTTCGGCGAAGGCGACACTCCCGAGCCCGCTCGCACGACTTTCATAGTGCCCAAGCCGACGTTTCAGGAGATACTAGACGCCGTGGAAAATTACAAGCCCATCCGGCCGCCGTCTCCTCCGCCGCCTCGGGCTCTGACGCCGCCGCCGAAGCAGTTGATCAAGTTCAAGACGAAGTTCTGGTACTCGCCTGAGATTCAGGAGGAGATCGAGCGGAGCGAGAAGCTTCAGAAGTCCGGCGAGGTGGTAGTGCGGATCTACCTTGACCCTTTGAGGCTGGGGAAGCGGATGGACTTTGAGGAGGTGGAATGGAAGGCGCTGAGGGGGCAGGGGGAGTACTTGCTTGCGACGCATATGACGCTTGAGGGCTGGAAGGCGTTCAAGAAGAATTGCGAAGAAGGGTATCGGGGAGATAAGCAGCTGAGATGGGTGTCGTTGTTGGATGTGGATAGGGGTGACTTTGGGGTGTGGGCGGTGTGGGCCGAGGAGTGGGCCAAGCGGAAGGAGGCCGCGGAGATGGCTGAGCTGGCTAAGAAGAAGGGGAGGAATAGGGGTGGTATCGCGGCTTCTGCTCCCAGACCTTCCGCTGCCGCGTCTGGATCTTCAGTCGCCGCATATGGAACTCGAACTGCGGCCCGTGCATCTTCAACTACAGGTGTAGAGAACGGTGGTGACAAAACTTCCGCTCAAGACGTCGACGGGGGTGTCGCCCAGGGCGCTGGTGAACTGTTGCGTGCGTTGAGCCACGCAAACCTCAGCAATAGCCATCGCGGAGCTTTGACCGCAGCTGCGAAGTGCAGTGCTGATGAAATCCAGCCGCTAGAGATGGAGATTGAAAAGATGAAATGGCTCTCGGTTCACCAACAGCGGAAGTACATCGAAGAGCTTGCCCGCGCCTGGCTTTTCGCCAACACCTACTTCCTCTCCGGCTTCCAGAACTACATTATGCGCTGTCTGGTGTGGCACACGCGGAACATGACGGGGACCAGTCTACCATCACACCCCTCAAACCTTGGCATTGGTCTGCGGAGCTCTTGGTGCGAGAGCGGGATCCCCCTGTTCGACGGTATACTCCTGAAGGATATTTGGAAAGCGACCGAAGAGCCAGATACCGCAGATCATTATCATGAGTGGTCCGGTGGTAAGCTCAGGGACTTCGTATATGCGGCGATGGTGGAGGCGTACTATCCCGAGAGCGTGCCGCTAAGCGTGTGGGGTGCGATTGTGGAGTGGCCTGGTGCGCACCAAACTTGCGACCTTGGGGGCAGCCGGAGGGTATGGCAAGTTAGTATCGCGCAGGAGCGTGAGATGTTTCACTGGGACGCCGACATCTTTGCGAAAGAGGTAGCCCCAGGCTTCTTCGTTGATGTGGAAGAGAGGAAGCGCGAGATGGAGAAGCTGATCTGTAAAGACAAGGAAGATCGGAATGTCGTCTGGGAGCGAGAGAATGCCAACAAGCCGAAACACGACAAACACTTGGTGTTGAAGAAAATTTTGCGCCGTCGCCGAATGCAGGGTAAGAAAACACGCCCACCTACTCGCAAGGTTACCTTCGAAGATAAGGAAGATTATGTGCGAACTGGGGGCGCTGTACGTGATTCCGGAATCGGTCGCAGGACGCTGAGTAGCGCTCAACGTCATGTGCGTTTCGACTTGACCACCGATCACACCAAAGCTGAAGATAGAGTTCAGCTCTCATCCCAGCGTCCCTCGCCACAGCCGAAAGCACTAGACCCCAGTGATAGCACGGTTCGAGCATCTACTCCTAATCCTGAACAGTTCGATCCCCCTACCCATGATGACGCTGGGAACATCTACGACATCCCCGATATCATCGTGACAGATGCCGATGACGAAGGAACTCCTGACACTGTGAATAAAGGGGCTATCGACCTGACTGTGGCTGAAGATGACCATACTGACGAAGACGAGGAAGAAGAGGATGGGATGGAGACAATCCCCGATACCATTGTCACGGACGACCAAAGCGAAGACGTTCCCGACGTCGTGAACCATGGGACTATCGATTTGACCGAGCTTTCAGATGGTCATAGCACTGATAGCAGCGACAGCGATGAGGACGAGGGAGAAGGGGTCGGAGTGGAGGTTGACGGCGATACTATCGAGGTTGACGCCTGAATGGCGACTTCGGTAGGCGATGGAGAGGGCATGTTCAGCGTCTTTTCAAGGTGCCGAGGTTACTTGGAAATGGAGCATACTTGGAACTTGGCTTTCGAGGAGTTCTATATCCCTGGGTATCTTGAATAACGAAAGACACTTCAAACTATGCATTGACGTGCTAACGCAGTGAATATACACATGTGAAGCTATTCGAGCTCAGACGACGTAGATTCTTGTACGACGATGAGGTTCAATAACCGGTAGCGAGACTGATTAGTGGTTGCGGTTGAACTGATCCGTGGTTCAAAATGAGTTTCAAAGTGGTCAAGGACCCACTGTCCCGAACTTGAAGAAGCACACAAGAGCGCAAAAATATTATCTCCATCTTCTCTATCGGCCCATTCTTCTCCTCTAACGCTAGCTTTCCATATCAACGCCACAATGTCGCTTCTCGAACTCCCCACGGAATTGCACTTGGAGGTCGCCAGCTACCTCAACGATAAATGTCTGAAACGTCTCATCCAAGCTCATAGCTTACTCCACGAGCGTCTCCAGAGACAGCTTCACAAGCGCGCATTATCCTGGGGTTCAGAGTATTCCAATTACGTCGATTGGCGGAACGACGGACGTGACCTATATCTGCGCGCAGTACTCGGACAAGCAATCGCGCGCAAACATCATAACCTCGTGGAGTACCTCTTGCGCTACGACGTCAGCGGGGTCAATGAACACGGCGACTGGCCAGTCCTAGGATGGGCATTAGAGAATGCTTCTGAATGTCTCATCAATAAACTACTCAACTACGCGATCGGTTTGGGAGATAAACGCACGATGACTCTCGATAAGGTCACAGATCACCTGAGAGATTATCTGCAACGTATACCTAGCTACCCTAGATTTGTATATGGACGAGATTGCAACCATGGAAGTACGTGTGCGTGTCAATGGGGCGCCAACGATTCCGTGCTTCAAGTGGTACGTTCTCACTATGGTCCCTCCCAGTGGATAAATCATAAACATTGTAAGACTAATAAACCACATTTAGATCAAAAACTTGCTCGAGCTTGGGGCAGATCCTATGGGCGGAGTATCAAGTCCATCGCGGAGGCTAGACGAATTTAATGGCGTTATGACTAGGAAGCTCCCGCTCGCCTTTTACGCCTGGAATAGTGCCATCCTTAAGCTTCTTGTTGACGCGGGCGCGGATATTCACTGGGAAAGCCCGGCCATGGGACTATATGGCTGGATTAGTTGCCCCGAAAACTCTGGATTCACCATGCTCTGGAAGGCCTGTAGAGAACGTCTATTCTCCCCAGGAGTTGCTCGGGAACTTCTGAGGCTTGGAGCAGATCTGAACTGCCTCCGCTTTCCAACCATCGAGAACGAAGACGTAGACAAGGAAAGGTTGGAGGAAGGGAAGTGGATGAAGAAGATCTAGAGGGTGAAATACCTGGTGAAAAATCAGATGATGATCCACGGAAGGTTTCACTCCTTGTGGAGACTTTATTCTTTGGCGAACATATGAAAACAGAAGTTGTCCTTGAACACGGTGTTCACTTTACTAGGATGTGCCTAGGACACCTTCCTATTCATTACGCTTCCTGGCTCGAGAAAGTCCGCTGGAAGTACGTAGCAAGTAAATGCTGGACCATTTGACTCTGGAAAAAGATCATATCGCTCACAAAAGACCTCGAGGTTCGCAATGACTACGGAAAGACGGCTTTGCAAGTTGCCATTGCACAAGGCTCGCTCAGCTACTCTAGGCTTCTTATTGAAGCTGGCGCAGACGTAACGGTAGAGGATAGCAATGGCAAAAAGCTGCTCGACCTCCCGTACAAATACCCCGTCCATCTGGGTAGAGGACATTCGTCCCCGTACGCAATGCTCAATTGGGCGAAGGAAATATCTGAAGAAATGCTACGTGGGAAATATTCTTTTCGCACATGGGAACGCTCTCAATTTCTCGCCACTTACGGATCAGAGGACAAGAACGGTTGCTACACTCCAGAAGAAGACAAGGGCCCTGTGTGCAAGGGGCAATAGATAACGTAACTTGAGAGCTTGAGCGATACTCGGAGAGATCAAGACGAAGACGAGAAAATTGAAGAAAGCCCGACCTACCATTTGCTAAAAGGTTACCCACACCAATTTCATTCCATCAAAGGAGATTGGCACCCTTCTAAGAACAAATGTCGACACCAACCACAGAATGGCCCTAGCCGCACAAGCAGCTAGCTCTTCACCAATCGAATCTCCGCATATCAAGCTCAGAGCCATGGTAATAGTCATGTTAGGGTTTGAACTAGTCACCAACCAAGCGTACCCTCTATGACGCCCGCACCCCATGCATACTACTCATCTACCCACCTCCTCTAAGCAATCAAAGCATCCAACTTCCCACTCTCCTCCTTCTTCAACCCACTCATCGTCGCAAACATCAAATCCCGCACCCCCTCACACCCCCTCTCCCCCAACCACTTGACCACAAACAACCGATACAGTTTCCAATTCACCGCAATCCCCCCGCTCTTCTCCAGCGTCAGGAGGCTCTGATTCGTAACCGGGCCCTGGTGCCTCACCTGATTTGAGCCCTGAGGAGTTCCTTCCTGCTCGCGGTCCCGCTTCGCGAGCACCTTCCCCTCCAACTCCCTCCACGCGGCCGCGGACAGCGAGGAGAAAAGCATTGAGCGGGTGAAGCCGAAAGACGAGTGCACCCCGTACCCCTTCTCGATCCCCCTCACATACTCATTGAGCGCGTTCCTTACTGCGTCGTCGATGAAACACCCCTTCGCATTCGCATCGGTCGTCAGCAGCGCGCGGCTCCTCCAGAGGTTATTGCATGTATCCATCAGATACCCGTTATACGTATTCGTCATCTCGTATGGATAGTACGCGCTGATCGGGGGCGTGTGCTCGTCGAACTTTCGCTTCAGGTTGGAGAGAATGGCGCAGAAGCGCGCGAGAGTGGCGAGGGAGGGGGCTGTGAGGAGGGAGTGGGTGAGGTGGGGCGGCGGGATGAGGATGGGGATGACATTTTCGAGGGAGGAGGTGGAGAGGATGGTGTGGAAGGTTAGAATAGCGGAGATGGTAGGCGAGGAGGGGAAGGGGGTGGAGGACAGGATAGAGAGGGAAAGGGTGGAGACGTGGGTGGTTAGGGCGGTGAAGTGAGGGAAGAGGGAGCGAGGAGGGGGGTTTGGTGCGATTGTGCAGGCGGAGGTGCTCCAGTTCCGGAGGATGTTGGTGTAGAGGTGGAGGAGTTTGGAGTGTGCGAGGGGGTTGTTAGCGATCAAAGCCGTTTCCGCAAGCTGGAGATGCGACTTGTAGACATCTAATCTGCGTTAGTTCCTGCTCGCCGACTTGGTTGGATGCCACTGACCATCGAATGGCTGCAGGGGGAGGTGCCCTAAAATGTCTACGATAACATCGTCGTCGCTAATACCATCCCATTGCGCTAGATAAGCTTTCAAGAACTCGTCCGCAATTGGAAGTATAGCCTGCTTCATTAGTACTTGGAGGCAGAAGCATGAGAGTGATTACTCACTTTGGTATTTCGTATTTGGTTGAGTAGTCCACGGATAATTTCCGAGCGTTGATCGGCGCCAGTTCCTAGTTGGGAAGACTCGTATACGTCCCACAAGCAGGCTTCAAGCCATAACTCTAGTCTCTTCGAAGCGATTTCAGAAGGTCGAAGAGCGAGATACTTCTGTAGAAGAGGATCTCTTAGATACGAGATCATTTGCCCGGGTAGCTCGATCCGGTCCAGCTTTTCGACGAAGTCGTCGACGTTATCGATCTCCTCTAGCGTCACCGATGTCTGGGCAAAATGTCAATAGTGATCGAGAAGCCATGGCAAAAGCTTGGTTACCTCTTTCGCGTGATACGTATGGACCTCCGGAATGAGCGAGATCTTGCTCCTCTTTGAGCCGTGGCGAAGGACTCGGAATCCGTTGTGCTGCTCTGCAGACCCATCGAGACTCCTCTCACCGGCTTCCTGGATGGCCAGAATCCGCGTCTTCCATTCTGGTGTGGGGTTCTTCTAAAATTAGCACGCAGAAGAGGATGAGATATTGGGGTTCATGCAGAACGATGGATGCGGAAGCTGCAAAGCAAGCGGCAATATGCATGGACTAGAGCAAAGGCAACAGGTGTTCAGCTCTTACCGGAGGGAACGAGTTTCGGGTGGTCGCGGCAGTGCCGACGATAATATCCGGGTAGTAGTCCTTGTATACGCGGAGAAGGCCCTGGAGGGCTGGCTCGTTTCCGATGCCGCGAGACAGCTCCAGTCTGAGATTCTGTCAGTAGCCGCTTAAGTCGTACGCGGATGTCGTGCAACCAAGATGCAACGTACAGCTGTTGGATCCTGAACGGCCTTACGTGCTTTCGCCGAGTAATCAGAGACAAAAGGTGGCAGAGTGATGTTCTGGAAGGTCAGCTGAGTTCGATACGAGGGTGCATGGGCTGCCTCTTACCTCAGACTGATCATATCGAGCATCCCAAAGAGGACGCCATATAGTCTTGACAAGACCTTGGCGTCTTCAAGCACCCCATAGGTGTTGATCAGCCATTTCACGAGGAGCACTTGGCTTGCGGGCGTAGGCTTCGTTCGAGCCTGGCCGAGTGACCCCACGATACGGATGGCGACGTCTGCGGAAACTCGCTGGGCGGGATACAGGTTCTTGATTAGAGTCGTTACACTCGTCTGGTCTAGATCGGTCTGCCTCGTTACTACGTCGACGATGCCGTCGAGGCTGACGGCATCGAGGCCGGCATCAAACGCATGGTAGCATATCGCGTCAACGGCGCCCTTCACTCTGGTCCTGCGCTGCTTTGCGGGCGTCGTCGATGCTGTTGCCGCGGGTTAGCGGCAGACGAAGAAGGGCACTGCAGACAACTCACCCCTCTGCAGTGCTTCAATGGCGTCGGGCAGGCTGAGGACGGGGACTACACGATACTGCATCAGCGCGTATATGCCGGCAGGTGGCACGAGTCCGCTCACCGTCGCTGGCCACCGAAGGCATTGCTCCCTGCTTTTTGCTTTCCAGATGCGATGCGGACACAGCGAGCCACGGGTCAGCGTTTTGTGGTGGTGGTGCGTAGGGCGACGCGTTGTCCAGCATGCGGCGCGTCGATATCAACCCATCCAACAGCCGAGCAGCTAGTCCGAGGCGGGCGCCAAGGACCAAGGGACGGTGAAAGTCGAGGGCTTCCCCACATGGTCGTCCATCGTCGGCCCCTCCCACGCTCTGGTGCCCCTCCCACGCCTCTTGTGCCGCCCCCTCCCCCATTCACCAACGACGGCCCATCGTCGACCTGCCCGCGCTCTCCCGCCCGCTGCCTCTGTCCGCCGCAGACACGACCAGGCCGCGACCCAGCACGATGCAGCCGCTCGTCGACGCATCGCCCTGCCCTCTCCCCGGCTCCTGTCCTCACGGCATGGAGCTGGCTCTCGCGCGGCGCGGACGACGTGCTGATGCCCATTGAGGGCCCTCTCTCGTGCAGCAGTCACTTGCATGCCGTCGCGGTCACTGGGCGCCCTCTGCAGGACGCTCGCCTGGCCGCACTGATTCAGAGAAAGCGAGCATGTTCGCGTTGCACAACCATCCTGCCCAAGTGCTGCCGTCGGTTGGCGCGGCCGCGCTCGAGATTGCAGCCCGTTGTGAGTGGCTGATGGCCTCGTATGAGTTCACTTTCTGTCCTTTGCTCTGCAGCAGACTCCTCACGCCCTTCCGCCCCCCCGGACTGCATTGCACAGCTCTCGAACCGCACCCCCCCGCGCACCTGGCCGCCGGACGTCAGGCGGATCGTCCGCATCGGTGCCATTCCCAGGTTTCTGGCCATATCGTGTCGTTCTGCATGGTATGAATGCTAATCTATCTCTGCATGCCGCGAGAGCCCTGGGCCAGACGCTCCGGGCCATGAGGATCGCCGCATTGTGTTCCTTCAGGTCGACCTGAGGGCTCCCGAGCATCGCTGCCCTCTCACTGTGCCATCGCCAGTTTCCGTTTTCTAACGGCATTCGCACACGAGCTGCTCCAGGATGACTCTGGTCCCGGAGACCCCACCCATGTCAGCTCCAACGGCCCGTTTGCTGGCAAGCTGGCCCAATCCAGCACCCTTTGAGACCACCGCTCTGCAGGCCTTCTCACACGAATCCTGCTGGTGTGACCCCTCTTCGCCCGACAGCAATTAGGCCGGGCAAGCAACGACCTCGGATCTGCTGCCATTGCCGTTCTTCCGTGCCCTCACTGGCGGAGGCAGTAAGTCTTGCTTTTTCATCGGCCTGTATAGCGTGGGTCTCCGCAACATCTCGTACAACTTCATACCCTCCCCTGCCGTACCACTACATAGCATCGTTTCCAATACTACTATCTATATTTGAAGACTCGCCGATCCTCGTTACTCTGCGGATCTAAGCTCTCATCGTGAGGCTATCGTCCCAATCGCCGTTTCTTGATCGCCGTTCTTGATTCTACTTGAAACCTCATCCGTCGACACACTGACGGATTGCGGTTGAGACTCTGCACGGTTCATATCCGTATATACTGGTGTATTGCTTTCAAACAACTCACGCTAGTGTTGTCTATATTTTGATACCCGCGGCTTCCACCACATTTCCCCATTGGGATCGGCGAACCCTCTAGCTCCCATTGGCGCAACCAATTGTTGCCTGTGTCCGTGGATCTGTACAACCTCGATAGTTGAACTCATAGTCTCGAGCTTTCCAGCCTAGATGTTTTGGCATCTATTAGGACTATCTGCTATTGAAAGATCCGGACACCGAGTATCGAACTCCACTTCTTATCTATATATCTTATTTCCATCCACCACATAACTTTCCACGGCCATTTACCGAAGGCCACGACTCAACTTAAACACTCGAAACCCCTTCATCATCCAAAAAACCTCGACCCCTGTCTCATCGACTCCTCTCTCATCAACCCCATAACCACCCTCAATAGCATGGGCGAACAAAAATACCGCACCCTAATCTCGCCCACCCGCTCCACCACCACTTTCTCACCCTCAACCCTCTCATCCCTCATCCGCCAAACCTCCCTCTCAGGACCCCCACCAATCTCCGGAGTAGCCCTGCGCAGCATGTCCCCCCCCACCGCGACCCTCCTCCACGGCACCACCGCGGCCCTGCACGCCCTCCACCCCGCCGCCTTCCTCGTCCTCTTCACCCCCGTCGTCCCGCCGCCCCCCTCGCCCGCCGCGTCCCCGCCGCACACGGACCCCTTCGAGCCGCTCGGCCGCGCCCTCGCCCAGCGCCACGCCCGCATCCGCCACGTGCCCTACGTGCCCGCCGTCGGCATGACGGACACGCACCTCGCGTTCCTGCGGCACGCGGGCGCCGTCGTGGTGGTGGTTGTCGTTAGCAGCGAGGAGGATGGCAAGGGGGCCGGGGGGCAGTGGGAGTTTGCGAGAGGGGTGGTGGCGCAGAAGGCCGGGGTGGAGGAGCTGGGGGATGTGCCGGTTTGTTTGGTGCTTGTGGGCGGGGATGGGCGGGGGAGGGAGTTTGGGGAGTTTGGGGGGGTGGTTTGGACGAGGGAGTATGGGGAGGGAGCATTGAGGGAGGTGGCGGGGGTGATGGTTGGGTAGATGTGATCTGTGGAGGAAGGGACTGGATTGAGCAAGCGAGTTGGGGGAAGGAGAGGGAGAGGAGGTTCTGTGGTGAGCAAGTAAGAACTGGGTTTTTAGAGGTTGGAACAGTGTTCTGGGTGGGTATACAGATGGGGTTCAGTCAAGAGCGCTGGCGGTTATGGGTTATATACAGAGGTTGGGGTTTATATTGTACAGGGATAGCATCTCGATTCTCGTTCATGTAGCGCGCGGTCCGATTTCTTCTGCCAATGCTGATTCAGTAATAAAGGCGGGGTGGCTGGATTGGTTTGGGTACATAGACTTGCTGCATATAACCGGTTGAGCGCAGTTTTTGGAGAGCTTTCGGTCAATCAATCTAACCATGCGGCGTTCACATGCTCCATCTTCCAAGTACCACCGTGACGAATTTGAGAACAAGTTCAGGCTCTTGGAAGACATGTCCACTCCTCAATTCCTTGGCTCAGGATTACATTAGGTATTGCTGCACTCTCGTATCCCTCCTGACTTACTCTTACAACCTCCGAATCGTGTCTTCAGAACGAAACGCCCATGCGCTCAGTACCCCAATCATGCCCTAACACGCTCTCCCATATCACGCTCAATGCTACACGCTCTAGCTCTAGCCACCTATGAACGACCCTCGTATCCCATGCCTCGTCGTCCTCGCTATTTTACATGACCTCCATCTTTCTACCCTTTCCCTTTCGCGCTCCAGGCCACTTCCAGCCCTCTCCTCGCGCTGTGACTCGCTCCCTTATGCCTCCATAAGTCCCCGTCCTCGTCCGCTCAGCGGGCTTGCAAAGCCTGGCGTCTCTTTCGCGCCCGTCGCGCTGGTATCGTCCCCGCCCCAGTAGTAGAACGCGCGCCGCGCGAGCAGCGAGAGATGTTCGGGCAGATATAAAGAGGCGGCAATGATGATCATGGAGAGGAAGAGGAAGAGGAAGGAGTCTACTATGAGTTAGCGCTGTTCCGCTGCATTGCACCAAGACAACCTCCCGCCCGAGTTCTGGGTAAAGAGGCGGTAAAGTTGAGTAGGGGATTGAGGGGTTGGGTTTGGGGGCTTCAAGACGTACTGAAGATGAACTTCTCCGTCGGCGTGAGCATGTACAGCGAGAACGTGACCTCATATTGGTAGCGCTTGCGCTGTAGCCAGCGGAGGAGAGAGGAAGGGTACAGCATTGCGGTGAGGAGGAGGGTCGTGGCGGCGGCGAGGAGGATGAGGGTTGCGGTGGAGGTTGTGTCGAGCATGGCTGGATACAAATTGGGTATGCGCGCGGGTTGCGAGGGTCTTGGGGCGTGATATAGTGGAGAGACTTTGGAAGGGGTTGCTTTGGGGAGTGCCCGGAGCTTTCATGACGGGAGAGACACGCGGAAAAGCGTCCATGCGCCGCGTCCTGCCGAGAGGTCCGCTGTTGGATTTTATAGAATATGCGACGCGATAAATACGAATCTACAATACAATTCTGCACTGTTTCAGCTACTTCTTCAATCATGATCGCAGCATAGCCCTCGTATACAGGTCTCTGGGCCTCAACAATTCGCAATGCCACCCACAACCCTGCTCCGCCGCTTTCCTCTCCTCCGCCAACCAACCCTCCACCTCTCCCACCTCCGACCCTTCAGCACTACCCTCTCTCTCCCCTCCAAGCCCCTCCCGCCGCGGCTCGTCATACCCGAAAATGATATAATCGAGAACTTCCTCAAAGGCAGCGGGCCGGGTGGGCAGAAGATCAACAAGACCTCTTCCGCCGTGCAACTCAAGCACATCCCAACCGGCATAGTCATTAAATGTCAGGATACGCGGTCCAGGAGTCAGAACCGGAAGGTGGCGCGCAGGTTACTCTCGGAGAAAATAGAGGAGTTGGAGCTAGGGGAGGGCGCGCGGACGGCGGTGAAGGCGAGGGAGAAGAGCAAAAAGAAGGCCAGTGGGGACAAGAAGAGGCGGAGGAAGTATAGAGCGTTGGCTGGGGAGAAGGGGGAGGGGAAGGGGGAGCAGAGCGAGGAGGGGCTATATGGGGAGGAGTTTGGGGAAGAAGAGGTGGATGTGGAGGTTGAGGTACGAGCTACAGAGTACGCCAATGGTGGGAAGCGCGGTGCTGAGGAAGCGGTTGAACAAATAAGGAAGAAGTCTTGAAGGGTCACTGGGTCATCGGATACTACAATCAGACACTCGGGATGGATCATGGTGATGTGACGGCTATTAAGGGTGTTCGCGATGCGTCAACGGTTGGGAGGCGTTTTCAGGGACCCAATACCCAACAAGAGTACACGCAGCAATTTGCGGGCGCGAAGGAACACAGCATCATATAAGCTCTATGTACGACGGCCAAGATGTGCTCAGAAGAAGAAAAGGGCGGAACGTAGAGATATTGGTGACTCCGGAGCTTCACGAGGGCACCAGCGTGGTGGCATTAAGCCATCTTTGGCTGTTGATATGGAGCCACGCAGTTGAAGGACATTGCGCAAAGAAAGAAGTCGAAAGTAGGCTGGCAGATATATTTCCAGAGGATTCGAGGCTGGCTCGTGGCCTCAACCAGCAGAGTTTTCACCAACTCTAGAAGCGCGGTGTTCAGTGCGCATCAAATATACGACGGTTTGCAGCTCAATGTAATTACTAGACGCACAAGTGATATCCTCCTAGAATGAGAGACCTGATGGACAGCAAGACAACGCAGAGCAGGTGGACTTTCTTCACTCGTTGGAGACCATCAGCAGCGAAACGCCACAGCAAAGTAGACAGCTTGGCACTCAATCGTCATATGGTGAGACGATGATGATGCTGACGATGATAATCGAGGCTCTTCTTCAACATCCTGCACAAGGCAAGAGGATCAATGAAAAGGTTGTGCCATGAGGCGGCGGGCCAGCAAAAATTACGCCAGTGAAGCCCCCGAAGGAGATTCATAGTAGCCCATCGCCGCGGTGTGCAATGCAGGATAGTCTACCAGATCAGCCGAATTCATGAGCTCGGTGATCCCAACAAGGTAAGTATGGGGGAGAGACGAGGAAGGAGCGACCGGGCAGCGAGCTTATATACCGCATTTTGCAGGATTCGCGCTAGTGAAGGTGGGCCTCACGTGCTAATAACATTAGGCACCCACGCACCACGCTGGGCAGGAAAAAGGTGGCACCCGGGCTTGCTTCAACTAGAGTGCCACTTGTTTTATGCCCCGCGTGGGGACTTCGGCCTCGTCACTTCCGTCACTCCTGTTCGTTCCTCGCATCACAGCATCACAGTATCACAGCATCACAGCATCAACCTTTCAGCTTTGTCCTCTGAGATGACTGCCCACCAGCCATGGCAGACCGAGGACGCCCATTCCAGGAGGTTTCGGTGAGGTCCATCGTGGGTCAAAATGGCTCCGAGAGATTTGAGTACGACGACAAGCCAGAGAGGGTCTCCGACTGGCGTGTTAATCTGGTAAGCCTCTCTTCTCTCGTTGTACATACATTGTCAGGCCTGTTAGCTTCTTGCTGCCACTGTTTGGAGTGCTTCGATTCATTTTTGTATCTCTGAATATCATCATTTTGAACGCCCTGCACACTCTGTGGGCCACCTGAAATGGTGGCGCACTACGACACGGGGCATGGCAAAGGTGGCACACTAATTCTAGAACAAGCTGCTTTTGTGTACACCTGTCTGCTACTGTTTGGGGTGCTTCAGCGAAGTCTCAGGGATTGGAAGCAAACAGGTGTACACACCGGCCGAGTACTTGATGAGTACCGGCCGAGTACTTGATGAGTACCGGCCGAGTACTTGATGAGTACCGGCCGAGTACTTGATGAGTGTGCCACTTTTGTCATGCTCAGCGTTACTGCTCCCCTTCCTCTCCTGCTGCCGAGACTGGTCTTCCACCATCGACGCTAACAGCTTGAAGACCGCACTTTCGAAAGTGCACAACCTCTATTTCCTTGCTTGTTCCGAAGAGATACATGTCCATCGCCCAACGTTTCCCGAACAGAGACTGTCTAGCAAACCTCTTTTGAAGCTTGGTCTGCCCGTGACTAGGCCAGGTCTACGAGGCTACCTTGACCCCCACCATCCGCACTCGGCGAACCGTATTCTGCTCGACTTTCTCGGTCACGAGGAAGCGCTTCTAGTTGCCTGTGATGATGGGGACGTGATCGGATTCTTCGTCAAGGATATCCTAAAGCATGAGCCCCACGACACCACCGTTCCAAACGACATTTGTTTGGTCCGCCCTTTCTTCCATACGAACGTTGCAAAGAGCGCTTGGGGCTTGGCTATCCATAGCGAAGCTCGGTTAATTGCTGTCAGTGCAAACACCCGCAAGGTTAGCGTGTTCGTGTTGGCGCTCAGCCCGTCCGCAGAATCTTTAGCTTTAGATCCGTAAGAGCTTCCTCTCTTTCTATGTACACCTGCTTGCCACTGTCTAAAGTCCCTCGATGGATCTAGATGAATTTTAGCTCTATCGTTTGGAGCGATCTGTAGACTTGCTGGGCCGCCTCAGACAGCAGCAAACAAATGTACATTCTAACAAATCCCCAGGGCCCGAAGCTATGAAAGGAAATTGGAATCAGCAGACATGGGCGACAACATCCCGGCCGTCCACTTCAACAACACCGGTTCGGATCCAAAGGGCCAATGGATTTTGTGTAGTACGATTGCCGGGCAAGTCTTCGTCTGGGATACTCACCGGACACCGTTTTACGCCGAGCGTCTCAGTCTCGGCTTTTGCTTTGGCGTCTTGCATGAGCCAACGCAACCTGCTCAGTGCACGTGCTTTGACCAGCACGGTTATCCTCACGCTCTCTGGAACTCAGTATTCCTAGATCCTCGGTCGTTCAAAAAGACTCATCTAATTGAAGTAACCCTTGGCACTTCCAAAGTCTCCAAGTCTCATTGGTTCTGGGACATCTCGGCGAGCAAGCTCAACATTCCCGGAGGCCAAAAGCTCCTTAGCAGCCCCAGTCCTCGTACTCCTGCTCCTGCCTCTGCAACGGTGGCTGTTGACAACAACACCGGCGTTACGTTCAATCTTGACTCTCAATGGATGCACGACGATGATTCTCTTGAGGAAGAGGAAGAAATTGTTGCCTCCGATGCCGCAACTGGCCAACCGAGGTAAGTTTAACTTTCAAGCTATGTACACTTCTCTGCAGCTGCTTAGGGTAGCCTGTCGAGTTTACCAGTCGATCAAAATGCGGGACTTCCGTCCGAATCGGGCTTCTGAAAATACCGTGAGGCACCACAAGCGGTGGCAGAGAAGTGTACGAATCCCCACGATGAGACACAATACTATCGCTCCATATAAAGAAATAACTATTCACTAACGTGTCCTAGGCGCCGTTTCTATATGCAACACCTAATCTCGGACGGTGGCCGTACATCTTCATCCAACTCGCACTGCCCCGTCCTTATTGTTGCCAAAAAGGACCTATTCCTAGTGCAACCACTCACCTCCGAGGCTACGTCTCCGCCCGTCATCGTATTACATAACCCTCTTGCTCAAACTCAGAGCCAATTTCCAAAGTCACGAGACCGAATGTGCTTTTTTGAGCAAATACCCGAGCTCGGCGTGGTCATCGTTGCGTCAAGCATCGGCCGCGCCGCCGTCATAACTTTGACCCAATATAACGAGCTCGACGACAAAGAACTCCCACAGCCCGTGTACGGCTTCCGGCTCGATCATCTTCTCCCATTTCCAGAACAAGAGAAGGATGGCTGGCGCCGTGGGTGGATGCTCGGCATTGCGGTCAGCCCTTTGCAGGGTATGTTGGGCACGGAGGGGGTACGTCGCTGGCGGCTTATACTCTATTATGCGGATCATACGGTTTTAGCGTATGAGATTGGCAAGATTCGTGAGCCGCGAAACCGGGGCGTCGAGGCTCTAGTAATTTAGTTTTCGCAAGGAGGGGTTGAAGCTTTTGTGGTTTAAATCTCACGATGAGGGAGAGAGAGGGAGCTTCTAGTCTTTCGTTCGGCATAAATACCCCTGAGCGCCTTCGACCTTTCTTTTTAGAAAGCCTTGCCAAAAGTTTTGGCACACACTCACCACCGTTGGAGGTTCTTTAGTGCATTTGAAAAGCTGTTGTACGATGTAAAATTCTGAACAGCGTAAATCAGAGAGCTATCACACGCTGACAGCACCGCCTACTTGCCGGTATTTGTAGTGCTTCAGCGCCGCATCGTAAATCGGGACAAGATGAAAAAGACCGCAACGGTGGTCAGGTTGTTTGGGAAACAAGCAAATCCACCCCAATCTACTTCAATCAGCTTCCAATTCGACTCCAATTCACCGTCCCGATGATATCTTAGGAGGTTTCCAACTTCAACGTCTTATTCACCAGCCACCAAGCAACACTTTACTCTACCTAGCTTATCAAACATTGAAAGCACTGCGTATTTACTAATTATGGGTCATTTCTATAGAAAGACCCAACGCTGCATGGCACAGACGGCCTATCCTATCCAGGTGCGGAAATGGAATGAACGCTGAGTCGAGACTCGACTTCTCCCTTCTGCGATTTTCGTTTGGGGAACGCGACTTCTATCCCTCGTTCATTATCGGTGTCGTCCGCTCGGAGCTTCGTCACATGATCCACACGTGCCGTTGGTCTTGGCGCTCCGGAATATGCTATAAATATATAATTTTTGGGGTAAGCCTTCTTCATGATGAGAGTGCGTTTATTTTTCGAGGAGCAACATCCTATGTCAGTCATCTCATGGGCGCTTGTTGCGCAGTGGTACAACCGAAGTCTTTCGCCCACCCATGAGAGGGATCAGAGTTGCGGGGTGATGCAAAAATCTGCGAAATACCTCGTGATGGAGCTAGCTCTAAGTAGAAACACAAGATGATGATGTTGATCAACTCCCTTGCAATCACTGGCCATTATCATGTCAACGAGAAAATATCGGGCCAAGAAAGATGACACTAAAGTTTTGCTCTAAGGAACACCGCCGAGCGGGCATTAGCAGTAAGGTATCGCGATGATCAGCAGAGAAACGATGCGTTGATCAGCACACAAAACTCCCATGAACATCGTCTTCATCTGCTGACGGCTTCACCAGACCATGAGAAATTTGCTCTGAGGTAGGTTGATCTCCCCTAACTTCCACCAAGCTCACTCAGTCTCGCCGGAACATCCATCGCTGGATAATTCTGGGTGTTTCGAAACCCGAGAAAGTGGTCTCTATAGGGGTCATGAATTTGGGAGGTTAAGGCATGAATTTATACTTGCTTTCCGCCCCAGTTACGTGAAAATGTACGCGTCTTCCGCTTCCCATGCCCTCGACACCGCTGGTCCATAGTCGCTGAGAAGTCGGAGTGAGTGGCATGGGATCACTAGTTCATACAAGGTAAGGCAATCATGAATCATTGCTACCTCCTGAATTTTGGTATTTTACCTTTTAACCTCATGCACTTATCTAGCATCCTACAGTCCTCGATGTACCCTCTTCCTTAGTGGTGGAACAACCGAATCGGTTGCTCGACAAACGTGATCCCCAACTTCTCCGCCGCTTCCATAACCACCCCATCATTCTGGCTCCCCGTCGGCGCCGCAAGGTACTTGACCCCACTCCGCGCCGCGCGATACACGTTATCCACGAACGGGAAAAATGCATCGCTGCTCAGCGCCACCTCGCTCAACTTCCCGAGGAACTCTTTCCTCTCTTCAGCTGTGAACGCCTTCGGCACATGGCCGGGCTCGAAGTTGGCCTCGAACTCGTCGAGCTCGGGGCCTGGAGCGGTGGGGATGGAGCCAGAGCAGAGGAGGTCGATGGCGTTGGATTTCGAGGGGCGCTTGGTGCCTTTCTTGAAGGTGAGACCGAGGGTGCGCTCATGGAAGCGGAGCCACCAGTTGTCGGCTTTGTCGCCAGCGAGGCGGGTGCAGTGGATGCGGGCTGTGAATGTTAGTAAGGGAGAGGGAGAGGGGAAGAGTAGGACTTACATTGTTGGCCGGCGCCTAGGCCGATGACCTGGCCGTTGAGGGCGTAACATACGCTGTTAGACTGGGAGGTGTTAGTTGTGGTTCAATTTAAAGTCTACGAATTGGCTTACCTGAGTGTACTTCAGCGCAATGGTGGCGACGGTCAAGTCCCGAAGTGCTGATTCGGATAGCGGTGCGGAGTCCTTGGGGGTTATGATGGTGTTGAAGGTGTCGGATGGCGAGATGTGAGCGTCGTTGCGTTGCTGTCGCAAGTTGATCCCGTAGACCGACCGCGTCTCGGTGGCAGGCGGGTCATACTCGGGGTCCATCTGGAGAACCAGGTACTTGCCGCCCTTCTTCTTCTTGAGTATCTCGAGCGCTTCGGCAGAGTAGCTTGGTGCGATGACACCGTCCGAGACTTCGCGGCTGATGATCTTTGCTGTTGGAAGCTATGATGTGTGAGTAATTAGTACCGAAAAGAGGAATTGGAGGGCATACATCGACTTCCGACGATAGTGCGATCATGTCGCCGAAGCTTGACATACGGTCGGCTCCACGGGCACGAGCATAAGCTTGAGCGAGACCAGACTTCTCGATGCCCTCGATGTCGTCTACCATATAAACCTTCCTCTCAACATCATTCAGAGGCACGCCAATGGCAGCGCCTGCCGGCGAGACGTGCTAGGGAGAAGTAAGCATGAGGTTTTGGGCGAGAGGGGGGTAAATACCTTGAAGCTCGTAGCAGCAGGGTAGTTCAGAGCCTGAGTGAGCTCCTTCACCAACGGCCACGCATTGAGAGCATCAAGCAAGTTGATATACCCCGGGGATCCACATAGAACCTTGAACGGTAGTGCCGAGTCCTTCATGAAGACAGCAGCCGGCTTCTGGTGTGGGTTCGCGCCGTATCGCAATGCCAGCTGCTGGTCACCACCTCCAGCATACTTCTTCCGGAAGAAGTCCGAGATTGCGGTGTCGTAGTCCGCGGTCTGCTCAAACGCCTTAAGAGCGTAAAGCTGCCTGCTCTTCTCTGACACGTCGCCCTCCTTCTCTAGCTCCGTGAGGAAGTCGTGGTAGTCTTTGGGGTCGCTAATGATGGTAACGCGGGAGTGATTCTTTGCAGCGGCTCGGAGCAATGTGACGCCACCTGTACGAAAGTGCGGTCAGTTTCAGGCCAGAATCGTGCTCGGGGGAAACTACCTATGTCGATCTCCTATATGATATTAGATAGTCGCTTCATGTATTGGGTAGATATATCCGCACCTCCACAGCCTCGGGTATCGTGACATTGATCTTCGCTACGGTCTCGGAGAACGGGTATAGGTTGCAGACAACGAAGTCAATCTGACGGTCCCGCGCGTTAGCCCATATCGTCCGAAATGCGATTTGTAGCCTTTCGAGATGCGTTTCTCGGCCCAGATTGCTGACCTTGTCAATGCTGTTCTCGGCCAGATCCTTCGAATCCGAGTCAAGGTTCCTTGCCAATATGCCCCCATGAACCGCCGGGTGTAGTGTCTTCACTCGTCCTCCCAACATCTCTGGCGCCTTCGTAATGCTCGATACGTCTTCGACGGGGAAATTGGCTTCGCGGATCATTTTGGCGGTGCCGCCGGACGCCAGCATCTTGACGCCACGGTCCTGGAGGCCCTTGGCCAGGTCGAGGAGGCCGGTCTTGTCATAGACGGAGAGGATGGCTATACGATATTAGCAACGTGTGCAGCGGAAGGAATATCGTGTAGGGTTCCATGCCAGTCTTTTGCCCGTTGGAAGGCATTGTGAGGGTGCTGAGCTTGTAACTCTCTACGGAGGCTGGACACTTGAAAGAAGTGCAAAAGAAGGGACGGGAAGAGGATTGATGCTTCGTAGAATATGGCTGCGGTCACGGATCGACCAAAAGATTTTTGCCCCACTTGACGCTGCTTCTGCCCCTCCTGTCCGTCCTGTCCGAACTTCGCAGCCTTGCATAGAATACGCGTCACTCGTATTGAAAATATCAGCCAATTAGCTTGTCACAAGGGCGCATTATGTGAGAGTTCCTTGGGGTCCTATGGGTCCTATATTCACAGCTAGTCCTGGAGACATCGAGTCCCATGGTCCTGTTTTCAGTCCCTCAAGTTTGTATAGCGTATTGCAAAGGTCTTCTCCCTATACTTCGTATATGAGTCTCGTGTGCACGGGCCGTGGATTGCCGAGAATCTTCAGACAGCACCGCGCATGAACATTGCACTGATCTCAATACATCTTCATCGCATCTCAGGGCAGGAAGAGCATCACACCAATCGTAGGGGAGCTGGTTCCATAGCCTTGCCGGTCGCTGTTGGAAGTCTTGATTGACCGTGTAGCAAAGGGTAATGTGAGTTAGAGCATTCCATGTCTGGTCCCCCACCCACTCGTCGATCCCATGGGATAGCAGGTAGCTAACCTTACGAGAGTCAAGACAGTAGAGAGCGTGCTTGAAAGCCGTCTGACCGTTGACGCTGACGATGGCTATTCCGTGCAATCCCGCCCAAAGAATCCGATGGTGATTTTGGTTTGTTCGCATCCAGCTATTGAGAGTAGCTGGGTCCGACTTGAGGTGCTTGGCGATTTCGAGCGTGAGCTCATCCGGCAAGGCATCCAGGCGAGCTCGCGCCATAGCGCGTACGTAGTGTGCGTGTACTAGTAGAGATGGTGGAGGATGGATGCTGTGGGGTGGTAGGGTGGTGAGGAAAAGCCAAGCTCATGTTGATATATACCCGTTGGAAGCAAAAGCGAGCGCCACGTGACTAGAAAGCACAATGATGGCCTTCCAAAGCTGCATGTCAGCATCGCACTCGTAATATGCTATAACAGGCCTTTACATATCAAAAAGCATGTTCACTCATCTTCAGACGGTCACTGAACTGATATACTCAAGCATGGCATGTGCGGTTGGCCTTGCTGCAGATGACTTCAAGTAGAACCCTTACTCGAATGCAGCAGCGCTGCTGGCCACTCCAAGTTCTCCTCCTCAATGCCCCGGGTCTTCCTTGTGTTCCTTTCAGTTCGACATGCTCGGACCGTGTAACCAATCAGAGAATTCATGACTCGCACATCCCTAACGTCCGTCCCTAGGTCGCGGAAAACCCACCGTGCCGGAAAATATGAGGGGTACTTTGACTTCAAACAGCTCAGACTCTGTGCACACATCGAGATTTCCCATAATTCTATATAAATAGTGTACTGTAGCCACTCCTAAACATTCAAAACACCTCCTACCTAAAAATTACGTTCGCGTTGTTGCCTTCGCGTCTAATTTGCGGAGAGCCTTCTTTCATAGCGTAACCGAATTCCGTCGCCACAGCACCACTATCGAGCTCCCATCACTCCTAATGCTCATAAAAGGGCCTTATCCGAGCCTTAGAACCTCGCTGCCATACTAGGAAGTCGTCATCAGCCTTGTGGCTGCTGTCGCACGCAAATTCATGCAAGGTCGCTACCCTGGTCGGCACTTCTGGTCGGAAGCAATTACTAATCCAGCTAGACAAAACGACCCCGCACGTCTAACATAAGCATCGTGATGTAATTTACTTATGTCACCCAGCAAGCCAAGCTTGTGGCTGTAAACGTGTGGCTAATTAGGGCCTTAGTACCCCCCCTTGGGTACCCAGGCACTATAGCCTGGGCACGTGATCTGTCACGGTACCAGAAGGTACTTCTCTGACTTACCACAGCTTGAGCTGACAAAGAGAGTGGCCGGTGCGGGTCGGCCGTCCTCGTATATGGTGGCAAAATCTAGTAGCAAACTCCTCTCAGCACTGTCAAGTACGACTAGTCAGCATGCTTATCTACTTCTGTAGCACGTGATGATGCGGCTGAGCCTCCTTTGCACTGCCTTTACACAGCCTTTACACAGCCTTTACACAGCCTTTACACAGCCTTTACACAGCCTTTACACAGCCCACCATCATAATACATAGAGCGCTACCATCTCCCCTGCAACCCCGTAGCCGTCCCTCCGAATTACCTGCAAATTGCCCGCTCTCTTGAACTATCGTTGTTGCGATGCGACTCCTTTACTTTGATGGTTCCGGGCGACTCGCCTGGACAAATTTCAGCCAGAAAACAATTCCGCCATATGCTATTCTTTCTCACACCTGGGGCGATGACGAGTTTCTCTTCGAAGATCTGGCAAATGGCACTGGACATGGCAAGGCTGGCTATGAAAAGATTCTGTTCTGCGGCGAACAAGCGGCTCGTGACCATATACAGTACTTCTGGGTCGACACTTGTTGTATTGACAAATGGAATCTCCGCGAGCTCTCAAACGCAATAAACTCCATGTTCCGGTGGTACAAGAATGCAGCAAGATGCTACACTTTCCTCTCGGATGTGTCGACGCCTATGGCAGATGCACATCTGCACGAGAGTACATGGGAAGCATCCTTTCGAAAGAGTAGATGGTTTACTCGAGGCTGGACGCTTCAAGAACTCCTAGCTCCAGCATCAATCGAGTTCTTTTCCTCAGATCGTCAGCGACTCGGGGACAAAGACTCCCTCGAGCAGCAGATCTATGAGATTACTCGCATCCCGGTTACAGTGTTACGGGGCGATCCTCTCGACAAAGTTAGCGTTCCCGAGCGAATGGCATGGATGGCGGGCCGCCAGACAACGCAAGAAGAAGATATGGCGTACTCTTTAATTGGAATTTTCGGTGTGTCCATGGAGTTTAGATACGGCGAAGGAATAGAGAGAGCACAGGAGCGACTCCAGGAGGAAATGGAGAAAGGTACTGTCTAAGCTACACCAGTTTTTCAAAAAAATCGCTAAAGCCTAGCCCGCAGCTAACACCGCGCCGTTTATCGTACCATTTGACCAAAACGCTCGATTTACTGGTCGCGAATCGCAACTGGCCGAGCTGGAAGGAAAGCTCTTCGTCGGAGCATCAACTACAAAGGTCGCAATTACAGGCCCGGGTGGGATAGGCAAAACACAGCTAGCGCTGGAGTTGGCGTACAGAATCAGACTAGAGCTTAAGAGCTGCTCAGTCTTCTGGATATCTACAAGCGATGAGGAGAGCCTCTATCAATCGTATGCGCACATTGCTCGACGGCTTAATATTCTAAATGAGAAGGCAGATGTCAGGAAGCTGGTACAAATCCACTTAAGCAACAAGAGCGCAGGGCACTGGCTCCTTATTTTTGACAACATGAACGAGGCTCAGGCAGTCGGCCTAATGGAGTTCCTACCAAGCTCTGCGCAGGGGGCTATTGTCTTCACAACAACTGACAGGGAGACAGCAGCAAAACTGGCACCACGAAGTATTGTAGAGTTGCCAGAGATGGAACAGGACATGGCTCGAAGAATGCTGGAGACGTGTTTGGTCAACCCGGTGAATGAGAAAGAGAAGGTAGACCTCTTGCTGAAACGGCTGGAGTACCTCCCTCTAGCTATTGTGCATGCAGCAGCCTACGTCAACGTCAACAAAACAACGCTTCAAGAATATCTATCACTACTAGCTAAGAAAAGGGAGGGGTCAGTTGAACCTCTTTATCGGAAATCTGAGAACATAATAGCTGCAACCTGGCTTATTTCGTTCAAGCAGATTCGTCGCCACGATGCTTTGGCAGCTAAGTATCTACTCTTTATGGCGTGTGTGAACCGAAGCGATATTCCGCTTGCTCTTCTCCCGGCAGCCTCATCGCATGAGCAGGGAAGACATGCAGTAGGAACCCTCAACAATTACTCATTTGTCACCAAACGAACGGCTGAATCGGCGCTGGACATCCATCGACTAGTGCATATCTCGACACGCAACTGGCTTAGAAAAGAGGGATTGCTGAGTCAACAAAGTCAAATAGCGATCAGGCGTCTGCTTGTGGTGTTCCCACACAATAATCATGGGAACAGAAGCAAGTGGAGACGATTGCTTCCGCATGCTACGTTTGCTCTGTCATCTGGCCTCACTGGACAAGAGCATAGTCATGAGAGTAGAAACAAGTGGAGACGATTGCTTCGGCATGCTAAGTTCGCTCTGTCATCTGGCCCCCCCAGAAAAGAGTTGGGATGGAGATGTGCCACTGCCTTGTACAATGACGGGCGGTGGAAGGAGGCTGAAGAGCTGTTTGTGCAAGTGATGGAGACGAGTTCGAGGGTGCTTGGGGACGAGCATCCAGACACACTGACCAGCATGGCCAACCTAGCGTCGACATATACGAATCAAGGCCGGTGGAAGGAGGCCGAGGAGCTGTTTGTGCAAGTGATGGAGACGAGGAAGAGGGTGCTTAGGGACGAGCATCCTTCCACACTGACCAGCATGGTTAACCTGGCGTCGACGTACAGGAATCAAGGCCGGTGGAAGGAGGCTGAAGAGCTAAATGTGCAAGTAATGGAGACGAGAAAGAGGGTGCTTGGGGAGGAGCATCCTTCCACGCTGAGCAGCATGGCCAACCTAGCGTCGACGTACTGGAATCAAGGGCGGTGGAAGGAGGCCGAAGAGCTAAACGTGCAAGCAATGGAGACGACAAAGAGGGTGCTTAGGGAGGAGCATCCAGACACGCTAACTAGCATAGCCAACCTAGCATCAACGTACAGGAGTCAAGAGCGGTGGAAGGAGGCCGAAGAGCTGTTTGTGCAAGTGATAGAGACGAGAAAGAGGGTGCTTGGGGAGGAGCATCCTTCCACGCTGAGCAGCATGGCCAACCTAGCGTCGACGTACTGGAATCAAGGCCGGTGGAAGGAGGCTGAAGAGCTGTTTATACAAGTAATAGAGACGACAAAGAGGGTGCTTGGGGAGGAGCATCCTTCCACGCTGAGCAGCATGAGCAACCTGGCGCATACATGGAAGTCCCAGAGCCAAAACACAGAGGCTATCTTACTAATGAAAAAGTGCGTTAAGCTACGGGGAAAGATCCTTGGCCCCCTACATCCTGATACGGAGTCTTCGCTTAATTTTCTAAATATGTGGCAGATGGATGACCTGGAGCTAGGTACTTAGAGCTACGCTAATTTTTAAGAATACAAAATTAGTGCGAATGCAAAATAGTTTATTGTGTAAGCATGCCTGCAAGTGTTAACTTATATATAGTATTAAAAGTGATTTAACACTATATATTAAGGGTGGCCGGCCCGCACTATACTACACCCCTTATAGAACGTTTAAATTATACAGGAGTGTAAAGGGCTAATTAGGGGGGTGCAGCTAATTGCATAGCCTCTAGTGTGGTGCGGCAAGACTGACATGCAGCCATTAGAATGCGAAAGGCGAACTCGCAAGCAACGAGACAAATGCGCTTATATCTTTTGGGGCAGACGAACGCATCGATAACACTAGCAGGGAGGGTGCCGACCCGCACTGGCCACACTCTTGTAAGGTGGCGAGATCTGTAAGTTAGGTGTTCTTACAGAGTTGAGTTGGTTAACCGGATGCATAGCCAAAGGTGCATTGGATCGCAAGGCTGTGGGGCATAGCCACAGGCTAGTTAACTAGGCTTTGCTTGATTAACGTAAGCAAATTACATCCTGAATATCACGTGGAGCGTGCGGGGTCGTTTTGCGCGCCACACTCGCATCAGTTAGGCATAGCGTAAAATACATCACAACTAGCTAGACATCTAATACCGCACCACGTAAGCGCGCTTAAGCCTCATGCTAAGACACACTTCAGACCCCTTCGCACGGATAAATCCGGAGCACATACTTCTAAGGGTTAAGTATCTTTAAAGCTTAGAACTATCTTCTTTCGTCATGGAACGATTAATTTAATGCTCCGAAGTTAAAGATTTTGTAGATAGTCGTAGTGCAGCAGGGATGCGAAACTAATGCAGTTCTGGATGCTCTAAAAGGAACGATCGACAGCATGATCAAAAGCGTTGTATTTTTTTAGGTGCACACCAGTTTCCTAGGCAGAAATGGTTGAAAAATCACAGTGCACTAATTAAAACTCGACAGAATCGCGAGGGAGAGAGTTAGGATGCCTAAACAATGGATTCGTTCCGGCACGGGGGGTTTTCCGCCACGCAGGGGGGGACGTTACAAGCTTCAACCCAGCGAGGGTTCGTTGACCATAAACCTTGGAAAGTGGCAGTCCAACACCGTCTGAGGCGGCCCGAAGAGCTGCCAGGCATGTCGAATCTGCCTCTTTCCAGATCATCCTGGCATACCAGGGGGCCTCAAACAGTGTCAGGCAAGTGTACACAATCGTACCTTTGTAAAGCGAGCATGTTGCCAGACCATGGAATCACGGATTCGTGGACTGCCACTTTTTGTTCAAGGAAGCCTGCCAGCCACCAGCCTCACCTCCCCAAAACCTCAAGCTTCCCCAGACTTTCCCCAAATCCCTCAACACCATGGAAACCGGCACGGAGCCCCTCGTAGCGCACCTCAAAGACGTCCTCCTCGACCTCGCCGCACACCCCTTCCCCGAAGTCGCCAATCCTCCTACCGCACCCCGCCGCGCTTCCGTCGCCCTTATCCTCCGCATCCAACCGCACTATTCCCACTGGCCCGCAGCCCACAGCAAACACGCGCATGCACCAAGCCATGGGCATCGGCGGCGGCGGTCTTCAGCCGCCTCAAACCCGGAAAAGAAACTCGAGTTGAAGGACATACTCGACGCGTTCTTCGCGCAAGACTGGGTCAAGCATGGGGACCCGGAGCTGCTGTTCATCAAGCGCGCGACACGTGCGGGGGACAATTGGAACGGACACGTCGCGCTGCCGGGCGGGAAGCGGGATCCGGAGGACGAGGATGACCAGGTTACAGCGGTGCGGGAGGCGATGGAGGAGGTCGGGGTGGATCTGAGCTATGCGCATGCCATTGCGATTGGAAATTTGCCGCAGCGGGTTGTTACGACGAGTTGGGGGAAGGTGCCGTATGTATACCAACTCTGTAGTAGTGGCTTGAGCTCGGGTTATGGGATGTCTTTGCTAATGCGATTGTGCTCAGGCTTATGGTGCTATGTCCATATATCTTCCTCCTCACGAGCCCTAGCATTCCGCCACTTAGACTCCAACCTACAGAAGTTGCCTCAACGCATTGGGTCTCCCTCCGCGCTCTTCTCTCCCCCGCCCAGCGCACATTCGAGTACGCCGACGTGTCGCAGCGGCTCGCGAAAGCTGAGCTAGGCATCAAGCGCTGGTTCCTGCAGTCCATGCTCGGCCAGATGATGTTTGCAGCCGTCCGATTATTACCATCGGAAAGCACGTATTGCAGCTCTATACCCGGCTTCATTCCCGAATCCGAAGCGTCGACAGGCGTTATTGGAAGTATAAAGGGGTGGTGGACGGGTGACACAGCAGCGAGGAGAACGCAGAAACCGCTGCTGCTTTGGGGACTGACGCTGGGCGTGATTTCGGATCTGCTGGAGCACATACCGCCGCATAAAGCGATGGACATGTGGACGTATCCTACGTTTACGAGCTGGGATGTGAGGGTCACTCTGTGGGCGATGTCGTACAGATTCAGGAAGCAGAAAGCGATTGAAATGGGTCAAGTTACTGAGAGTTCAGCTGGGGCTGAGGAGGATACAGAGGTGCCGAAGCAGGATCCACAAGGCATGCCTGTTGAAAAAGAGCCGGGAGAAGTGGGTATTGGTGGGCTAGGCGTAGGGAGGCATTGGGGACGATCGAAAAGAGATGCGCTAGGTGTGAGGGGGAGCGCGGTGAACTCCACGCTTGAGGGGTATTATCCTATTGTGAGGAAGGCGGTGGCTACGGCGTTGGTCGGAAGGGTATCATTGACAGCGCTTTTGCTTGCATATGCATGGTCTAAGTATAGGGTTAGGCGGTAAACTTCTTTGCTGTGATCTTTAATTTAGCGGGTCAAGACTCTGGTAATTTAGGCGTGTGGGAATTAGCTTTCTGTTATTGAGTTCTATGTAGCACGGAAATGACCTAGGTGCGCTCCAAGCTTTTGGAAAGCTACTTGTGACGTTAAAGTCACGTGAACGCGCAAGACCCCTTCGCTCTCCTCCCAACCGAAGCCATTGACCGCGACTTCCTCCAGGTCTTAATGATTACTAGTCACGCTAGTGATTGAATGTCCAAGCTAAGATCTAAGATCAACGGGTAGATCGGGCCGATATTCTATTTTTGGACATGGACATCTGGCAGCTGGAAAACGTTGCCAGCTGAGGCGTCCGTTCCTCCCTCCGCGACCTTCTAATGGCCCAGACATTGTCGAAAACACCTACGCCTACGACGAAAAGGCCACGCAGATGTAGTGTGCCATGCGTACACGAAGCAACCAGGAAGAAGTGAGTGAAGAAACATTGCCCGCCCGATGCAACCTCGGGCTGAGCATCTTGGCGCCATACGAAAAGGATTGTCAACGCTGACCGCTGTACTCCGACCTATGAAACAATTACGCTGTAGCGGGCGGGATTTGTGGCTGTAACAAGGACAGGGTGGCTGGTAGGGCTGAGGAGACGCAGCACAAGCCTCGCCCACGCCGCTGGCCTACCGGAACTCCACGCTGGAGGCCTGTCAGCTTGTCATCAATCACCATCCAATAGCTGGCTGTGCCTTGGAGTACAGCTCGCGGGTCCCTCCGCTTGACGACGAGAACGTGACGCGCGACGGCTTGTTCCTGCATGCTTACTTGCTTAGCTGCGCGTGGAATTGCCTATGCGAGGGCTTGGGCGAAGGTAGCAACGAGCACTAGCCCAGCAACTGGATCAGAGTTATTCTTGGATCGGGAGAAGATGCGGTGGGGATCGTCTGACTAGGTATGGGGTAGAGGTATATATTCCATTTGCTCCTAGCATGATGAGGTTATTATCAACTCATTTCATTCGTTGTGTGCGTTTTATCTATCGTTTACTCTCCATCACACTGCAGCGTTTTAAGTTCTGAGCCATTTCCTTTCGTCCTTCGTTATATTATCTACGAAGCGTAAACTCATAATCGGACTCCCACATCGGGATTAACCGTTCACGATGGGTTACACGTCTACCCTCCTCCTGGGTCTTCTCTCCCTAGGCAGCGTCGCCAGCGCCATCCCAGCCCCCTCAGTCAAAGCCTCTACAGACGCAAGCTGTGGCGGCTCCACAGGCTACACGTGTGCCGGATCAACATTCGGATCCTGCTGCAGCGCATATGGCTGGTGTGGCTCGACCGACGCGTACTGCGGACCCGGCTGCCAATCTGGTTTCGGGAAATGCGGTTCAGATCCTTCCACACCCTCTTCCACCTCAACTGCGCCGATTTCCAGCACATCTGCAACAACCGCGTCATCGACGCCTTCGTCTAGCAGCCCTGCTAGTCTCAGCGATTGTCTTAATGATAAGAATGTCCCGATCAGTCTCGCATCCTCGCCAAACTTCCAGCAGCTCTCTGCGCCATACAACCAGCGCCTTCCGTACACTCCAGCTGTCATCGTTATCCCAACAACCCAGCAGCATATCCAGGATGCCGTTGTCTGTGCAGGCAAGAGCAATGTCAAAGTCCAAGCAAAGTCGGGGGGTCACAGCTACGCATCCTTCTCGTCTGGTGGCAAAGACGGATCCATGGTTATTGATCTTGAGAACTTTCACGATATCGAGCTCGACACCACCACCGGCACCGTCACGGTAGGGGCTGGTGTCCGTCTCGGGAACCTTGCACAGGGTATTTGGGACCAAGGCAAACGTGCTCTCCCCCACGGCACGTGCCCAGGTGTTGGTATCGGCGGCCACTCCACCCACGGTGGCTACGGCTACGACAGCCGTCTCTGGGGCCTAGCTATGGATACTATCATCGCCCTCGACGTCGTGCTCGCTGACGGCTCTGTGGCCCACGCCACCTCCACCGAGCATTCCGATATATTTTGGGCGATGCGCGGTGCTGGTGACTCATTCGGTGTAGTTGTAACCTTCTACATGCAAACTCAACCCGCCCCGGAAGCAGTCACCTTCTTCCAGTACAGCTTCTCTGTCTTCGGATCGCAGGAAACCTTCACAGACACCTTCCTTCACCTCCAGGACTTCGCCACCAACTCCTCCGTCATCGACGCCCGTATTGGGTTCGGTGTCTACCTCGACGGTTCTGGCTTCAGCCTAACGGGCACCTTCATCGGTTCCATCGACGAGTATAACGATAAGATCGCGCCCGAGCTTCTTCGTAGCCTGCCCACGCCATCGAGTCCAACAGTTCAGTCCATGGACTGGATCTCCTCACTCGTCAAACTCTCCAACGAGCCATCCCTCTCCGTTCCCTTAACCGGCTACTCCGCTCACGACAACTTCTTCGCCAAAAGCATCACCGTGCCCGAGTCCACTGGTCTGACTGTGGATGCGCTCAACAGCTACTACACCTACATCCACAGCACCTCCGCGCCCGCCTCCTGGTTCAGCATCATAAACCTCTACGGCGGTCCCGAGTCCGCGATCAACAGCAAAGACACTAGTTTCGCTGCGTACAGCGATCGCAACAGCCTGTGGGTGTTCCAGCATTACGGCGAAACCGAGGCGAGCGTGCCATATATCCAAGGCTTGAACGATGCGGTGACAAACGCGCAGCCGCAGACAAAGTTCGGTGCGTATCTGAACTATGTGGATCCGAGTTTGAGCGCGGCGGATGCGCATACGTTGTACTACGGGGATGAGGTGTATGGACGGTTGGCGGCGTTGAAGAAGACAGCGGATCCCAATGCGGTATTTTGGAATCCGCAGGCTATTGGTGCGTAGATGATTGAAGTGCAAATAATAATGTAAGAAAGGGGTGTGAGATGAGGAGTTTGGTACGATTTGGGACGGATTTATTTGTATTTTAGCAAGCGGCATAGCATAGCATAGCATAGCGGTCCGGCGTTTTTGCTGCATCTTCCAAGGTTGGGATAATATATAATGGTAGTTACTATTTATTAGTATTAGAGAGTAGTTAATATCCAAAGTAGCTAAACGATTGTGAAGTAGCTAACCTACTTATGATGTCTATTACGAAGGCCTATTTTAAGGCTAGGCGGGTTTCTCCTAGGTGTAGCTCCATCGAAAACGGAACTCGATCTTACCTGGGCATCAGCAGCCTGCAAGTTTCGTCATCACCGTCCATTCATCAACCAAACTGCTGGTCCGCACTCTACTCGCCTGTGTGGCTGTCGTCCTCACGAATGACCTCCCGCCGCCATGATGGAAAGCGTTGGTCATACAACAGCTTTGGCATCAGGAGCCACCCACCCGCCGCAGTGAACGGCTTCGTCCGCGACGTTAACACCTATGCTACTCTGGAGCTGCCCATTCAATCTCTGTCCAGCTCCTACTACTGCTGTGCGACGTCTGCATTTTAAATACCTACCAATGCGAGATTGAGGCCTCCAAGGCTGCGACACTGGGCTGCTATTGCCTCCTTCCGACTGCGCCGTGCACTATCAGACAAAGGTCCGCCTAAAATAACCTCCAATACATGGCGGAGACTGGCAAGGCTGCAGAAAGTTGGCTAACAGTTCCTCTCTCTAATGGCTCCATTCTAGCTGTACCTGACAAGGCTGTAACAGCTGGCAGTGATGGAACTGGACTAGGTTAACTTGGAGCCGGGTTGGTGGGTTACTCTGTATATAGGTCTGGGTTGGAGGCTCTGCTTGCCTGGCGTGGAGTGGATTTGAGGCTGTGGAGCCTCCAGGCGCTCCATAGCTTTTCTCTCTCAACGTAGAAGTCGTGGTGTTGAGGTGAGCCGAGGCCTCTGATTGGCTGAGCTATATACTCCGAGGCCTGCAAGGGGATCCTGTCTTAAAATCGTTAGCGCAGCCATACAAAATTAGACCTGTTCCCCTGTGAAATCTCTTGCCCGCTTGATGCCCGTTTTTGAAGCTATTCGCACGCCAGCTCAACACCATATTGCTATGGCCAATACCGCGCCCGTTGACGAGGCCGTACGCCCTCAGCGCTCTATCACCAGCTTCCTTGGTATACGCCATACAGCCCTGGTTACTGACAACGTTATCCTAGCACCTTCTTTAATTAATATAGCCCGTAAGGAAGCCAATAAGGTGACGCAGTTTCAAATTGCTGGAAAAACCTATATCTATTATAAACACCTTACACAAGCGCCTTACTACACTAAGCAGCGTATATCGCATATATAGAGATAGGAAGAGGATATATAATAAAAAGATAGGATAATTAGACAACTAAATATTTATTACTGCTATTTTTATAAGCATGCAAAGCAAAGCTAGGATTTACCTATAGTTTTAACTAGTAGAAAAACTGCTATAGATTATCTTATAAAAATATATAAAATAGATAGAAAGTTAGGCAAGCTATATACTACTATATAAGGCCCTTTTCTATAGTTTAAATCTAATAGGGCGCTTTATATAGCTATAAACTTTAAGGCCTTAAAGTACTTATTTATTTAATAGATTATATACTCCTATATTACCTTCTTCTAGTTTAAGAACTTATATTTCTGCGCGGTATTAAGTTTCCTTTTTCTAGGTATAAAGCAGTAGCTTCTAAAAGCTAGTAAGACTATATAGAAGTAGGTTATTAATATATAGTAGAAAAAGAAAACTATACTTAAAAAGGAACTTAATAAGGCTTATAGCTCTATTACTATTTTATTTAACCTATAGATATTACTAAACAGGCTTACTATATTTAGAGTATATAGCTACTTTATTAATAATATAGGTAAGTAATATATAGCCGTGCTAGCCCTCTATAAGGTCCTTAGTAACTATAGTAGTAAAAATATTACGTAGAGCTTACTATTTATAATAAAAAACTATAGCTTTAAAAGCAATATTAGCTTTTTTATAGGGGATAATATAGACTTAAACAATTATACTATAGATACTATTTTACGCGCCTTATATCCGCATATATTGCTTAAGCAGCGGTAAGCTTATTAGTTAAGGTATTTTAGCTATATTATAAACCTATACGCCCAGGACTTTATTATTAGAAAAAATGCGGATTAAATTACGCAGTAGATTTAAGCTGCGTATTTAAATTAGAACTATTATTATTATTATTATTAGGTTCTATTAGGCCGATTTAGCTCCTGTTAGGGTTTATACGGCGGTGCTATATAGGTTTATTTATAAGGGGAAACCGTTCGCTCTATAGTAGTTAGGTAAAAACCTTATTTTCTATAGTATATAACGCCTTACGTTCCTTTTATTTCTGCGCGGCTATAGAGGACGTATAGCAGCTCTATAAGTATTACTATAGAGTAAGCTATTTTAATATATTTTCTAGGATCGATCCGGTGTTCGTAGGCCCTAGGTTCTAGGGTTATACAGTATCTAGAAGGTTAGTAAGGTCCGGGGTCCGCGTTAGGGTGCGCGTGCCCTTACTGTATACGCGTGCCCTTTTTTTTAAAAGCTAAGGTATTAAATTAAAGGATAATAGGAAATTAGGGGGGTTACTTTATTACGGGCGTGCCTGTAGTTATATAATATGCGTGTATATATATAGTTCTATTCTTAAGGCGTGGCTATATAAGTCGGCTGGCTATATAGCTAGCTTTTCCGTTGCTATTTCTCTAGCTATAGAAAGGTAGAGTAGAAAGTCTATTTAGTGCAGGAACTATTACGAAACGGCTTTATTTCCTTTATAGTTTTTATATAGCTGTATATATATTCTTATTCTAGCCTTAAAAAATATATTGCCTCTGCTATTGCGGTGTTATTTACAGTATATTACTACGTGCTTTAGAAACTATAGTATATACCTGCAGGAGCATGCAGGTAAAGGGTAATTAGACACTTTTATATAGTGCAGGTATATATTAAGCTCTATATATTCTGTTTATAAAAGTGTAATAATTAAGCTTTTTACTTTTATAAGCTTATAGTATTTAGTTGCCTAATTTTTATTCTATTTTATATTAAGGGCCGGTGTAGGAAGGCCCCTTTATTTCTTTCTATAGGCCTTCTATTTATTTCTCTACCTTTTCTTATATACTTCCTATATTACTCCTTATTTTAAGAGCTTATATAAGTTATCTAACTACCTTTTATACCTTAGGGCTAGTACTATAGCCTTAACCGCAGGCCTTTTTAGTATATTGCGCCGGCTTAGCTTATATTTAGGCGTTTTCCTAGGCTTATAGTATCTTCTAATAGTGTCTTTAATAGTGCGGTATATAGTCTTAATATACTTTCTATTACGGCTTAAATAGTAAAGCTTGCTGCACAGCGTAACACGTGATATTAGGACCCGGCGAGAGGCCTTATTGCAAGGGCCTATGCGAGCCTTAGCAGGAGTATACCTGCCGACCGCCGCCCTGCCTTTTTATAGCTCTTTAAGCTACGTCTTATTATTTAACCCGCCTGCCTGCCGTGTATTATAGAACACGTAGTAAATTTAGTTATTACTTCTACCTACCTGCCCGAGCTAGCTAGGGCAATCCTGCCGCCCGAGACCGTAATATTACATAGCTTCTTACCTACCTAGCTATCTACCTGCACCGCCGACCTAATATCCTACCTTTTCCTTCTAGTTCTGCCGGACAGCGAATCCGCGTTCGCCGCCTATATTACTAACCACGTATATAAATAGTATAAGTACTGCCGCTAAATATATAAATATATCGATACCGCCTAGGAAAGCCTTACTAAAAACCACTAAGCCGCACTCTGTATATAAGCCCTAGAATTGGAAATTAAGGAATATAAATAATAGAGCAACTAACTAAAGGTATAATTATAAGCTGTCCGTAAATACTAGAAGAAAGAGATAAAAAAGCTTACGGATAAACTAGCTTTAGCCTTATTAAGAGATAGAAAGCAATTAATATAGCTATACCTACCGTCCGCACCGCCCTGTAAACCCCGATGCTATAAGTACTAACTAAAGGAAATACAGCTAATATAGCACGAACGCCTCCGTCTACTTTTAATATATCTACTACCTCTGCCCGGCTTTCTAAGAAACAACCTAACCCTAATAAGTTTACAGGTAACTAAAAAAACCTCTGCCGCTTCCTTTCTTAAATCTATAAAAAAATAACTGTTAACTAAGGCCGCTTTCCTGACCCCTAAAGCCGAATATTCTATATAAATAGTTATTTAAGTAGAAACCCGTACGCCTAAGTCCTACCGTATATTATAAAAGGAAACTATTAACTACTCGATTTTAAAGCTATTCTAGAACTTTTAGAATAAGTATATAGAGACTCTAACTAAGTCCGCAACTTCTATACTAAACTATTCCGCCTCCGCTAGAATAATAAAGAATTTAGTATTTTTCTTACTAAATTCTAACGCCTAGCTTTAGAAGGAGAGCTTTCTAAAAAAGTTTTACTAACCCTTTTAGAAGAAGCTGTTAACTGTAAACTAAAGGGAATACTACTCTACTATAAACCCCCTAGCAGGAAGTACTATATATTTATAAAGTTTCTTTAAAACCTAGATAACTGCCGCAAATAATATAAAGTGTCTATTACTGCAACTCCGAGAATATACGCTAATATAAATTAAACCTATTAGGAAATACCTATTTCTATAGGAACGTAAACTGCTATACCCTAGTTATTACCGAGAGCGTCCGGCGCTATAAAAATTACAGAAGTTTCCGGAAACCTAATAGATTTTTTAAGAAGTTGCTTAACTTAATATAAAAGGAAGGAATATTACTATTATAGATCTAAAAAACACTTTATCTATAACTGCCCTTAGCCTAATAAATACTCTATCTGCTCCTACTCTATTTATAAAAACGCGTTCTTTTAGAGCCTTTTACCGCCCTCTACTAAATATAGAACCCGGATACTACTAAAACCCGCTTCTCCCCTATTTTCTACTTTAATAAAAGGATAAAGCCTAATATAGGTTATAGCTAGGCTTATATACCGCGTACTATATAAGTATCCGCTGCTGCTATCTAAGGAATAACTATTAAAAAGGAATAGGTTATAAGAGCTAACCTATTAATT